GGGGCGATAGAGTGGCGACCGCAGCCGAATTGGGATGAAGAGGGAAGACGATAAGACGAGTCGACTCACCGCAGGAGCTCCTCCGTGACACGGTTGGGGCCGGGCAGAATAATGTTGTGCGGCCAGATGTCGTTGTTGCCCATGGTAGGAATGATGGGGACATGCTTGCCGAACGTGTCGAGCATCTTCTGAGCCATCTGCTGGTTCAGATTGAAGATCTCCTTGGGCGATCGGGGAAGGTTACGGTCACTGTCATGACTGAGGAATACGTTAGCACGTGCGTTCGTGTAAACAAAAAATCAAGTCAACGGTTAAGGTTTGCCGCGATGGTGAGGAAAGACTTACCGGGCACTGTCTCCGGTCCAGACAACGAAGTCGATCTCGTCGACCCATTCCTTCTTGAGCCAGTCAAAGGTCAGGTCAATGAGAGCCTGTGGCGAGTCACAGTCCCTATGAAGCGTCAGCTATGCAGCTCTTCAAAGAGGAGGAAGAAGCAGAGAACTCACGAGAGAATGTTGCCGTACTTGCCGGCGGTGTCGGACTTGCGGTAGTTGCGGGAGGAGTCGACATCGGTGGTGTTGAAGTCTTCCTCGCCAAAGTCGAACTCGGCGTCGTCGTCACGCTCGTCGCCGTAGAAGTCGAGGCGACGCTTCCACTGGCCCTTGGCGGAGCCGGAGTGGGGCTTCTCTCCCGGCTTCAGATGACAGGAGGAGCCGAACGTAGCGCCCTCCTTGTAGAAAGGGTCGGGGTGAAGGTCGGTGATGTGGAGGAAGCGGCCCTTGAGTTCTGGTAGCGTCAGCACGAGGCATGCACACACAGAGTACGTGGGTGTGTGAATAGACAGGTGGGGTAGGGAACATGGGGAGCCGTGATTACGTTTACCTCGGTCGGTACTCACCTCGCTTCTTGTCTAACGCTGCTGGCCGGTCGACGGCGTCCGCGGCAGAGAACGGCGCTTGAACATCGTGGAGGCCGACAACTTGTGTGGCCAAGGAGAGGATGGAGAGCACAATCGCAGTGCGCATGGGGGATGGCAAGACAAGACGGGGGAACAGACGAAGGGGAAAGGGTTTAGGAGATGAGGGGGAAGAAGTCGCGGGCCAAAGGATAATATAGCTATGCTATCCTATGCGATGGCGATGGCGACGGGGAACAGACGATCGACAGTGACTTGGCCGCTGAAGCAAGGAACGTCACGGAGGTCGAGGTTGCCGGAGCTAGTGGTGGTGCACGCAGGCGCTAGCGATGTCACAGGATGAGCGCGTGTTGCGCGTGTTTTGTTCTGCGACAAGTCGGATGGTCAGCCGGCTGCTGAGGGCTGCTTGCTAACGGCGATGGCGTCGTGGTGAAGCCGTGGTCCGAGTGGGACGGCCGGTAGATGAGACAGGAAGACAAAGATCGCGTGAGGGAATAGGAGGCGCTCTGTCTGCTGCTGAATCGCGGTGCAAACAGAGGATGGCGATGGGAGTGGAGAGCCGTGGGGTAACAGGCTGCGATCGATCGACCTTAGCGGGTGCAAGATGTCTGAGTGAGACCTGGCGCGTCGAAAATCCCTCACGAGATAAGCTAACGCCTAAAGCTGAGGAGAGGAGCAGAAGCCGAGTTGCCGGTGGTCACTGGCGTGTTTTGGCTGGTTGATTCGCTTGCTGCGATGGCGTCCCGTGGACAGGCTGGGCAGGCGAATCAGAGAGGGCTAGGGGACAGGGAGCGGCTGAGAGAGCGGCGGCGGCGGCAGCGGCGGTGTGGTATGGCGGGGAGTGAGACAAGACGCAACCAAGCACGATGCACGAAACTTGATCAACTTTGATCACGGGTGCAGGACACTGCTGCGAAGTGGTAACGGGGTGTGTTGTATGACGTCGGGGCGCACAGAGGTGGTGAGGACAAAGCGAACTAAATCGTCTAGCGCAATGTCTGGGTGGGTTGGAGGGATGTCAGATGGGCACAGGTGGAAGGGTGGTCGAGGACGATGGAAGATGAGAGAGACCCAGCGACGCCGATGGCTCTGTTCTGTCTCAGCGACCCGAGCCCGGTGAGGCCCGGCAAACCTGCCAAAGAGCCACCACCCACGAACGTGGGTTCGGTCACTCCCTGGGGGCTCTCCGCCAGACCGACTCTTTCACCACCGAGGAACCGTATCGACCGAACTCTCTCTCTCGCGAGACCACGCAACCCTCTGCTACTGGCACATTCTGCTGAGCCCCACACATCAGACCAACATCCGCAGACCGCGCTAGACCGCCAAGAATGCTGAACTCGTGAATCTGCATGCACTACCAGCGTCGCACCAGCGAAATCGACCAGTCAACGCAGCGTGACGTATCAAGTCGATTAGGAATGGCGCTAATCAACCAGTCCATAGACTATTTTTGACCGTCGCAAAAGACCGCACAGATCCGCCGGCTTGCTTGGCCAGCTGGGCATGCAAGCAGTCGACCCAGCGGCCGTCTGCATGTCTGCAGTCTGCGGGCTTCATACAACTCCACCGCCGTTCCTTGCGCCGGAAGTCTGGGGAACTAGCTTCTGGTCTAGTGCCTCCCCCCCTTGACCAAGGTAATGGTCACGTGTCATTAGCGTCGCCGAGGTTCCTAGGCGCCCGTCACTATCTCTGCCGCCTATCACACCAAAGGTATGTAACGCTAGGCGTCCGAAATATTTCGCGCACCCTGTGCCATATGCCATATCGTCACTACTGGCCCTGGTCCTCCGATCGCTTCAGAAATTTGGGTCAACATCCTCCACCGGGCTACATACACCTGTTATCGCAACCACCATGGTGAGTTACCCGTCTAGCTGTTCGATCAGTCCCTCGAGCTAACCCACTCAGCTCCGAAGACAGTCCCGTGAACGACGAGAGTATCTCTTCAAGAAGAGCCATGAGGCGCAGGAGCGCGCCGTGTTCGACCGCAAGCAGCGTCTCAAGGATGCGCTCGCGAGTGGCAAGGCGCTCCCGAACGAGCTCAAGGCGGACGCGCGCGCGATGGGCAAGGACCTCGCTCTCGACGAGGCGCAGACTGGTACGTACACCTGGAGACACTTCTGTCTTGCTGTGGAGCTCGTTGAGACAAGAAGCTAACAATGTTACAGAAATGCGCTCACATGTCGACGACGAGTACGCCAAGGTCGGCACGTACGACCCCAAGGTTGTCGTGACGACTAGCCGTGATCCGTCCTCGCGTCTGACCCAGTTTGCGAAGGTGCGCATCCTATCGATCTTACGATCACATGTCTGAACCAGGTGACTGACGAGCAGGAACTCCGCCTCTGCTTCCCCAACGCGATCCGCCTCAACCGCGGTAACACGGTCATGAAGGATCTCGTGCAGACCTGTCTCTCGCAGGGCGTGACCGACCTCGTGCTCGTGCATGAGCACCGTGGTGTGCCGGACGCCATGATCGTCAGTCACCTTCCCCACGGCCCCACGCTCAGCATGACGCTCAACAATGTCACGCTCCGCCACGACGTCGCCACCTCCGACTCGACCGTGTCCGAGCAGTACCCGCACCTCATCATGGATGGCTTCACAACCCGTCTTGGAGAGCGCGTTGCTAGCATCCTCAAGGCGCTGTTCCCCGTGCCCAAGGATGACGCGAAGCGTGTCATGACCTTCGCTAACCAGAACGACTTCATCTCCTTCCGCCACCATGTCTTTGCCAAGACTTCGCACAAGGACGTGCAGCTCGCCGAGGTCGGCCCCCGCTTTGAAGCCAAGCGTAAGTTGAACGACAATGGACATATCTGACCCCACAGCGTACGAGATCCGCCAGGGAACTGTCGACCAGACCGAGGCCGACGTCGAGTGGCTCCTCCGGCCGTACATGCGCACGTCGAAGAAACGCAACCAACTCTAGATCGCTCCCAGCTTCGAGACAAACTTGTTGTACAGTATTTTGCATGGACTACTACTATTGTGCGTCTGCATGTTGACTATGACATTCCTCTTCGCGGGCTCAGCGGCGCGGCGGAATACAACGAGGATTAGGTTTGCAACACGGACTCGTTGATCGGAATGAAGGTTGACAGGTGGGTGGGTGGAGACTGATCGAGGCACATTGTTGCGATTACATTAAATGCTGAAGGATTGAAAGCTGGATAGCGAGGGAACGCTTGAAGGTACTGCTTAGGCGGGGTTTGAGAGGAGTGCTGGGGTGTTGTTGCTCAGGCGCGACGAGCAGGAGTGTTGATGATGCCTCTGGGTGGTGTGAGCTTGCGACAAGACCGAAGTTACTTACAGGCTGCGGAGGAGCTCGTTGCCACTCTGTGAGTTGCGCAGAGTGGTCTGGTACTGACGGCAGGTATTGTGAACGCGGCTCATCAAGTTGCGCTCGCCGGGAGGCACCTGACGAAGAACACTCTCTGGCTTGTCAGCGGGACAATGAAAGCATTGCTCACGAAGGTGACCGCGGCCAACGGAAGAATTCGCCACGGCGACGAGGGCGGGCGTTCGGCTGCAGCTATCAGTTAAGTATCCGAGAGTGCCAACTCACCCTTCCTTTTGAGAGCACAGACCCTCAATGTACTTGACGATGTTGTTGCGCTGAAGAATACGGCTGGAGCTGAGGACGAACTCGACGAACTGCACACCGTGGTGGTTCGTGGCGAGAGGAGGATAGGCGGTGAGGATTGCATGGGAAACCCCTTTGATCATGGGCTCGTGGAGGTTCAGAAGCTTGTTGACAACAAAGCTGGGTGTCAGGCATTGCCGAACACATAGATACTCACTGGCCGTATTGACTATTGGCGACAGTTGAGATATCATCAAGAATCTTCGGTGTAAGTCGAGATCGTAGAAGTCAAAGGCTACACGCACTTCTTTGAAACAGGCATCCTGTAGCTGTCAGCATTGGCGTCTAGAGTGAGAATGCACTCACAATCAGATCTTGGTTCGCACAGCCTTCGAAGATTTGTTGAACAGAGATGGATCCGTTCTGTGATGAGTTGTTGCCGTTAGAAGAAACCCACTTCATTGGAAACGGAAAGGTCAGCCCAGCGACCACACATGTCTTCTTTGATTCTGAGGAGTCAGCACTGCCATGGGAAACTTCTTGGGTGCACTCACTTGTTGAAAATGTCAGACTCGTTAGAGCTGCGGCATTTGCCGAGATACTGGGGATTAGCAGTAGAATGGCCGTCTTCACTCACAGGACGCCAAACCTTGCGAGCTCCCGTCTGCATGGACTCGAAGATCCCATATTTGATGAGGGCGTCCGAGATGAGACCCTGGGATGTATCAGATTTGCAGCCAGTACCACTACTCACCTCCAGCTCCTTGATTCCAACAGCCTTGACGAGGACGTGAGCACCGAACTTGTTGTTGGCGATCGAGACAACGTCGTCCCTGAGCTGGTCAGCACAAGCCATGTCATTGAGCTCACTGGATAACCTTAATAAAGCTGATGCGGTCCTCGGTCGTCCCCTTCTCGAGCAGTTGCTGACAGAGATAGTTACCATTGGAAGTGAAGCAAAGAGCCTTGGCCCACTCGAGAATAACGTTGATGAGGTGCTGGGTGATATGGGTGGACCTCGACTGACCAAGACGGCCCTTACTGTCAGTGGCAGACAAGGAGAAGGCACTTACCCCGAGAGCATTGGCAGCCATCTTGAGGGTGGCCCTGAGAGTGTGTCAGAGATGCGCGACAGCGTGGACGTACGCCTGAGAGTTGCTCCTGGGCTCTTGATGGGCGATGGTCCAAACTAGAGGTCGGATGAGGTCGTACTCGCTGCACGGATCCATGCGCAGGTAGTCAAGCTTGCCGCTCAAGATGAGGTCGACGATCATTTGAGAGGGGCGGTAGGTGCTTGCCTGCTGTGAGCTTGGTACGCGGCGAGAGCGAACTCACCTCTGCAGATGAGAGCACTGCCCCAGGCTCGCAGCCCGCCGGCAAGGAATCGCTGGGGCCAAAGCTGCCGGGAGGGAAGGTTGACTCGGTAGGAGAGACGCCCATGTCAAAGTTGCCGGTGGACTTGGGAGAAGGGGTGAGGCTGAAGCGGCGTTCAGTGAGCTGTTGTCAGCATAATTCCAAAAGTGGCCATACGAGAGTGGTGAGATGGTGAACTTCAGATGAGAGGCGAGTGTTGTCGGCGATCGCCATGTTCTTCTCGATCTGGAGGTGGTCAACGCGCTCCTGGAGCTTGCGGATCTGTGAGTCTTTCTAAAAGTCAGTGTGACACCCCAAGGAGAAGGCTTACATCATCTCCCCCTGAGGGCGTGCTGGTGGGGCTGTATGACATATGAGGGCTGCTCGACAGAGTAGTCGACCAGATGCCGCCACTGATGCCAGGAAGGAAGGGGGTTGCCCTGGCGACGGAGATCGGCTCAGGCTTGGCCTGAGCAACGTTTGGGCGCGGCTGCTGATCGTTAGTCCTCCATATACAGTATGCGGCACGCACCGTCTCGCGACAGCCGTTGGAGGACGGTGAGTCCGAGGAAGACGAAGAGCCGTCAACGGTGGGCGCTACATTGATACTCCAGGGGGTGACGCCAGTGCGCCACCTGTCCTTGTGAGCGGGCGCGGCGTTGGATTGACTGAAGTCGCTGCCAAAGGAGAACGCGCTCGTCTGAGAGGAATTAGAAGGGCGACGGGAGAGGTCTGTGATGAAACGGAAAGGAGGGGGAGGAGGGGTGTCTGCGGGAACGTTATCGGCCGTCATGTTGCAAAGTGAAGCTTGAGAGAAGGATGAAGTTGGTGTTGGATTAGTTCTGGGCCTGTTGTGTGCTGGGTGGCGTGGAGGGTCTAAGGTAGAGTGAAGGAGGCGAAAAGTGAAGTTGCGGTGTCGATGAGATGGAAGTGGAACGAAAGAAGGCAGAGAGGGAGACGAGAAGGAGTGTGTGCTGACTGCCGTGATGCGAGATCACGTTGCGTGAAGTATGAGGGAGGTGAGGGGAGCAAAGAAAAAGGGGGAAGGCGAGTTGCAGTTGAGCTCTGGCAATGTTGGGGATGTGAGTTGACGAGGGATCGCTAAGTCTCCGTAAGCTGCGTGAACTGCGTGAGCGGGTGAGAGTGAGTGTGCCGCATGAGCTGAGGGTCGCAGCCGATGATGGCACTGGCGGCGGCGGCAGCCCAAAATCCAGCCTGCGTCCTGTCAGCGCTCCACTCGACGCTAGACGCTGCGGCGTGGCTACCCTTGCGGCATTTGATCTGGCTGCCGAGCTAGCTTGTCGTGTGCATGGCGCAGTGGGCGCGGAATTATCTGCCGAGTACGCCTTCCTCGCTCCGGCGCAGTAGAGCGAGGTGCTGAGTAACTGAGACGGCGAGTGGAGAGTTGACAACACGTACCCGAGCAATGTAAGTCAGGCGCGACATTAGCGTCAAAGGGAAGCCACGTGCCATTTTACGTAAGCAACTTTCTGGGTGAGGAGGGAAGACGGAATCAATCCCACTCACTCCGTGTCCGACGAACTGTCAAAGACGTCCCCGCTCATTGGGCTGCGACCATTCTCAGCGACCTCACCACCTCAAAGACAACACTAGACACGATGGCCGACCTCGACTACAGACCGACGGTGGAGGAGTATGGCAGTGAGTACTTGCCGCTGCCCCGACGACTCGCATCCGGCTGCGGGTCGCTCGCGGCTTAAAGCCGGGAGTTCGTGACGCTGACCTCGTATCAACTCTCTTCGGACATCCACACCAACAATGCGCGACTTATGGTGAATTAACACGACCGCCTCACTCCCCGGTCTTGTTCTCCTCGACTGTACGACGTACTACGAACGACCTCCTTGGATAAATTCTCCCCTTGCCATTCGCGTTCACTCGATCCTATCCTCCGCTTGTGACCGTGATTCCCGATGAACAGAGACAATCAAGGGCCGTGAGGACCACATCCGGGAGTCCTGGATCCGATGCATGGAGGCTCGCATTGTCCGTGAGAACCTCCAGAAGTGCTACTACTTCGAGGGCGTCAACCACTACGCCAACTGCAAGGACCTCGCCGACAAGTACGCCAAGATGATCCGTGACAACAAGGTGAGCTACATTACCAGCGACTTTGACTGACGGCAGGTCTCTGGCTACAAGGTCATCGACGAGGAGTAGAAGCTATAAACCATGCATAAAAGATTCTCGATAATCATGCGGAACTTAGGATCTTAAGGACTTAGGGGGTGAGGACGCCGCTCACGTACGACACGCTAGAGTCACGGCCGCTCGTGCACTTTGAGCTTTGCTCGTACCGCACAAAATTGAAGCGGACGCTGTCGGCCCCGGGCTTGCCGGCATACTCGTACTGCAATAGATTGAGCAGAACGGTGATGGGGTTGCGTCCGCAAATGGTATTCTGAGCAGTCAGCGCTCATGGCCGGGTGTTCTGGTCAGGCAACAAGGAAGCGCTCGCACTTCACTGTGAAGGATGTTTGTTACTCGCCTTTGTGCGCGCTAGATACGATTCCCACTCCTCGACTGCGCCGTCTCTGGCAGGAGAGCGAAGGAGATCCATTCCTTCATGATCCATGTACTGGATCGACTTCCAAATTGGCACGTCGCCGGAACTCTGACCGGCATATCTCTTGACGAGCTCAGGCGTCGGCGTGTTCTGAGGGGTAGAGTTCGCTGGGACGGGAGGCACGGGGTTAGGTGGATCGGGGGCGTGTGGATAGTAGGGAGTGCATGAGAAGCGCGATCCCCTGCGAGTCAGATGCAACGTCTGGTGAAGGGAACTCTGCTCACCAGTGACAGAAGTCCGAGGAAATGATGAAGAACGTTTCGTCGTCATTCCAGTACTTGGAGAGGGCGGCGGATATGGCCTTCCGCTTGTCTTCGCTAGGATGACCGACGAGGAGAGGCACAAGCTTGATGTCCCGCCTGCATGTCAGCTCGGTGAACCCTACTGCTTGACTTCGTGGCTACTCACTTGCCGAAGACCTGGCGGATGTAAGGGAGGTGCATCTCGAGCGAGTGCTCATCCTCGTCGACGCTGCTCTTCATGTCCGAGAATAGGCGTGACTTGCGGAGATCGGCGATGGCTGGACGACATTAGCGTCTTTGTGTGCGTGTGTGCCTGGCGGCATGGCGCACCTTCCAGATCCAGGGGGATATCTCCAATGGGCGTCCCATAGGATGCGAACTTGCTGAGCGCAATGCCGGAGAGGTAGACATGGTGACTAGGTCCAAGGAGCACAACGCGCTTGCTGGACTGATCAGCGCCCATCACGCTCTCTCGCGACTTACATCTTGTCGACAGGCACAGCCGCGTAGGCCCACGCTGCCGCCGGCCCGGAATAGGAGAAGCCGGCATGCCTAAAGTCAGCACAACAACAACAGCCCGCTGGCTCACGGGGCGATGATGGCCTTTGCCTCTTTCACGGGGGGACTGAACGGAGGGTTGTTCAGCGGATGCACCTTGTCGAGGTAGCCCGACAGCTCGGCGGTGAGTCGAGAGCCTGAGGTCAGTCGGTGGCAACGTCATAGGGCTCAGCGATGATCACTGTTGTTCGTGTACCAGCTCCCAGCGTGTGAGGCTTCGCGTACTCTGGTACAGTCAGCTGGTACAAGCGTTTGAGAGCTATTGCTCACCCCGACATGCTCGTCGTGATAGCTGAGAGAGGATGCAATGATGAAAGTGCGGCTGGCAGGGCTGATAGTGGGAACGCACACATGAAGCGGATGCAACCGACCTGTGGGGCACCAGCGTGATCGGCAAGCCAAGGTGACCCTTATGTCAAATGATGCATGCTGTCACTACATTCACTGGAATACAAAACCAGCTACATTAACGGCGCCTGGGAGGCGTGTCATCGTCATATCTTCTACGGTGGGGAGGGGAGTCATCGCGACGGCGCGGAGGGGGGCTGTCATTACGACGGCGAGGGGGAGGACTGTCATCGCGGCGGCGCGGAGACGGGCTGTCACGTCGTCGTCGAGGAGGGGTTACGCTATCCCGACGGCGAGGGGGGCTGTCGTCGCGGCGGCGGGGAGGAGTCGAGTCCTTACGACGACGGTCGGGACTCGGCGTCAGAGAGTCAGAGTAACGCCTCCGGCGAGGAGGCGAGCGATCAGAAGCATCCGAATAGCGTCGGCGAGGAGGGGGAGATCGCGAGTCATCCGAGCTGTATCGCCTACGGCGCGGAGATGGCGAACGAGAGTCGTCCGAACTATACCGCCTACGGCGCGGAGAAGGCGACCGCGAGTCATCGGAGCTATAGCGCCTGCGGCGTGGCGGAGATCGCGAGTCACTCGAGTAACGCCGACGGCGGCGGTACCGCGAGTCGTCGGACGAGTAGTCGGAGCTAGAAAGGTCACTTTCCGAGCTCGACAGCACAGACGACGAATCGCTGTCTGAGCTGTCCTGGGCGGCAGCTCTCTGCTCAGCCAGCAGCTTCGGAGCATTTTGCAGCCACTCGCGCATATCTTCCGTAACAGCACCGAGGCCGATCTGCGTGAAATAGTTGATCGAGAAACGAGTGTTTCGGGGGTTGTCGGTCGGGAACATGCCCGCAAAGGCCGGCTGCAGGTCCGGGAACTTCAGGCGCTCGACCAGCTTCTTCAGACCCAGCTCCTCCTTGACCTCGGTGAAGGCAATCTTGACGAAGATACGCGAAGACGACGTCGTCTCCTCCTCATTCATATGAACAACGTGCAGAACAGCCCAGGAAATAGCGTCCGACGCCAGCATGTGACCAAAGAAGCGGGCAATGTTTCGGAGCTTGTTCGTCTCGTATCGGTGAATGGTGTCGTAGTATCGCTGAAAGGCGTCCTGGAATAAATCGGTCCAAATGCGGTTCAGCTTCGCGAAGCGCTCGCCGATAGAGCCGAAGAACGCCTTGTAGGTACGCTCCTGCGAGCAACACTCAATGATCATGTTGACGAGCTCGACTTCGCGACCCTCTGGAATGTTGACCTTGAGCAGCTTGTGGACGGCCTCCTCGAAGTTGAGGGAGTTCATGATTGTGAGGTAGATCGTCCGTCGCAAGTTGATGAGATTGGTCTCCGTCATGTCGGTAATACCCTCCTTTTCGGGTGCGACGTCGTCCTCCGACTCAGAATCAGAATCGTAATCGCTTCCGCTGCCTGAATCCTCGTCGTCGGAATCGCCGAGAATCTCTCGCTTGATCTCGTTGTAACGCTCCTCGTTCTCCAAGAAGTTAGGGTCCACCTTGAACAGATTGAGACCCTCCTGAACCTTCAACTCGTCGTCGAGTGAGATCCTGTGCGTGATCTGTTCCTCTTCTTCCACCAGGTCGAGACCCTCGGGGATCATCGGGTTGTCCTTGTACTTGTCCTTGCGAACCTGGAAGAGCACCTCGATCATGTACTGGCAGCGCTTTGAAATGGCACCCTCGTGGAGAACAGCGCGGAAACGCTCGAACACCATGGTGTTGGCCCGCGGCGAGTTCTCGGACAGGAAAAGACCAACCTCGCGCATGAAGCTGACCGCGACTTCGACCGAATCGTCCGTCGGGCGTTCGAGGCAGAGGAGGAGGATCTGGAGCGCAACAATCTCGTGGGCGACATATTGGTTCACGAGGTGCGCAATGAAAGTTGACGTGGCGTTGCACACATTCTTGTCGTTGCGCTTGTACGCACGGCGGAACTGGGCGATAAGACGGGTGAGGACAAGCTCGCCGACTTGGGGCAGCTTCGTGTTCACGATGGCCACGAGAGCAGCAAAGATAGGCGTAAACGGCAGAGAAGCGGCCTGCGCACGCATCACACTGCGCGCAAACAGGCCCTTACCGCGGATCAGATTCTCGCCGAACAGCTCCGGCACAACGTGCTTGATGTTGGTGATGTTGACCTTGTTGATCATACCGTTGATGCTCTTGCGGAGGGCATCCCACGACATGCGCTGGTACTCGGGACTCGTCTTGTCCTTGCTCGCTTGCTCCTGCATCGCCCTCAGGCGAGCGGGAGGGATATACGCGCCTCCTGAGCGGGAGCCAAGGAGGCGCGCGAACTCGGCGCGAGCATCGGCGCTCGGCGCAGCCACAGTGCCGTTTCCGTTCTCGCCTGCATCCTTGACCTCACTGCGACGCGGTGGCTCTTCATCGGGCGATCGATCCCTGCGACGCCTCGCGGGAGGAGAGGGCGACCGGGCTCGAGGAGAAGCCGAGGGGGACCTGTCGTGATTAGCATTGTTTGTGACGTCGCTTCTCGGGTCGCGCTTACCTCTTGCGCTTCGACGTCTCCGGCGACGGGCTGCGCGAGTCGACACTCGGGGAGCGAGATGTTGAGCGGGGCATACCAGCAACCTGCGTTTGTGGATGAGGGAGCTCCCGCCTTTTGAGGTGAGATGGAAAGAGTTCAGTCTGTCGCTGAAGTGAGGCTCACGCGGTGAAGGCGAATCCGGAGCTGTGGGCGGCAAATTCTTACGTGTCAAATGACGGATGTGATACCGCAGGGCGGGGCCCCCGACTTCGAGTGTTGACGCGTATGGCCACGGGGTGATCGACGAGCGACAGGCGATGTCTGTCTTCCTCATCACTCCTTTCTGAAACCTTAATCTCCACGTCAAAGATGTCCAAGCCCCAGGACAGCAGTGCCCTTTTCGCGGCTATCCGCGAGGCCGCCGACAAGTACCCCAAGCCCGACGGCGTCACCTTCGGCTATGGTACCGCCGGCTTCCGTACTCTGTGAGCACAACCATAAACAAGAGTGCTGGACCTCGCTGACCGTCGAAGCGGATCGAAGCTGCCGTCCGTTCTGCTCCGTGTCGCGCTCCTCGCTGTCCTCCGTTCCCAGCGTCTGAACGGCCTCACCATCGGTGTCATGGTCACGGCGTCGCACAACCCTGAGCCTGTGAGTAGTCCGGCACACCGCGCATGCACGTGCATCGCAGCCATCGCACCGCCGACATCGCTGATATGTAGGACAACGGTGTGAAGCTTGTCGACCCCGCCGGTGAGATGCTCGAGCAGTCGTGGGAGGCGTACGCCACGCTGCTGGCTAACTGCTCGACGACCGACGAGCTCATTGCGGGCTACCAGCAGATCGCCGAGTCGCTGCACATCAACGTTACTGCCCCGGCCTCCGTTGTCTACGCCAGGGACACTCGTCCTTCCGGACCCGAGCTCGTGACTGCGCTCCAGACCGGCCTTGAGGCGTACGGTGATATTGTCAAGACGAACGACCTCGGCGTCCAGACGACCCCGATCCTGCACTACGTCGTCAAGGCGGTCAACGACAAGACGGGCGAGTACGGTACGCCGACTGTCGAGGGATACTACGAGAAGCTTGCGACTGCGTTCAAGACGCTGATCGGCAACCGCAAGCTGGAGCCGCTGTACGTCGATTGCGCGAACGGTGTCGGCGCCATCGCTCTGCAGGACTTTGCCAAGCACTGCGACGTTCTCCCCTTCAAGGCGCTGAACACGGATACTGAGAAGCCCGGAGCGCTCAACTACCAGTGCGGTGCCGACTACGTCAAGACGAAGCAGGCGCTTCCCCCTTCTATTGCCGAGTCGGGTATTCTCACAAAGCCAAACACGCGCGCGGCCTCGTTCGACGGCGATGCCGACCGTATCGTTTACTACTACCTGCGTGACGGCAAGACCTTCCGTCTTCTCGACGGCGATAAGATTGCTGTTCTTTCCGCGCTCTTCATCGGTGACCTCGTCAACCGCGCCAAGCTCGGCGACAAGATCCAGGTCGGCGTCGTGCAGACTGCGTACGCCAACGGCTCGTCGACCAAGTTTATCAAGTCGCGCAACATTCCCGTCTCGTGCACGCCGACGGGTGTCAAGCACCTGCACCACGCTGCGCAGCGCTACGATGTCGGTGTCTATTTCGAGGCGAACGGACACGGCACCGTTCTCTTCTCTCCCGAGGCCGTGTCGACGCTCAAGTCGGCTCAGCCCAGCAGCCCCGACGAGGCCAATGCGATCAAGTACCTCCTTGCGCTCGGCGACCTGATCAACCAGGCCGTCGGCGATGCGCTCTCTGACCTGCTCCTTGTCGAGGTCGTCCTCGCCTACCGCGGCTTCACGGCCACGGAGTGGGACAGCAGCTACGAGGACCTCCCGAACCGTCTCGTGAAGGTCGAGGTCCCCGACCGCTCCATCTTCACCACCACCGATGCGGAGCGCAAGCTCACGTCCCCCGCCGGCCTGCAGGCCCGCATCGACGAGGCGTGCAAGAAGGTCGACCTCGGCCGCTCCTTCGTCCGCCCCTCGGGTACCGAGGACTGCGTCCGCGTCTACGCCGAGGCGTCGACGACGTCGGCCGCCGACGGACTCGCCGTCACCGTCTCCGAGCTCGTGAAGGAGGCCGCGGCCAACGTCGCCGCCAAGGCCGCTTAGGCAGCGGTGAAGGCGCAGAAGGCGCATAAGGCGCAGCAGGCGCAGTAGTCGATGTCGAAATAACTAGAGCCATAAACAAACCCCTCTTCCTTCCACCCTCCCATAAAATACCAAGTCGCATGAAAGGTTTCTTCGTTTAGCGGTGGCACGGTGTAGCATAGTGGCAGCAGTATACAAGCGTTGGTAACAAGAACAAGCACAGGTATCGAGATCGGGAACAGGTATGGTGGTGCTACATGAGGACAGTGTCAGTCCGAGGGCGCGGGCGGATAGTCCGGGTACTGATGGTACGGCAACGGCGGAGTCACACTCGACGAGGACGCACTCGAGGAGTGTTGCGAGTACTCAAGGGGGTTTGCCTGCTAAGCCGGCCCCTGTTGCGGCGACGCCTGTGGGGGGATGTGCGGCGGTGTCGGGAGGTTTTGCGGGGGCATCTGAGGCGGGGTCGTTTGTGGCTGGGGCGGAATCGGGATATCGAGCGGCTGAGCCTGGACGATGCCGAGGACCTGGTCGAGCACGTCCCAGTGCTTCTTCTCCATGGCGGCGATGCAGTCCCTCAGGCTCTGGGCAAGCGAGTCGAGAATGTTGGCGCATCCGTTCGCGATCGTCTCCCCGCCGCTCTCGGGGTCCGGTGTGGTATACTGGGCCTGCGAGCGCATGATCTGCCCCGCCTCTCCTATCAGCGGCAGCCAGGGGGGTGGGCCCGCAGTGACTGGGCGCTGGTACGTCCAGATGCCGACTTGGATCTCGACGAGCGCCTTGCACGCCTCCACCACCATGGCGAGCACGTCGTGCACGGGCTGCATCGTGCCGCGGGGCATGTGCACGAAGTGGCTGAGGAGTTGTTCCGCCGCCTCGGCCCGGCGAGGGAGGACTGCACGAAGTGCCTCAACGACAGCCGACTTCGTCATCCACGCCGTCAAAATGTCGTTAGCATTGAGTGCGCGGTCGAGCGCATAGTGCGCCTTGGCGGAAGCGGGGAGACCAGAGGGTAGGTTGGGTATAGCACAGGCGAATCCCGGCAGGAAGTGCAGCGACATGAGGATGTGGAAGGCCGTGATGACCTGCTTCATGATGACCCAACGCCGGCGGAGGGCGCGGTATGCGAGCCAGCTTGACGTTATCGTAGACGGCAGCTTGAGAATGGCCAGAATCTGATCATGCCTCGCATCCTGTTGCACCATCGTGGCGTGGAACGACTCGACCTCGTGCAGGATCATCGGGACGGGGGAATGCGACGGGTCGGTCACGACCACATCAAGAATGGAGTAGAGGCGCTGCAGACTGTTGTGCAGGTCGTCGGCGCGGTAGAGCCTGTCGCAAACTGAGAGCTTGCCTAGATTCTCGACGGCGTTATCGCCCACGGCAGCAGCCGCCCAGAGGCTGTCGTTTTTCCACACAGGGTCGACGCCTTTCCGGGCTGCCGCCAGGTCGGCAGGCTTTCGCGGTCGTGCAGCCTCGAGCACGCTCTGCGCCTCGGCGACGCGGACGCCAGCCCATAACCAAAAGTCTGGGTTACCCCACGGTTCGAACCGACATTGCAGAACAAGGCTGCTGAAGTTGAGGGCGTCGGAGATCTGCCTGCTCGCCTCGACGATTCCCTTGCCCTGAGCGAGCGTGCGCGGGTCCGTGAGACAGTAGGGCAGCGCGGGCGCGAACGGTGCGTATAGGCTGAAGATCTCGAGTGCTTGGATAGCGTAGAACGACTCGGGGCGTTGCGAAAGCACGAGCAGCAGCAGTGTTGTGACAACGTCTCCGAGCTGGTCGCGAATTCGCCGCATCTCGGCGTCCTGGGGCAGGCTCTGTGCACCGATGAACACCGCTACGCACAGCAGAAACTGCATCGAGATGTCGTCGGGGTGCCGCTTCAGCAGGTCGAAAAGGTGGTCCAGATCCTGCAAGTGCGGGTGATAGGTGCGCAGAAGGTCTATGCGGGGCGCCAGACGTACGCGTGCCGCCTTGTCGACGATCTCATCGATGCGAATGTCGCTCGACACGATGATCCGCCTGTAGATCCCATCATACAGCTTCTTGCCTGCGCCCGACAGCAGCTCTGCGACGAGCGTCAGTGGGCGCCCGTGCAGGCGTAGCGTTGAGTTAGAGCGGTCGCCAAATACCGGCGCTACGTCGACCGTGTTGCTGACGACGTTGACGGGGCGCGACTTGCCGTTTGCTGAGCTCGACGAACGGCTTGCGGGGCTCGGTCGCTTGGGGCCCTCGGCCTTCGTTGACGGTACGGTCGAGGCGGAGGGACTGCCACGCTTGCGCTTCTTCATGCGCGAGTCGTCCACGACGCACGGGAGATGCAGCGTTGAACATCGATGACACGCCTTCGCTTTAGGCAGCGGCTCCGCCGAAGACGGTACGTCTAGGTCAGGCAGCTCGCACCGCGTCTTGCGCACCTTACAGGTGTTGCACGAGCGGCGTGCATGCGTCCGCCGGGCCTTCGGCTCACTTCCAAATGGAGTAGTCACAGAGCTCCCGACTGCATCCATTTGGAAGGGAGAGAACGCGGTTGTGATGGGCAGTCAAGGCGAACAGTACGGATAGATGCTCAGATGAGCAGACTGGCGTGAGGATCTGGTAAAGACGAGCACCAGGGGGAACGCGGGAGGCTGTGCCTGCTGATCTAAGCCTACGGTCGGTGAAATGACGCGCGCTGGCGGGCTCGGTGGGGAAGGCCGTGCCGGGGTTGAATGATCGAGTCCGAGGAAATGGGGAGGCCGCTCGGTGTTGGCGGTGGAGAGAGCGAAGTGTAGAGGAGTAGTGCAGGTGTAATCATGTAAGCAGGCGTGTGCTCGAGAGTGTGGTGTGCAGTGCGGTGCGGCGTGTTGGATCCTGGCGAGATGGGCGGGCAGTCTCGTGAATTGGGATGATGGGCAGAGATGGTAATGTGATAGACCGGTGCAGTTTAAGCTCGGCGCTAAGGGGGGAGATGAGTGAGCTACCCATTCGGGCGCGCCGGCTAGTCCGAGTCCGCCGCTCGCCTGCGCCTGCGCGCCTGGCCCAGTCGACTTCTCCGCTCACATCGGGCAATCCCTAGAACTAGTCCTCGTGGTATTAAAACTAGCCTAACAACGTCTCTCAAATCAGCCCGCACCGCAACCCTAATACCACTATACCGCAGTGATCCCCGGTTACCCTTGATCCAATATATCCCATATCTGCTTCCGCCCGGCGACTAAACCACTGGCCTTGCCTTCACGTCCCGCGTCATTCATTCGCCTCTAGCATCGACCATTTGTTTTGACAACAGCAGCCCTCCACCTCCCGCAGGTTCTCGACCGTTTTCGCTCCATCAAGAGTCGCTACTAGGCGACCCGGGACTCGATGGACTCGACGCTTCCGAGACAGCGGGACGAAGCGCGAGAAGGAAGGTCTGCGCCAACCTCGCGTCTTCCTTCTCCCCCGCCGTCGCTACCTGCGCGCCCGAAGTCACCGGAATACTTCCCTCCCACCGGGCAGGGTATCAGCACGGTGACAGACTCGCCGCGCAGAGGAGGCGAGCGCTCTCCGCGCCGATGGGATGACAACCGACGTCGAGACGGTGATCGGGACCGCGAATGGCGACCAGAACGAGATGGCCGCGATCGTGCCCTTCGTCGAGACAGAGAGGAGCGTGATCGTGAGCGTGACAGGCGACGAAATGACCCCGACCGCTACTATCGCCCTGATCAGGATGGAGACCGGGATCGCGACTATCGGCGAGCTCGGGACGGAGAGCGTCTTGGCGGCAGAGAGGACCGTTGGGATCATGAGCGTGACCGCCCCGATGACCGTCCTGTGAGGAGAGACCCTCCTCCGCACGTCATGCCTCCCTTCCGGGGTACACTGAACGATGATCGTTCTCGATCCACGACGCCTCGCCCTTATCGCTCCGGTCCCAACTCCCCGCACCCTTACGGCGGCCCCGACCTGAAGGCGTAAGTATCTGCACCTCTCAGCTGTTCACATGCTAACCCCAGGCGACGTGAAGAGCGCGAACGAGTCGAGTTCTCCATCTGGCCTCCCTCCCCCGAGCGGCCGTTCGCTGAGCTCGAAGCTGAGCGTAACGAACGCGCGGAGCGAAACGAGCGGCGTGAACGCGATCGAGACCGTGACCGCGACCGCGACGACCGCAGGTCGAAGAAGAAGAGCCGCAGACGGCGGTACGACTCTGACGAAAGCGAAGACGAGCGTGAGCGTCGACGCCGGCGGAGGAAGGAGAAGGAACGCCGTCGCGATCGGGACGACGAGGACCGCAGCGAACGGCGACGGGACCGAGACAGGGACGACGAGTGGGAGGAACGTCGCAGCCGCTCACCGAAACGGAGCAGGAGCCGCAGGAGCTCGTCTCGTTCTCGCTCGCGCTCTTTCGCCGTCGACACCCGCGACGTTTCCTCCGCCACCCCCGCTCCTATCCTCGAGGAGGACGACGGACCTGAAGTCGGCCCTCAGCCGCCGTCCGAGCTGCAGATCGCCGGCCGCTTCGAGCGCGAAGCGTGAGTACACAGCAGCAAGCTTCCAGCTCCAGGGACCGAAAGCTAACAACAGTGGCAAGAACCTGCTTCCAGGCGAAGCAGCCGCGATGCGACAGTACGTCGAGTCTGGGCAACGTATCCCGCGCCGCGGCGAGATTGGCCTGGACCAGAACAAGATCATGCAGTACGAGGCGTCCGGTTTCGTCATGTCCGGCTCTCGCAATGCGCGCATGAACGCGGTGAGAGTCAGGAAGGAGACGCAGGTCGTCAACGCGCAGGACAAGATCGACCTGATGAAGACGAAGAAGGAGGAGGCGGATCGCAAGGAGGGAGAGATCATCAGCCAGTTCCGGGAGATGGTCGAGGAGAGGCTGAGGGAGGAGGAGAGGAAGAGGAGAGACCGCGCGTAGAACTCATGTATACTGTGTATCTTTGTACGGCCTGTTGATGCTTGAGGATTAACATCACTGACGGGGCATGGTTGAAAACAGGCATACAAGACTCATAATCACATCATCTAAGGTGAGGCTAACTTTTGTGTTTACACGTCAAGACATCACGGCAGCAGCGGGACTTGAAAGCGTTGGAACAGGTGAACGGGGCGGCCTAGTTCTTTCCGTCATGCTTCACGTCTTCGCCCTTCCAAGTGCTCCCCTCGCCAGCGGACGGAGGGAAGGTGTGCGCCTGATACGCCGGCGGCGGCGGGGTGGGCACATCGCCCGAGGGGCTGTATCCTCCATATCCATTACCGAAGACGGGCGGGGGCGGGTGAGCGCCGTACGGAGTCTGGGTGTCAGCTCGAAGCGTAATCCCCTACAGCTGGCTCCGCGATTCCTCCTTGCTTCCATTCCGGCTGTTGACCCCCCTGGCCAGCATAGGTTCCAACGGCGCTTTGTCGCAGTCGACTCGGGAACCAACGTGGCTAGAGACGTGGCGGCCGAGACAGTTCCCCGCGACCGCAGAACTAAGAGGGAAGAAAGAGGAGGAACACTCACATCATACCCCACCACACCGGGCGGCGGCGGCGGCCTATACATTGCAAACTCGGCGGCAATGTCGCGCCGACGTCGACGCATGGCCCAGAAGACGGCGTATGAGATCAGCGCCGTACCGATGCAAATGGCGATGACGACGGCGGCAATCCGCTCCGAATGGCTCGTGTTCTCGTCGTCCCACCACCAGGCTGAGGCTGTGGGAGCCAGGCCGAGACCGAGGAGCAGGAGCGGGCCGAGCGGCGAAAGTGTCAGGATCATTGTCGTCGCCGCTTTTGGTGGAGGAGTGGGGAAGAAGGGGTTGGATGCTCAGGGAGTCGGGTGGCGGGTACGGTGGTAGTCACTCGACGTCGGTGGGTGTGCTCTCAGAGTATGGAATACGAGCGTTGAGGATGGATGAGATGCTAAGAATGCAGTGAGTAATGAAGAGACAATGATATGAGGATCGGCATGCGGTGCTGTGTTGACGCTGCGCTAGCCTTCTCGCACGCCGAGGGCGCACTGACCGCCATCATTTCTTGGCGCCGGTTGTGACGAGGTGCACAGCGACGTGAAACGCGTGAAACACACCTCACACGAATTACACGAACTCTATCGCGCAGCCAACGCGGACCAGGCACACACGCAACTGCGCCCAACGTATGCTCGATGCATGCTGCGAGATGCACGTCAGCCGCTTGCGAGATCGGGGACCAGATCGCAATCGAGATCGAGATCGTCGACTACGGCGGGTGTCCCAGATTAGCCCGCACCGTAACTCCGCAACAGAGTCAGTCTCATCTGCGGTGAGTAGCTTCCCACCCGCTCCCACAGTCAGTGCCTCGGTCAGAATAAAAGACATATGCATCAACGTCTGCTACACTGTCCGTCAATGTCCCGTGCAGGGATACAGGAATGAGATGGGGGAATGGCATGAGGGGTAAATGAGTAGGGACGAGGGATGTGCTCGGTCCGGAAGATGGTGGAATAAGTGTTCATGAGGGGGTAAATGTTAAAAAGCTAAATGTTTAAGCGAGGAGGGCGAGAGCGGCACCGACGGCGGCCAGCGAGCCGGCGACAGCGTTCTGGACAGCGCCGCTGTTCTTCTGGTCGGCGGAAGCGCCAGACTTGGTGGCGCCGCCGGCAGAGGCGGAGCCAGAGCCAGAGGCAGCGCCGGCACCGCCAGTGGCACCGGCAGAGCCGGAGGCGCCAGCGGAGCCAGAGGCAGAAGAGGAGGGCTGGACTCCGTCGATGGGGGTGGAAGAGTAGTTGCGGGTGCCGGCAACGTACTGCTCGAAGTTGGGGTAGAAGTAGTCCTCCTCAGCGTAGGGGTGGGTGATGTTGTAACCAACGTTGACGGGGACGATGTTCTTGAACGACTCCTTGATCTTGGGGTACTGAGCAATGAGCTCGGACATGGTGTTGTTGTTGATCTCGTGGTTCAGGACGATGGGGCCGTGGGTCTTGTACTCGCCGTTCTTGGCCTTGTCGATGACCTTCTGGTAGTTGCCGGCAACGGTCTCCTGGGTAACGCCGTTGGTGCCAATCTGCCAGTCGAAGGTGTCGTCAGACCAGACAATGTTGGTGAGGTTCATGTGCTGAGCAATGGCACGGATACGGTTGTCAACATCGCCGTAAGGAGGGCGCCAGCACTTGGGGGTGACATCGAGAAGGGCCTTGATGACCTTGCGGGTGTAGTAGAGCTCAGCGAAAGCCTGCTCGCTCGAGACCGAGGTCATCTTGGCGTGGGACCAGGTGTGGATACAGATCTCGTGGCCGTCAGTCTTGGCACGGATAGCCTGAACAGGCCAGTCGATAACGTTCGAGCCGATGAAGAACATGGTAGCACGCTGGTTCTCCTTGCCGAGGAAGTTGTAGAGGGCGTTGTGCGAGCAGTTGGGGCCGTCGTCAAAGCCGAAGCCCCAAGTCTCAGGCTCGGGCATGGTGGTGAGGTCAGGCTGGAGACCAGTGTCCTGGGCGGGCTGGGTGCACTTGGTAGCAGACCACCAGCAGCCAGAGTCCTGGGGGTCGTTGCCCTCGGTGCCCTCGGCGGGACGGACGGGGATGTTGGCAAACTTCTCGCCGAGGGTCTTGTTGATCTGGGCGAACATGTCCTGGGCCTCCTGGTCACCCTGGACAATGTGGGCGGGCTGCCAGGCGACGGGGTACTCCTTGGTGATCTTGGCAGCGGGCTCGTAGGTGTAGTAGGTGCACTCCTGGGTGACATCTGGGGGTGGTTAGCATGGTCCAGTCGGTAAACGGGGATGTTTAGTATCAGGCGCAGCTGGTGCTGCGGACCCGCGGACCGCGAGCCCCTTGAAGAGTCGATTCGTGACTACGACCCCAACCGTGCCCCGGAACGCATCAGACAGGTCTGGCTGATGATCTAGGCCACTTGCTGGCTGATGTGATACGAAGCGGATGATGTGGCGGCGGCTTGTGACGCCTGCCGTCCGAGATCGGAGAAACGGTAACGCGACTCACCCTCAACGTTGTCAGCGACCTGGCGCTTGGAGATGACGCGACCGCCGAGGTTACGGGCGCCAATCTCGTGACCGCCGCATCCGGTGTGGGCAGAGACCGCGCCGAGGATGGCGAGGCCGGTGGTAAGGGAAAGGAGCATGGTGTTGAGTAAGGGGACGGGGGTGATTGGCGACGATGCGCAGTGCTTGTCGGTGAAAATCAGAGCGAGTTCAGCTTTCCTTCTTCTTCAAGATAACGATGCACGGGGTGTCGTGGCAGCGAGAAGGGGTTAAAGAACGGAGGCGAGGAAGAAGAGCTATAGAACAGGTCGTTAAAAGGGAAAGGTGACGAAGAGTGATGAGGAGAGAGAAGAGAAAGAGAGACGACAGGCGAAAGTCAACCAGGGTGGTAGTGCACGCAGCGCGACGAGGAGCGACGCGGAGGGAGGCGACACCGACTGGCAGCTGGGCGAGCTGTGGGTCGCTGGGAGTCTAGCTCAGGGGCGCTACGTGCAGAGAGCAGGACGAGTCCCATTTTTCGCCGTCAGAGGCCCAGGACGGCCAGGACAAGCCAGGATGCTGGCCGTGGGCTGCGGTTTCGCTTGATTTGCACTTTTCTCGGTGTGGAAGGTGTTTGCCTCTGGGTCTGGGGGAGAGCCGCAGTTGACTCGCTACCGTCGGCAGAATGGGCAACTCTCAGGGTGTGCGCCAGCGACGAGCCAGGGAGCGGTCGACGTGGGCTAAAAATAAGTGTCGCGCGGCTCGGCGCCCACCATCCTCTCCGTGTCTGCAAGCTCAAGCGCAGCATGTGATTCTCGCGATCCTCCTAAGCTCCAGGGCTGGCAGATGTTAAACCCTGAGTCGTCTCCCTTCCCCCCTCAACTTGCTCCCCACTGCGCGTAAGAAACCTACGTCACTCCACCGAGCCATCGACACCGGTACACCGGACCTGTCGCGTGCGATCGTGCGCATCACACTCAGCCAACTGGACAAATTGTTCGTGTCGCGCCGCGCCGCGCCGTCAACCTCAAGATAAACTGCTTGCGTCGGACACAGGATGCAGGCACCCAGGGTGACGCCGCTAGCGTGTTTTACGGCCGTAGTTGGCAGACCCTCCGTCCCATTATCGCAGTCAGCGCCGGGCGGGGCAGCGTTCACCGTAGTCACACGGCGATGATCGATCGATCCCGCAGCAACATAACGCTAACCGGCAGTACCGCGCCGTTGCTCAGCCAGCACACGGCGCCGTGTCTACACTTGCGCAGCCATGGCCGGACCGTCTGCACATCGGCACATTTGTTAGGTTCCGTCAGCATGGCAGCAAAGGGCGGCGACAAGGGCCACAGGGCCGATCCGAATTGTCGCCTCGCAAGAGGTCCTGTCGACAGAACGCCCAGCGCACAGAGCCTCTGTACCGCGCCCGAAATAGTTTTCCCACGACTTCCCACTTCTCACATCGCCACACTCGCTCATTCCACACTACTGCTTGCTTGAACAGCACCGCTTTACTCCACACCCACAAGCACATGTTGCTGCGCAGTTACTGATGGCAGGACACTGACGATCGTCTCTGCAATGTATGATGGCTTGGCACAGTGGAGCCGGGGCAAAAGGCTAGAAGCACTTGGCAGCATCAGCTGCTCATCGGACACCTGGGAACCGAGGTGGCTGTTCCTCGGCCTCGTCCGACCCTCTCGCGCCCCAAGCGGGCCGGGCGACGGTGCAGAAGGAATATATGGAATCAGCAAAACCGCCGGACGCGATGGAAAGATAAAGATATCTCGCTTGCGATATATCGAGATCCGAGCGGATCCAGTGTCCGCGTCAGTGTCTGTGTGGCCATTATCAGCAGCCAATGGTCCAAAATAACATCCCGACGCGACAAGCGTGTGTGCGCGGTGTATTCTCGGCGATGTTTGTGCACTCGACGGTCACTTCCAGTTGCGAGCCAGGTTTACAGACACTCCGTCGCACCCACTCCGCCCTCTCTGCTGCGCAGTTATCGGTGGTCGGATGTCGGACACTGCACCGCCTCGATCTTGGACCCCACGATCAGCCTTCCTCGAGCACTCGTTGTCAGCTGTCCATCGCTGAGTCAGGTTTAAGCATAGCTGACTCGACAACAGCTCGCTCCCATTGTTCATCGACCCTTCCTGGGTCCACATGGTGTTGCTCGGCATCGCCTCAACGTCATCTAGCTTCAATGGATGTCGCGGAGCACACTGAGTCCAACATCGCCTTTATTCCTCACTAACCCGACAATGTCTCGGAGAAGCATGATGAGGTCGGTGCGGTTGCCCTCCGTCATCACCCGGCATCAGCTGTCCGACACCTGCGCCTGAGGTTGATATCGGCGTACTCGGCGCCGCCAGTCTCGGGGTCAGGTCTCGTCATCTTCACGGAGCGATGATCTGACCGGAAGCTAGTGTATCGCTGGCCTCTGAGCTTCTCCAGTCCGCTCTACTTTCAGCTCTCCAGTCCATTCGCCGCATATCCGCATTCCACTCCGTACCCACTTGGAGCTCGGCGGGTTCGGCGAGCTAATGCTTAGTTTCCGACATCGTTTCCGATCTAGGTCTCGTGACGCCTCTCGTCGGCACCGCCTTAGTCGCTCTCTGTCCCCTCAAAGGAATGAGATAGGTGGAAGCACGGCAGACTGGGACCGCCGTTGCATGAGCCGCAATGACGCCTGCGAGCATAACTGCCGGGCAAGCCTCCCAGACTCATTACAATGAAGGGTAATGAAGGGTAGGGCTGACTCTCGCGTCAGCCAAGTGGGGGATCCTCTCCTCCCGAGTCTGGAGCTGACACATGACACGCGAAACAGCTGTCTGATGATGCGCAACCGTGCATGCTTATATCTACCAAAGACAACATATGGGGTATAACTGGGCCTTGCCCGGAGGCTGGCAAGGAGCAGTGAGTTTTCTAAGCACTACCGTGCACTTATCTGGACTCGAGGCTGGCCATCCAGTCGCCGAAACGGAGCGCGCCTTGCCTGATCTGGTCCGTGATCTGCTGCACGTTCGGGTCCGACATGACCTTCTGCGCCATATCCCTCACGTTGCGGTCGAGCGCCTGGTACGTCTCGTTGCCCTCGATGCCAAGCATGCCCTCGCCGCCGTGCAGGTCGTCCTCGTCCTCCTCCTCGCGTCCGAAGTAGGCGTTCGAGCTGATCGCCGTGGCACCCTGGAAGTTCTGCAGGCGCGTCTTGGCCTCGGCGGACGCGTTCGGGTCGTAGTTGCCTCGTCCGAAGTACATGTCAGACGAGATCGACTTCTGGTTTCCGAATCGCTCCTTCGCGCTTCCGCTCGCGTCGCTGTCCGCGTCCTCCTCGAAGGCACGCGACTTCTGAACCGCCTTCGGGGGAGGCGCCGTCGAGGCAATCTGTCCAAAGCCGAGCTTGATGGGCACAGGCTTGTCGTCCTCGACCTTCTTGCGGCTCGAGCTCAGGGGCGTAGCAGAACGCGAGCTGCTGATACCGGCAGCCTGGTTCTTGCGACGCTCCTCCTCCTCACGCTGCTTCAGGGCCGCGGCCTCCTCCTCTTCCCTCTTCTTGTCGTAGCCGAGGCGCTTGATGCGCTCCTCCTCCTCACGAGCCTTGCGCTGGGCCTCCTCGAAGTCGATGGGGGCAGCAGCCTTCTTGGCTCCGAGCTTGGAGCCTCCAAGCTTGCTTCCGAGCTTCATGGGTCGTGCGGCGGGCTTGGCACCACCAGTTCGGAGGGACGAGGAGGTAACCGTTCGCGGTCCAGTAGCGGGCTTGGCGGCGGCAGCACCAGCACCGATGGAGGGAGGGGCGGGGGAGGAAGGCTTGCTCGGTCGGGGAGAGGGCGTGGCCTTGGCCTTATCCCACGACTCGAAGAAGTCGTCATCCTTCTCAGCGGGAGTCGAGGTCTGCGTAGCCATGGGCGTAAGGTCGAGGCCGTCGATGTGGATACCGTTGGGGTACTGCCTGGCATCCTCTGCGATGCGGCGCTGGAGCTCCTCCTTGTACAGCGAAGCAGCGTTCGAGGTGTAACGGGCGCGCGCATCGTGGTTGTTAGGAGGAAGAAGGTTGCCCCCTCCGCGCTTGGTGAAGAACTCGCTCAACGACGCATTGCCGCCAACCTTGAGTGCTCGGAGCTGCTGGAGAGACCAGGAGTCGAGGTTGGTAGAACTTTTGTCAGTAATGATGGCCGTGAAGATGCAGCGTTCTGTAGGACTTATTGCCTTCGATCGGACAGGGTAAGTCCCGTCCCGATAGAACACACGGTCCCACATGATGCTCTTAGCGTGATACTAACCGGACGAAAGAGATGTGCACACCGAGGTTGCGGTGAACACTGGAGCAGTCGAGACAGAGATAGATAGCGAAAGTGACAGAAGTCCAGGTGGGGTTCTTGGCACCGCAGTCGAAGCAGGTCTGTCTTGTCAGCTGGAGTTGCGACCGTAGAAGGTGAAGAACGGCGCTGAAGATAAGAGAATGGCAACTGTGGAGTGGCTGATGTTGAGGCAACAGAGCAAGATAGCAGCACGCAGGCGTTCGTATTGCAGTCCAAGCATGCACCAACGAAAAGAGCCTTGGACTCCTGTCGCCTGATCTTTCTCCGGTCATCGCGCCGCGCTGTCCCATCGCTATTACACCGATCGTGGGTACCGCGCACGCACCTTGTTAGCCTTCTGGTTTTTGAGATGGGCGAAGACGGCCGTGGTCTGGGCCTTGGTCGGGTCCATGATACAGAGCGGAGTAACGGAGCTGGTCGTTCGAAAGTAAGCAAAAGCGTCTAAAGACGGAGACGAAGACGGGAGTGAAGAAGGGCAGAGAGCAACAACAGCGGTTCAGCGTCGAGCCGTGCGGACATTGCCTGCGTTGGAGGACACGTCTACTCGCCATGATGGATGTTGGCGGGGGCAATTCCACGTGACAGTCTGTAACAACGGTCCGCACCCGCGTCCAACCTTCTGCGAGCGGCGAGCGACACGACCGCCGCCAGGGCACATCGCCTGGGCTCGCGGCGCGTGCACTGACCTCCATCGATCCTGATCCTGGCCACGACCGACTGACCAAGATTGCACTGCTGGACATCGACTTCTTCATCTCCACACATCTATCACTATGGGCCAGGCTGAGTCAAGCGTCTTCAACACCCTCGAGAAGAACTCCAACTGTACGTCGCATCGTCCCCTCCATGCCCTGCTGCTGTGCAAGTGCTGACACGCAACCCCCTCCGGCTTCTGATACCCGTGACCGATGTCTGCCTCGTCGAATGATGTCCGCCGCCGCTCGACTTTAACACTCGACCCCTCGCATGCCCGCGATCGGTCCGGGCGACAACGTTTTCCTTGCTTGCCTGGTTGGATTTGCGGATCTTCTCTCCCCAACTCTGCGGTTGGAATGCTCGTACTGGTACTGGACATTGACCTTCCTCGCTGCTTACCTGGTGTGATCGAAACCTTCAGTCTCGGCTCCCGAGCTGATCCGTCTCAAGAAGCGGTTCATGAAGCTCGACAAGGACGGATCTGGCGCGATTGACAAGGACGAGTTCCTGCAGATCCCCCAGATCGCCAACAACCCGTTGGCGCACCGAATGATCGCCATCTTCGACGAGGAGTGAGTAGGAAATAGTCGGCGGTTTGCGCGGGTGGCGACGAATGGACATTTGCAGCTGGTGAAAGCTGTTGAGCTGCTACGTCTGCGAGCTGTGTGCACACTGTCGCCGTCCGCGCACCACAGTGGCGTGAACGAACTGCGCGGATCAGCTTTCTGTCGATACTTTCAGCTGACTTTACAGCGGCTCGGGTACGGTAGACTTCCAGGAGTTTGTCGGCGGTCTCTCTGCCTTTTCCTCCAAGGGCGGACGAGATGAGAAGCTGCGGTTCGCGTTCAAGGTCTACGACATGGACCGGGACGGGTACATCTCGAACGGCGAGCTGTACTTAGTGCTGAAGCAGATGGTCGGCAACAACCTGAAGGACCAGCAGCTGCAGCAGATTGTCGACAAGACGATCATGGAGGCCGACAAGGACCAGGACGGCAAGCTCTCCTTCGAGGAGTTCACCGAGATGGTCTCGTCCACCGACATCGTCAAGCAGATGACGCTCGAGGACCTGTTCTAAGCGCGCACACACGGATGTGAGCGTAACGAGCGCCGGTAGAGCGAGCGTGAACGCAAGCACCGCTGGTGCACCAGTGCCAGCGTCACTTGCAGATACGCTTCGGCTCCCTATGCTGAAGGAGAATAGACTCGATTATCGTCGATGAGCGACGCCGCCAGACAGACCGCACCTGCCCGCCCCCGCCCCTCGAGGCCGATACCACTGTTTGTACATATTTAGCTCTTCCCCTTCCATGAACATCATGACATGTCGGCCAGCCGTCCAATACCCTACACAGAGTTCATCTCGATGTGCTAGATTTACAACTCTATTGGACGTGCGCGTGCTGCTAACAACAGTCTGTGGGTGGAATGAATGAGCGTATGATGACGAAGAAGGAAGTGAGAAAGCTGGTCGTCCATGAGGGGTATAATGTGAGGCGTAGAGGTATCGGATCGCGAGGAAGTGCAGCTCGCATAGTCGGCAACGGGTATCAGTCACATAGGAAAGGGGCGGGTATGGAACACGACAAGAGACCAGCTATTGAGTTTTGACCCAGGACAACAAGCGAATCGAATCAAGATCATGAAGTGCGGGGAAATGAATGCGAGGCATGCAACGTAATGGAGAGAGGAGGGAGGGCCGAGGGTGGCGGATTGGGAGCGGATACCGCGAGCGAGAGGCTTGAGCCAGCATCGTGAGCAAGCTCCAAATGAGACGAGAGGGTACAATAACAAGGGGCGAAAGCGAGAGAGATCATCCCATCTGACTCTCCGTGTTCTGCACTTTGTGCACGCCCCATGCGATCACGGCAATGACCGCGATGATCGTGAGGGCGAGCGGGATGACGAACATCGGGTTCTTCCAGATAGACCTCTTCTTGCTCTTCATCCACTCCGACTCCTTGCGCGGGTCGTGGGTCTTGGCGACGACGGACATGCGCTTCCAAAAGTCCACGGTCGACAGCGGTCGGAAGGCCGACTTGCGTCCGTTCGGGTTTCCCGGCTGGCGGGGGCGCGGCCTCGGCCTTCCCTCACCCGTTATGCGGGGGGAGAACGAGGTCAGCACCTCGTCCTCGCCTTCGCGGAAACAGGTGCCCTTCTCGCGCATCTTGTCGAAGCCGGACAGGGGCGAGTTGAGGTTTGCCTCGATCGCGCCGATCGCCTTGGAGGAAGGCGAGGCCGGAGGAGTCATCGGCGAGAAGTGCGCGCGAGGAGGAGCCGCGAGCATGGGAGACACAGGCAACGTGTTCGGGGGAACGACCGTGCCCGTGTCGTGCGGGATGAGCACCTTCGGCATCGGCCGCTGGGGTTGCGGCTGGTGCATCGGGGTGGGGTTGAACATGGGGTGTCCCATCGGCGCCCCATTGCCGTTGGGGTGCGTCGGCGTGCTCGGCGTCGGCGGGCCGTGCGGGCCAAGCTGAGCGTACTGCCTCGTCGGGGTAGAGGGCGTGGGCATCTGCAGCTTGGGCAGGTTCGCGCGTGTCGGCGTACCCGGCTGCTCGTAGCCACCGGCAGGAGCCTTGTTGAGAGAGCGGCTCGCTCGCGCCTTGTTGTCGTCGTACATCTCATAGTTGGGCGTCGGCTCGTCGTATGCAGGCTCATAAGCTGAATCGACCATATCGCGCATGACTCGCGCGTGCAGAGAGTTCTTGTCCACTCCTACGTATTCCTCCTCGTCGCGGAACGCCGGCTTGTTGTTGCCACCGCCGAGGAGCAGACCGCCGATCGAAGACAGATTCGTGCTGTTCCTCTCATCGTGGACCGGAGGGGCGTGCAAGTCGCGGTCACTCGGAGAGGGCACAGAGCGGTCGGAGAATGGGTCATCCACTTGCGAGTGCTGGGACTGCTGCGCTCGGGGAATAGCGTACAGTTGCGGTACACGGGCCATGGTGGGTCGTTATGTGATTGCGTTGTGTTGGTTCAGAAACAGATAACAGTGGTGGGGATTGTCGAATGCGATGGCGGAGATGGTTGTGCGGGGTGAACGAGAGCTTATGCGTGAGGAGGGGGTCGTAACAATGCCAGAGGTGAACAGTGAATGAGCGTGGTGGTATAATGAGTGTGGGTAGCTTGAAGGCAAGGGCCGATGGGACTCAGTCTCTCTCCGGTGTGACGAAAGGAAGTGAAGGAAGGTCGGGGGAGGAGAAGATGGAGGAGATGGAGGGGGACGCGGGACGGAGAGGCGGAGGAGAGACGAGCTGGAGAAGAGCGATGGAGAGGAGGACAAGGTCAGTCGGGAGTGTAAGTGTTCGAAGACGGTGCAGCGCTCGGGCCGCGGGCCGGCTTGCAACCTTGTCGGCCAGGAGGCTGTAGTCTGTTGTCAGTAGACTGTGGAGGCTGAGCTCAGTAGGGCAGGTTGATCCTGTGGAATCCAGGTTGCGATCCTGGGTGAGGAGGGCTGGCTGGTCGTCGGGTGGTCCTGCCAGTGCGCCTGGGCGAGCGTGCGCAGCGCTCTCTCTGGAACTCTGGCCGGCCAGGCTGGCCTAAACCTGAGGTGTGGCTGTGGATAGCATCTGGGGTCAGAATGCAGGATCAAGGGAGGCGCTTGGGCTGGATAATGAGCAGGCTGAGCGTGAAAGTGGAAGAAAGTAACGTTGGTGGAAACGACCTGGCGCCGCCCTGGGCGAGGTCTATCCCATCAGGCCGGCCGGAATTCAGTCGGGGACCCTCACCCTGGACCGGCCGGGTGGTTCAGGTTGGTTCAGCCTGCAGCGTCCCAGGCGTCTAGCCTCTCTCAGCGTACTGCATGCAGGGCTGCACTAGGTCCCACCGTGCATGGTGCTCCGTGCGCACCGTGCAGACTTGCGCACGGTGTCGCTCCCGCCAGGCGAGCCAGAACAGGCTTAAGCGCAGGCTTGCAAGTGCTGGCCGCATGACCGCTGACCGCGTTGGCCCTCTTGTTCGCCTGCTCCATCCTTTATGGAGCGCGCGGAACCACGCGCAGCATTGATTTCGCTACGATCACGATCGAAGACGCTCATTGCCTTCTGTCATCGGCATGCGCAGTTCTAAACCGAGCAAAGGAGCGGGTGTTTGCAGACTGATTGATGTAGTTGTACATGAACGAGCATGTGTCCACTGACAACGCCGAGGTGCGCCGCATACCGGTGCGTCTCGTACTCAATAGGACCTACCGGGTGCCGTCCCGTAGGCGCATTCACAATCCCGTCAGTGGCGTCCTCCCCGGGCGGTGCCTCCGGCTCGTGGCCCACTGTTGGCGTTGTACTCGGGAGGTGCAGGTCAGGCTCCCGGCTTCCAAGCTGTCCTCGATACGGCCTCCAGCGGCGATGTAAACTGCTCTGCAGCGGTCGTAACAAAGACACGATTTCATGTGTAGAGCAGCGGAAGACGAGTGCCGCTCAGACTGCGCAGACAGATCTGTTCAACCACCCCTGCGGTGCGGCCAGTCGTCTCCGGTCCGGCGCAGTCTAGTGTCAGATCGCACCCGGCGCGGCGCTAGTAGATGACCACCCAATGTCCTGTCCTCCTTTGCTCCTTGACTGCACCGCCCGACATGTGTTCAATGCTGCGGCGCCGCCTTCTATTACTTGTTGGTCCGCGGCCTGCTAAATGACTTGGCGGGCTGCGTACGAGCTGCGCTCGCGCGTGAGGGAGATCACGTTCCCCACATGTCCACCTAGTGCGAGGTGCCGGCCAATGGAACTCGTGCTGGGTGATGTGAGCGGGGTATGCGCAGGTTTGCATGGGGGTACCGCAGCTCCATGGTGAGCTGTTAGCGGGCTCAGCAGCATCAGAAACGGTGCGCGGCACAGCTCGCAACCAACATGCATAATGCCCTGCTGCGAGCTTGAAGACTCCTGCCCAACAGCAATAAGCACGCGGACCATCGAGGGCTGCGGGGCAGAGTGCCCGTGCAGTGGCGCCGGGTTCCGGGTTCGCTCCGGGTGGCTTTCGATGTTGAGTCTGTCAGTGAGGCGTGCATTCCGCACCGCAATGGTAACTGCAAGCAAATGACGAGAGCGTCCTGAGTCCCTTCCGTTTGGTCTTGAACTGAACGTTCACTCGAACACTCCTTGGCTCTGAAGTTTTGTGAAAGGGGGGGTCCTTGAGACAGTGCTTGGGAATCAATACTTGGGATTCAGTAAGACCGAGGTAGATCACAGGCTGCGTACTCCCCGCCAGGCCCGGCAGACCCGTCAGACACGACGCGAAACGAGGCCCGAGTCGAGGGCTTACCACGCCGGTGCGCCGGGAGTTCCTTTCGTGACGGACCTGGAGCGAGCGACCGCTGAAATGGCCGATGTCGCCGGCCCCCTCTCCAAAGCTCTCTCCCTGTCCGACGCGCTGAGCCCTAGTAAAGGCCGGCGGCACTGGCAGGTTGTGCCAATCACGGCCTTGAAGCCCATTGTGACAGAAGGCAGGCCCCAAAGTCGCGAACTGCGGCGCAGACCCTGGACTGCCCGGTACGCGCCGGTGAGCGCATGTCGCTGGCCGTCAGCGAACAGAAACGCTTACTGCGAGGTATGCCAGGGACCTTAGGGCGAAGGTATGCACATGAGGCGAACGCATGTCAAGCCCACGGCAGTGGCGGTGTGTCGGGCCTTTGTGCTCGGACAGAGCCAATGGATGCGCTCGGCGCAGCACCTGTCCAGGGAGTAGGCGTCACCCAGAATTCGAGGCCCTCCGGACCCCGAGCCTCCGGCTGGGCACCGGTGGCCGCCGAGCGCATGCCCAGCAAGTAGCCAGCGGGGTGGCAGGGGATGCTTGTGCATGCTCACTTTGCCCAGAGATCCACGATCGCCTGGTAACATACGCCGAGAGGTTTGTTTGGGCTCCGCCGAGACCGAGTGGCCAAGACTTCGCGTGCTCCGCCAAGCTTCACATCGCGCAGCGCAGTGGGTCGCGTGCTGGGCAGAGGTCGTCAACAGAGCTGTATCAACCGGGGCATACGGTGTCAGTGGCGAATAGCACGTACGGTGTGCTTCGTTCTGCCCAGCGCTTCGGTGGCCTGTGCGTCTGGGGAGCGCGAGGCGTGCGCGGTTCGGATTGTCTCATCGCTTCACTGCGCCGACAATCCGCTTCTGCAGCCAGATCGTCAGCTGATCTCTTGACTCCGCGCACGCCGCAGATGCTGTCCTCCGCAGCGTCGTAACTGCGGATTGACGGGTTGATGAGGGCATCGCACTTCGAAAGCAATCCCCTCTCATTCTGCAGACATAATCCGTGGCCATGGCAACCATGTCAGAGGACACCGCCGAGTACGGCGCGGTCTCACTTGTAGGCGCTCGAGGCTCTGTATCTCAGTACCTTGGGCCGCGCCCAACTGACAAGAGTATGCGGCAATAGATGGGGCAGTATTGCAAGAGCAGGAGCGTTCGACGCTTGGGCCGCCCGGACGTTCCTAGTCCACACAGACACACACATCCAGAACAGCGCTCAACACACACATGGCCATTGTTTACACAGAAGCGGCCGTCAGCCGTCGCCGATAACGTTTGCGTGCCAACTCTATCACGCGCTGATAATTGCACTGGTTGAGTGGGAGTATGCGAATGTGGCGAGCACAACGCCCGTACTGTGAAAGCCACGAGCTTTCATGGCGCTCATGGCTTGGCGAACTTCGGCACGCCGATTGTCCTCTGTCTCTGTCTGAAGCGTGGCTGCCGGGCGCCTGACGCTGGCCGTGGTTCATGTCGTGGATTGTGACTGAGGAGTGGATCCAGGGGCCAAGACGAGCCGGGTGCGCCTGAAAGAATTGCAGAAGATGTCAGGAGTTTGCAGCCCCTGAACAAGGCCCAAGGAGGGACGAGAGGAGGTCTGTGGCCCGGTCACCCCAGACCTGTACCTGTACATTGTGCTCACGCCTGCTCACTCCCGGCGTCAAGAACGGTCTCGGACGGCGACCACGGGCTGAACGCGCTGCTCCGTATCGCTGTACAATCACGTCCGTCGCCGGACAACCAAAGCAATCAAGGCTACAGACCTTTCTCCTAATTCTCTTCGCTCCCGGAGCCTATGAGTAGTATCCTGGTCCGGTCCTGAAGACATTTGCTGCGCGTCTCGCTGGACGCTCCAGCTGGTTGCTTCCAGTCCATCAGACACACGCGACCAGAACCCTGCCCGCGTGCCCTTGACCGGTGTCCCCGTGCCCTCGTCATCTCATGCTCCTCTGTAGCCTCATCGATTCGCAGGGCGGTCACTTCTCAGAGCCGTAGCCCAGACTGTGTACCAGTGTCCGCAGTACCCGACTTCCGTCATCAACCGACACGGTGGATCCTGTGATCGCATCATCTATCTTGCAAACAGTCACCCAAGACCAGCGATCCGGCGTCTTAGACAATCATATCAGCCTGCTCTGAACATCTGATACCTGACCCCTGCCGGAACTCGACCTCGATCCTCGACCCTCGCATACCCTCATACCCTCAGCATTGGACCCTCAAGGCGTGCCGTGCAGCCGTGCCAGAGAGCCGTGGACGTTGCTGCGACCGCTCTATTCCCAATTTGGGTTAAACAGAGGGGCTTTTAATAGAGTGTTAGCCTCGCTCCTTTGCGCTCCCTCTGCCCTCCTACTCCCTTCTGCTCTACCCTTAGCATCCCTCACCCTCCGGCCCTTCGCATCAATCCTCCAGTGCCATCGCACTCCCCAGTGTGCCATCATCCTACGAGCCTGCTTCCAGACTCAGCCGACCACCCAACCACCCTAGCATCCTGGCACCCTCAGCCCTCGAGTCCTCGACCTCGACACGGCCTTCGTGATCCACGATCCTCAAACGCAAGAGGCTTCCTTGCACGAGCATCTATACGACTTCTGTCACCACACTCTCCAATCTTCACTTCTCCCCTCTACTTCGACATTCGGCTCCTGCCGTCATACCCATTGCTCAGCAAACCTTAAACCACCTCGTCTCCCCCTGCTCAGCGCAACTCCCTGCTTAGCCCAGTCGACTTTTTTTTCGCCAGGCAGCACTCTGCGCTCTTGCATTCCTCCCACTCGCCGCCCGCATTCGTCGTCGCTCGACACCCACCCACACACCGTTCCACCACACTCGTGTATTCAGTGTCTAGTCACCCGCCGCGCCGCGTGTGTCCTCATTCGCAGGAGACATAGAATTTAAAGGATCGTTTGGTTGGGAGCAACTCAAACCCAACCTTGGCATCTCAGCCCTTGGCATCTGAAATCCCACCGTCCCACGCCGGCCCCGCCCAGTGCCCAGACTCTTCCACCGCAGCACCAATTTCGCTTGGCGCTGTGTCCGACCCTTCGTCCCTTCACCGATCACGACCAACCACGGCTCACCGCGTACGACGCACCGCACCCGCACGCCGCACACTCTTGATCTTTCTCCAACAACTCAAATACGCACGACACTCGGCGACAAAGCAGCACACACCGCTTTGACGTCTTTCGTTTTCGTGTTGCTGTTCTAGTAGATCTTGGACACACAACTAGAACCGCCCTCACATACCGCCCCAGCACGTGGTTGTTGACCAGCCCGTGTCTACCGCCCAACCTCCGCCCCTGCACCCGCAACACGCAAGCCCGGCTGCGCTCGTCGACGTCGACCGCACTTGATAATCTTGCGGTTGTGCTTTCGACCTGCTCGACTGTCCCGCTTCCTTTCCTAAATGTTCAATCGCCAACAGGGATCAAGAAAAAGCTTTGGAGGTCTCAACCCCTCGTCTATGGTGAGTCACTGCATTTCTATCTTCGAGAATCTCGGGTCGGGCGAGTGCGAATGAGTGGAAAGGAGACGTCGATCTGTGTGTGTCTTGTCGCCGCGTCTGCGTGTCCTTCGGCGCAGTCCGCAGCTGCACTGGCATCATCACGTCTCATGCACACTCCGCACCAAGGGGTGCAATAATATCGACCGGCTGGATGCGGACAGACTCGAGCCACCCAGCCGTGCACCAGGACTCGAACCTCGCCGGGCCTCGACTTTTTCGGTGTCCACTGAGGGTCCACCGGGTGGAGCGTCGGTGCACCGAAACGGGGTCCGCGCAGTGCGAGCGGCGCGCTGGGCAGTGTCAAAGTTCACGCAGCAACAGCATCTGAGCACCCGTTGCGCTGTCTACGGCTGCGACAATGTGCATTGCGAAAGAGCTCAGCCTTGTTTCATGAGAGATGTCGCATGCGCAAGAGTGTGGATGGCAGCGCTCGGTCTCGGGCTTGAATGGCGGCGATGCACTCTGCTGGAGTGCAGTCGTCCCGCATCCATCCGCCTTGGGTCTGCGCCGGATGCCGACTGCCTGAAGGCTACAGGCAAAACCTAAACCTGATGGCGGTGGTAGATCGATTCACTTGGTCTTGGCCTAAGCATCCACTACCACACGCGTGCCTTTTCCACGTCTCGGTCCCTCGTCCCTCACCCCTCTTCTCAGACGTTCACGCACTCCCACTCCTCCCGCCCTCAGATCTCAGACCCCATCCCTCTCTCACTCTTCAACTCTCCGCCCTGTCATGTGCTGACCACCACCACCCACTCCCACACTCTGCATCCATACATCGCCTCGTCGTACACCATCCATCTCTACTTCTTCGCCTTCCTCACCGACTTCGATTGCCTTCTCCTTATTCTTATCACTCTTTTCCACCTATTCCTTATTCTTCCGGACAATCCTCCTACTTGATCACCCGGCATCCCTTTCCCGCCTACAGTTTGGTAACAGGTCCAACCAGCCATCATCCGCGCCTCTACTCTCTCAAGCTCAAGGACCCGGCATGGCCCAACCTCCCACCATGCATTCAGGCATGGGTCACCGCACCTCTGAGACCTCGCTCAACTCTTACGAGCAAAGCTCCTCAAACCACGGCTACAACCGTGCATATGGTCCATCGGCCGGAGCGGGCATCGGTGGCGCCGCCGCCGGTACTGCTAGCTCTCGTGGTGGCTATGCTCAGGGAACGACATCGTCATACAGCTCGACGCCCCGCTATGCGTCCCCGGCCAACGTTTCGCCGCAGCAGACCGGCTCGCCGCGCTTCTCCCCTGCCGAGACGATGCCTCTGCGTGAGGGTGTCCGTGGAGGATCCGGTCCTTTACAGGGTATCGACGAGAGCGACCTTGACGACCAGCTCCACACCTTCACTGCCGCCGATCGCAAGGATCTTTCGACTCCCTTCGACATCACATCTTGGCGAGGATGGGCCAACGGCCTGACCCTCTTCGTCCTCATGGCCGGCTTCATCGTTCTCTTTGCTGGATACCCGATTATTGATTGGGCGTACAACAACGAGAACTCTTCTGGTGGTAACACGCCAGGCTTCAACCTTGGCGGTGTCAATGCTTCTGGACAGACGCCGCAGATGCCTGCGGACTTCCCGAGCATGATCGACCCGGACACGCCTGAAGATGTCAAGAAGCGCACGGGCTTTGACGGCGAGGAGTGGACCCTTGTGTTCTCTGACGAGTTCAACAAGGAGGGCCGCACCTTCTACCCCGGAGACGACCCCTTCTTCACCGCTGTCGACATCCACTACTGGCCCACGAACGACTTCGAGTGGTACGACCCCGGACAGGTTACGACCAAGGACGGACATCTGGTCCTTACGATCGAGCAGATCCCGACGAACAACCTTATGTTCCGCTCGGGTATGATCCAGTCCTGGAACCAGCTCTGCTTCAGCCACAACGGTTACTACGAGGCCCGTGTTTCGCTCCCCGGTCACAACGACATTGGTGGTTTCTGGCCCGGTGTCTGGACGATGGGCAACCTCGGACGTCCCGGCTACGGTGGCACGACTGAGGGACTCTGGCCCTACTCCTACGACTCTTGCGACGTTGGAATTCTCGCCAACCAGACCTATGTTAACGGCACGGGTCCGGAGGCGACTCTGACGACCGGTCAGGTTGACGACAGGCAGGGCTACAAGGGCACACTCTCTTACCTCCCCGGTCAGAAGCTGTCCAAGTGCAACTGCGACTGGGACGACCACCCCGGACCCAAGGGCGTTGGCCGTGGTTCCGTCGAAATCGACATGATTGAGGCTCAGATCGACCTTGACGTTGGACACGGTGAGGTGTCGCAGTCTGCGCAGTTCGCTCCCTTCGACGACCACTACCAGTTCTACAACAAGTCTGGCTACAAGATCTTCAACGAGGACGTCACCAGGCCCAACACGTACCTCGGAGGTGTGTTCCAGCAGTGTGTTTCTTGTCTGTCGTACACGCACGACTCGATCTACCACGACAACCAGGTCGAGAACCGCCCGACGGCTGACGGCTCGTCTGAGCCGTTCGGTGTCTTCGGTTTCGAGTACGTTGCCGACTACGAGAACCGCAAGGACGGCTACGTCACCTGGGTCAACATGGGCAAGCAGTCGTGGTGGATGAACTACGACACTGTCCAGCCCAACAAGAAGGTCGGTGTCGGACAGCGTCTCATCGCTGAGGAGCCCATGGCCCTCATCTTCAACCTGGGTATGTCGAACAACTTCCAGAACGTCGACTTCCGGAACATGAACTTCCCGAACTACATGCGTATCGACTACATCCGTGTGTGGCAGAAGGAGAGCGGCCTCGTCGGATGCGACCCGGAGGACCGCCCGACGGCGGCCTACATCGAGAAGTACAAGGACGTTTACAACAACCCCAACTTCACGACGTGGGCCCAGGCCGGCCAGAAGTGGCCGAAGAACGAGCTCACTGGCTGCTAAACAAGGACATTTCGGCATCCCACATCGGCGCCTTGGCGCTTCACGCAACACCCCTACCCACCCCCCTACGCCCACGCAACCCAACCTCACGAATTTGCATTACGGATCGTTTCACGATGGACCTTTTATTTCTTCCTTCCCAGCACAGAGTCGGGCGAGCGCGCTCTCCGTCTCGTGCTCATCTCAGCCAACGACAATGTCTGTCGGCCACCCACCCTCCGTAGTAGGCGGGTGCCCGCCGTGCCATTCATTACCGTCAGTTTGCTGGTGCACGCATTGGCCTCGATATTCTTCTAGGCCCCCCCAAAACAAAACAGAACTTAACACCTCCGAAACCCTAGACTTGATAAACGTTACCTGTCCCACATTGGCTGAGCCGACCCCGCGCCCGCGTTCTCGCAGCGCCTGCATATGCATTACTTGACTGTCAGACTGGAACGCGTTGCGCGTAGAGCAGCTAGCGTCTAACGTGTGTGGATAGCGCGTATGGACAAGGTCGAGCGGGCCGGCATGACCTTCATTGTTTCATCAACTTTGCGTGCGAAGGCAGAGGGAGCGGAAGGTGGTGTGATCGATGGGAGGACCCACGGGCCACAGGCCCGGAGTCAGGGTCTAGCACCGCCCCGCCGATCCGGGAGTGATGTCAGGCTGGTCAGGCAGCCAGGCAGTGCTGAAATCGAGCTGAAATTGAGAGCTGAAATTTCGCATGCATGTGGCGATCCGCCGAATTCATGTTTAATCTACAAGCGAGAGATGTCATGGTCACAAGCGATAGGCTTGGCGGTCACGCCATATGCCGGCCGGCGTCTTGAGATCCTCTTCTTGGTCTTGCGCATGTGGGAAACGCCTATCTTACAGAGCGAACGAGTCGTGAATGTCAGAGTCTGGAGTCAGCTCGTCAACAGCGCTAGATAGCTCACCAAGCGGAGGGAAGGGGAACCACGCATCGAGGGCGAAATCTGCGGCGCCAGGCTCCTTGGGCCACAGCTGCTCGGCGTACATGAAGTCGAGGGCCGGGACGGCCTCGGCCCCATACACCTGTGGCAGTTTGGGCGAGCCAGAGAAGAGCGTCGAGTCGAGTGTCGATGCGGCGGGACTGAGGGAGGGCGCAGACGCCGAGGCCGGGGACGGCGCAGCGAGCATCTGAGGCGTGGGAGGGGGGGGGGGGGGGAGTGGCTCGAGGCGCGCGCGGCTCTCGGCGGGGGTGTGGCGCTCGAAACGCCCGCTGAAGCGGGAACTTGTGGGCTGGTCCATCTCCTCAATCGGAGGCAGGACGCGCCTACGCCTCGCGCGGAGCAGGACGTCGCGTATCAGCCGCGCGAAGGTGAAGCCGGGCACTTGTGCTAGACGCTCGGTCAGCAGCTCGAGGTCGCGCGCGGCCGCGGCCAGGTCCAGGTTCTCGGGCAGGAGAGAGGCGAGACGGATCTGCATGCGTGCCGCGAACGCGATCCCGACGTGCGTGTAGTGGTTCGCTGGTGTCAGCTCGCTGCAAGGGTGCTTTAGCTGCCGGTGAGCGAGAGGGGGACTCACCTTTGGCGAAGTTGTCGGCGTACGAGCTCCCACGAAGTGCCATCTGCACCAAAGTACCGGCACTGACTTGGGCCAGGCGAAGATGGGCAGCTCGCTGTTCTGAGAGAGCGCGCACATCGCGCCGGCTCCGGATGCCGTGCAGGATGCGTGAGTTTGTGTGCAGCCTGTCGTCAGCTTAACCCAGTGGAAGAGCTGTCAGAAAGTGCAGTCCACATGGAAGTGGCTGCGCAGAACAGAAACACCTATACTGCATGCGCGTGCAGGCTCGAGACTGCGGTCAGCTTCCAGCGTCGGTCGGTCGAGCAGCTTACGGCTTTCGCGAAGGAAGTTTGTGCGTGGCACACCTCGCCGGTCTGTTGTCAGCTCTCTGGTAACGAATTCATGTCTCCCTAGCTCCAAACGTGAGGAGGATCATACGCGAACTCACCGAACCACTCGTCCCAATGCTTGAACCACGTGTCGAACTCGGCGTTTGCCTCTGCAATACGTGCATCCAGGTCGGGAATGCGGGCCGTGCTCGGCCACAGACTAAAGGGCTGGTGCATCGGCATGCGAAGCGTGAGCAGCTCGCAGACTGCGACGAGGCGCGCATCCGCCGAGTTGGTGAGAGGGTGTAAGAGGAAGGCACGGCCGTGGCGGATCGTGTCTTCCGCTGAGAAGAGACCGGGGCGGCCGAGGTTGAAAGCCATCTCGAACTCGGACTTGTACACCTGGGTGTTAGCTCAACAAAGACGCCCTGGAGCTGGGAAAGAGATAGTGGTCTCCTTACTCACAGCCAGCCAGCACCGCGCCCCGATCACGGAAGAGCGCTCGCTCTCGAGCTCTGCTGAAGTCTTGCCTACGCCCATCCCTGACTGCACGAGGTAGGGAAGGCAGCGATACAAACCCATGTCGATGCTGAAGTGAGCTTCCATGTGCCAGTATTGTCTAGCGTACGCGATTCGCAGCGCATGGCCTGTTGTCAGCTACGTTATCCACTGCGAAGCTCACCGCCTGGGCGCCAGCTCGTATCACCCCACATCGAAAGCACGACTGGTATCAGCTCGCGAGACCGAACTGCAGAGCTTACGCATGGCCTGCAGCACTTCAATGCGTGCCACGGGTGTGAACAGAGTGTGCATGCCTGCAGTCAGCTCACACCTTAATCAATGGTAAGCTCTCGTGGCTCACCCATATTCTCCGCATGCTCCTTGCACTTGCGCTGAAGCTCGCTCGGCTCCTTCCCCGCGTCCTCGATCTTGGCTCCGACAAGAATCAGCGCAGTGATAGCGAACGGCGATCGCTCGCGCAGGCTGGTCCATGTGTCCGTCTCCGGGTCGAAGATGGGCACATAGTCCGACGCGCCTTCAAAGAACCTGCCTCGTTAGCTATTCGCATACCCTTGCCAGCTTACACGTTGAAAAGACGCTCGCCCTGGGCGGCAGAGCACCAACCGAGTTCTATGGGGTCCTTAAAGCCGGCATGCGACCCGCGCTGCTGAGGTGCAGCACGGAGGATGAGCGAGTCGCGGCGCCCACGCTTCCCGCTTTGCTCGACGGGATCGGCGCCAGAGGAAGCAGGGAAGGTGCGCGTCTCGTCGTAGGTGTCGTAGCTCCCATCTTCGCGCAGGCGGGCTGCCTCTGCCAGACTGAGCATGTTGTTGTACACGATTGCGGGCGGCTCGAGAGGCCCATCGCTCTCCGCATCGGACAAGGAGCCGGAACCTGGCTCGCCGGAGTGAGGCTCTTCGGTGCGCTCGGGCTCGTAGTCTCGCCACACAGGTTGGGGAGGTGGAGGAGGTGGAGGAGTAGGAGGAGGGGGACGCCAGAACCGAGTGGGCGATGGCGGACCCGGAGCAGACGGTGGTGGGGGACGCACGTAGTGTGTGGTTGGGGGAACGAAGCCTGGGGTTAGCTGTCCATGGATAACGCAGGTCAGCTCAGCGACCACACTCACGCTCCTTTCCCGCAGCAGCGGTGGCGGCGCCAGCGGCCTCGGTGCGGCGAAGAGTCTCGCGCTGCAGCGCGACGACCTCGGCGAGCGAGTCATTCATCTCACCGATACGCTCCTCGACGGCCTTCAAGCGGCTGTGGCGTCAGCTTTCGCAGCCATACGAGGCTCACCTCTCGACTCGCGCTGTCTTAGTCGCGCGCGGCCCGCCGAAAGTGCATTCGGCATTTGTGGCGCGACAACGGTCGCACGGCGGCTTCTCCTTGTTCGTACATTTCATCTGCAAAGTCAGGTATCGTGTTCTGGCACCTCATCTGGGATCTAAGGGGAAATTGGGGTAGGAGAGTGGCGTGGGGTCGAGGAAGGTTCGGTGGGAAGGATAAGCAAACTCACCTTCGACTTGTAGCAGTTGTCACATGCGCCTGCATGTTAGCTCAATCAGAGTACTCGAACCAGCTCACGGGCAACCGACTGCCTCTCCTTCCCAGTCTGAGGTTCATGATCGAGTTCTTCCTCCGAGCTCGAGTTGCGCCGCTGGCGTTGTTTCCGGCTGGCATACGAGCCCGTCGCGCGCTTCGGCGCACTGGTCAGAGCCATGGCTGGCGGTGGTGGCTAGCACTGGTGCTGATGCAAGATGGATGTCTAAGCCAGTGTTGTGGTGAGTGATGGCAACAAAGGCGTGTTGATCGTGAGGAAGGGAGTGGAATCAGCACGAGATGGCTGGGACACGGCCCCGGCCTCCGGTCGGCGCTGCAGAGCTGCTCGAGCACGAGCGCGCGTGTGCGCCCTCTCCCCAGCTTCGGGACGTCGGGGCAGGCGAGCGCGGTTGCTCCCGATTGTGCGGGCATATGTATGATCGGCGCTGGAAAGGAGGTCAGGTTGAGAACGCGGTGGGTGTGTGGATCAGTCGAACGAGAGGAGAACGAGGAAGGGAAGTTGGCTGGGAGGAACAGGTCGTGCGCCCCCGCGAGTCGCGTCAGTCAGTGTCAGCCGTGTGCGCCGCGTGCATTTCCTCTTTCGTTCTGCCGATCAGACATGCAGCCATTGCTATGATGCAAAGTCCGAGGAAGACAATGCGGAGCCCGAGGAAGACATCCTCCGAAGCTCCGAAGCGCTTCTACGCTCCATGCAGCCGCACCTCGACAACATGCCGACGAAGCCGGTGCATACCTTTCTAACTTATGTCATATCTAATCCTTACTGCTTGCGGTGGATGATGGTGGCCGATCCCTGAGCGACGGGGAGGACGTAGAGCTCGGCAATGTTGACGTGGGGCGGGCGGAGCGCGCACCAGACAATCTCCTCGGCAATGTCCTCGGCGACGAGCGGCTCAAAGCCCTTGTAGACGGCCTTGGCCTTGTCCTCGTCGCCGCGGAAGCGGATGACGGAGAAGTTGGTCTCGACGAATCCGGGCGCGACCTCGGACACGCGGATGCCCGTGTCGACGAGCTCCTTCATGAGACTCTGCGTGAACGCCTTGACGGCGTGCTTGACGGCGCAGTACACCGAGCCGCCGACGTAGGCCTCGCGGCCAGCGAGCGAGCCAATGTTGATGATGTGGCCCGAGTCCTGCTTGCGCATCGTCGGGAGGAAGACCTGCGTCATCTGGATGAGCGAGACGAGGTTCGTGTCGACCATGAAGTCGATGTCCTTCAGCTGAACGTCGCCCGCACGCTCAGTACCGACGGCACCGCCGGCGTTGTTGACGAGCACGTCGAAGCTCTTGACGCCAGCGTCCTGGAGCGCCTTCGGGAGAGCGTCGACGGCAGCGCGGTCGTTGACGTCGAGCGTCTTGACGGTGATCTGGGGAGTGAAACCAAACTCCTTGGCAGCGGCGGTCGCGTCCGAAGCAACCTTCTGAAGAGCGTCCTCACGGCGCGCGAGCAGGACCAGGTTCAGACCAGCCTTCGCGAACAGGATCGCGGTCGAGGCACCGATACCGGACGAAGCGCCGGTGATGACGGCTGCGAGTCAGCTCAGACGTTTGCCTCAAAGCTTACCAGTCTTGCCCTCGAGGCGGGAGGTGTTGAACAGCTGGGGCATTTTGTGTGATGTGGAGGAACGAGGAAGACAGAAATCAGAAACGTAGCTAGCTGATAACGGCCCACATCCAGGGATTCTCCGATGACTCAATGCAGCCGTTGGGTGGTGCAACCACACAACCACCCGGCCCGGACCAGTGCCCCGCTCAGGTGCCGAACGGAGATTGCCGAGTCAGATGCCGTCATATCAGCCCACCAACGACAGCTCGCGGTTGGACTTAACGATCGATGCGACAAGATGCAAGATCGTATCACTATACATGACAATCTATACACAACAAGGTACTCGGACAACGAAATCATTAAATGCAGTGCAGTGCAAGCAGAAACACTGTCTCTTTTACTTTCGACCCCTGTACATCTCCGGCAGAGGCCGGGCGCGAATAACCGTCGCGCGGCGCCGCTCGCGGTCCATCTCCTCCTCGACCTGGCGACGGATACGCTCGCGCTCCTCGTCCTCTTTTGCCTTCAGCGCAGCCTTGCGCGCAACCTTGGCGTCGAACTTGGCTCGGCTTGCCGCGCGCATCTTGCTAGCTTTGCCCGGTGTTTTGCCGCTCATTGGAACCGTCAAGTTCTTCGCCTTGCCGTTGAGCGTGGGGGGCATCGGGCGAGAAGTCGTACCGGTGTTGGAAGAAGACGACTCGCCGAGAGGTGCAGGAGTGGGTTGAGTAGGGGCAGTTGAACCAAACGACATGTTCGAGAGCGAAACATCGGCGTCGGGATGGAAGCGCTCGAACACCGCCTTACGGACTGCAAGGTCACGCGCGCGCTCCAGATCGCGGATCTTGACGGGGGACGACTTCGCCTTTGTCTCTCCCGGCTTCGGGAGACGCGCAAGCGCCGCAGCCGTGAACGCAGTGACGGTCGAGCCGGTGCGGGGGCCGCGCGATGTGCTGCTGCTCGAGCTCGCTGCACTCGTGGCACTAACAGAGCGAGATGCGCCGGTAGAGCGAGCGGCCGCACCGGAAGATCGGGTACTCGGCATCGACTTGATCGGGCGAGATGACGCAGAAGCTGTCTCCTTGGGAGCTGAGCCGAGAGGAGCTCGAGGTAAGGAGCGCAGCGGGCGGGTGGACAGAGCAGAGGCAGCGGGCACCTTACGCCGCACGTTACGCTGAGGCGAGCCCGCGTCGCGCTTGCGCTTCTCAGTGGGTTGCTTCTCCTGCCCATGCGCACGGACAGCGGCGGTGGCGAGCGCGTACCGCGGCATATCCTTATTCTTGGTCTCGCCAGTCTTGACCGGCTGAGGCTTGGACTCCGGGCGGGTACGCGGCTTGACAGATGCGTTCTCCTTGCCCTTCGCACGCACAGGCTTGTTCTTGATGACACGAACAGGCTTAGCCTGCTTATTGGCACCTTGGACAGCAGCCGGGACGGTCGGGGCCATAACAGGGGCAGGCGCGGTGGCAGCTGGAGCGGCAGGTGCAGGCGTGCTGACTAAGCCCGCCAAGAAGCCAAGCACGCCCTCACCGAGGCGGCGAAGTGATGAGTCGCCCGATGAGCCAGACGAGGCAGAAGTATCGGCGTCTTGCTCAGGCTCAGCTTCAGGCTCCACCTCGAGCTCGGCGGTAGGCTTTGTGGCCGGCTCGTCGATGACGATGGCCTTCGGCGTCGGCTCTTCGTCGTACTCATCCTCGTCCTCAGACTCATGCATCGGAGGCACAACAGCCTGCGGGGGCCGCCCGAGCGGCGTGAAAGCCGAGCGCTGCGACAGCGCGCTCACCTCTCCCTCCGTGACCTCGAGCACGGCACTGAGTTCCTGTCCGTGGGGCCGGATGATGTCAAACTCCTCCATAGGGTTCAGCAGGTCTGCTCCCTCCTCCTCCTCCTCTTCGATCTCCATCTCGTCGTCGTCAGAGTCGGTGTCGGTAGCGTACGACTCGCGACGTGCGGACTGCGCAGGGTATGATGGGTAGGAAGGGTACGAGATGCTGGGAGGGTCGACGGCGGGGCTCTCCTCGGCGGCTTGGCGCAGCCTATGCTCGAATGTGAATGCGGTCTGCTCCTTGTTAAGACCGAGCTCGGGCCAATCGCTAATCGGCGCGGGGGTGCGGCGCGGAGTAGTGCCCCTCGGTGTGCGACGAACGGTGACACTGTGCCTCCTAGGTGTCGCCAGTGCCTCGACAACGTGCGGCGGCGTGGTCGATCCAGCCGGCTCCTCGGGTTCGACAGGAGTCACCTTAGCGCGCTTCGCGCTGGGCTCCGTCGAGTCGGGAGCGGTGGGAGCGGTGGGAGCGGGAACAGGCAACCGAGTCTTCGGCGCAAGTTTTGAGGTCTTCTTCGCCGGTGTCAAGACAGGCGGGCCGTTGCGCACACGTGCGGGGAAGGTCTGAGGCCGAGGCGGGTCGGAGGACTGGCGCTTCCTCGCCAGCGCCTTGACCTTCGGCGCAGCCGCCACGGGCTGCGGCAGCGAGCGAGCGGGTTTGGCCGGGACTGGAGCAGGCACCGCCTTGCGCGCTGGGAATCGCTTAATAGGCCGGTCGATGCTGCTGGTGAGTGGCTGCTTAGGTTTCGCGGGCTCCGCGTCGCTGGCCGACTTGCTCAGCTTCGTTTTCGTCGGAGCAGGGCTCTCGGAAGCTCGAATGGTATGCGCATGCGTCGGCGTGGGGTTCGAGGGCCGCTTCGGCGCCGAGGTCGAGAACGACGAGTCAGAGAGCGCGGGCGCCGAGGGGCGCGGTGGCAATGAGGTCGACAAGTCGAAGTGGTCCCTGTGCGGAGAAGCAGTGCGGGGCGTCGGGTTCTGCGGGCGCGCAGGGAGGGAGTCGCGAGACGAGAGGGATGACAGCGACGCAAGCGAGACAGGGGTACCCTCGCGCGACTCGGACGAGTTGCCGTGCCGGGTCAAACGCGACGACGAACTCTGAAGCGACTCAGAGCGTCGCAACCCCAGGTCAGTCGGCAGGATGCTGCCGACGTTTCGGCTCCAGTTTGCGATCTCGCTAGTCTTGTCGATCGACTTGTCCCGCGATCGGTCGAGGGACATGGACGCCTCGACGCGTAAGGACTCCTCCTGCTCGGCCACGAGCTCGGCAGCATGCGCGCTTGTGCGAATCTTGCCGCCAGCGCCGACCTTGATGACGGTGCGTTTCACCTTACTCTTCCCCGAAGTGCTTGAGGAGTGCGACCCTTCCTTCGAAGAAGAAGACGACAAACGGGACGCCGGCTTGGGCACTAAGGCGGCGGCATCATCTGGCGTTGATGCGCGAGCGTGGAGAACCTGAGACAGCTCTCCCAGGAACTTTGGTTGGGCCGGCTTGCTGCTCTCTGCCGGAGCCTCCGGGGCGGACTCGATGCTCGTGCGGAAGAGCGGCTTGTCCGGTGACGCCATGCGGCGCTTCTTCCGTGTCGAAACGCAGGGTGGGAGCACGAACTTGTTCTCCGGCGTGGACTGCTGCGGCGCTGTGCGGGACGGCGGAGGCTGAGGTGTTTGGGGACGAGGTGGCTCGGTAGGGGCTGATTCGATTGGTGGTGTCACGGTAGACTGAGCTAGCTCAGGGGCGGCGGTAGTGGCGAGAGGAAGGGGAGAGACGAGCTCGTGCTCCGGTGAGAGGCGGAACGACTGACGCCTGCTTCTAACAGGCGCTGGCGTAGACGAGGCGAGTCCTTCCTCTGCCCAGTCGTGCCCCGGGAGCGGAAGCAGCGTTCTCCGTCGTGCAGAGTCGAGTAAACGACGCTCGTACAGGTCGTTGCTGGAGGATGGGGTCGAGGTCGAAGCGCGAGTCTGGCGGATCGCTCGCGCAGCGACAGCCGGCGTCCTGGTTTCCCTCTCCCTCGGCTCCATCTCCATCTCCGGTTCGGTGCTTCCCTCTGCCCTCATCTTAGCCGGCTTGCTTGGGCTTCCCTCCGAAGGCCCAGCGGAGATAGATCTGCTCCTCGCCATACTGGCGGCGAGGCTCTCCTTCGTGCTATCTCCCATGCTGGGGAATCCGAGGCGCGCCACTGTAGTTCGTCTCCGAGCACTGCGGCGAGGTGTCGGCTGCTCGACCTCAGTGTCGTCTGGGATCCATGCCGATCGCCTGGGTGAGCGGCGAGGCGTAGGCTGCACAATAGGTTGGGGTTGCTCAGCATCGTGGATGCGGGATTGACGGCGGGGCGAGCGGCGAACGCTCGGCTCAGCGTCCATCGATGGCAGCGTCGAGTCCTCGTGCATCCACCCAGGTGTCGCAAGGCTGAACCCTTCAAAGACGGGCTGGATCTTACCAAACGGCGTCTCGAGGTCGAATGGGTGCTGGTGGTCGCGCCGCCCGGCCGGTGTCGGGGCCGTGGGCGGGGTCGGCATCGTGGTCGTCGATTGTCGACAGGTCGGTGCAGGTGTGGATGAGCAGAGTTGTTGTCACGAAACGCAAAATGGACGAGGAGGCAATGTTTGTGGTTGCTTGGCTGGGAACAGACCGATTGTTTGTTTACCTCCTCGCCGCCAAGTACCAACTAGCAATCTAAAGCGGGGGCCCGTTTAACATTCCGCAAATCACTTTGAGTTTCCGCCGGAACCATCTTTTGGTGCGTATTTCGTGCGTCGATGCACTAGTTGGTTGCAAGAAGGCTCTGCAGTGAGCGCCCAGCATGGTCGTAAACATGGACAACAGTGACATGATCCAGATGATACAAACACTATGTATGTAACCAGCTAATCGTGGCAGGACTTAATGTAGAGAGTATGGGGTAAAAGTTTAAGCTAGACTTGCGCGTTCAGTTTCGATTAGCGGTATATGAGGGAAAAGGATCGCTGTGAGGTTATAAGAGTCGTTGGTAAGGATTGGCTTGTTACCGCAGTAATGTGGCAATCGCAAAGGCATGATGACAGCCTGCTGTTGGCAGACAGCTAGCGAGTGTGAGCTTGCTAGACGATGAGCGTTGGGTTGATAAAGATGCGTGGTGACCGGCTGGTCGAAGTCCAGACCGTTACTACCAGTCGGGCGCGCGGGCGTTGACCATGGGTCGTGCGGCGATGTCCTGCGGCTTGAAGCCGAGCACCTCGAGGACGGTGCGGCCGTTGCGCTGGCAGAGGATGGCGCACTTATCGTCGCGGAAGCAGACGCGCCAGACGGCATCGCACGGCTGTGTAAGCTCGCGGATGAACGTGCCGGTACGGATGTCCCAGAGCTTAACGCGGCCGTCGCTGCCGCCCGAGACGATGAAGCGGTCATCGAACTGCAGGCAGGTGACAGAGTTGTCGTGCGCGCACAGTCGGTGCACGGTCGAGAAGTCGGTCAGGTCGAAGACGATAACACGACCGTCCGAGCCTCCCGTAATGAGGCGATCTCCGGACAGCTGAAGCTGTCCCACGAGCGAGGTGTGGCCGGGCAGAACCGCCAGGCACTCTCCCGACCCCGCGTCCCAGACACGGACGGTCGAGTCCAATGAACCAGAAACGACGCGCTCCCCGTCAAACGCGACGGCGTAGATCTGGTGGTAGTGGCCCTCGAAGACCTGGAGGCAGTCTCCAGTGTCAATGTCCCAGAGCTGAAAGTTAGCCATGGCAGAGCAAATTGTAACTCACCCTACATGTGAAGTCGTAAGAACCGGACACCACTTGGTTGCCCGCAACCTCGATGCAACGCACGCTCTGCTCGTGGCCCTCGAGGACACGCAGCATGCGGCCGCGGTCAATGTCCCAAATGCGCAGCGTGAAGTCGCGACTGCCGGAAACGGCAATGGGCCTGCCGTCGAGCACCTTGAGACAACGGATAGTGCTCGAGTGGCCACGAAGAGCGTAGAGGCATTTGCCTTCAGCGAGGTCCCAAACGCGCACCTCCCTGTCACAGCCGCCGGACACGACGAGGGTGCGCTTGACACCCCAGCTCGTAGCCGAGCCGCAGACGTCGCTCGAGCGCATGCGACGTGTAGTACGCGAAGGGCGCCGGTCCCCGGCAGCAGACGAGGGGCGGTAAGGCACCGAGCTGGATCCGCTGGTCGAACCGGCGAAGGACGCACGCCGCTGAATCTCCTCCGCCCTCCTCAGACCCTTGTTACGGCCCCGAGGCGTGACCAGGACGATAGCCCAGACACCTAACTCGTGGCCGAGCAGAGAGCGGCAGTAGTAGCCAGTTGTAGCGTCAAATACGTGGATCTTGGCGTTGGCCATGCCGATGATGATAAAGTCGTCGTTGACGACGAGGCTCGTGACAACACTGTCACCCATGCTCGAGTGCATAGCGAGCTGCTTGCCGCCCTTGAGCCAGTTGTGCTCGGTGAGGTACGCGTCGCGGAAACGCTCGCGGGAGCTCTGCGCACGCTGGACGGAACGCGAGCTGGAGCCAGCGCGGCCCCACATGGGGCTCGTGTTATCCCGCATGGAGGAACTCTTGGTCGGTGCCTGCGTCTCGGTTGCATTGACGGCGGTGGGCGGAGGGTTCGGTCCTGCCGACGGGAGCTTGGGACGATAGACCTGGCGCTCATGCATGACCTTCCAGAGGCATTCGTCTTGAAGCAGGTCGTTCCAGTACTTGCACACGCGGGCCATGCGAGTCAGAGTCTGCGCGTCGTCGATAAAGCTGACGCAGTGTAACGCGAGCTCGACGGGCAGGTCCGAAAGGAAGTCTCGCTTCAGACGCGGAGAGATCTTGGACGAGACGACAAGCGCCTCGTTTAACTGCAGGTCGCCGACCAGCGAGATCAAGAACGCGAAACGCTCGCTCTTGGGCAGAGCCTGGAACTGGCGCATCAACTTGCTGGCATTAGGCATCGCCAGGGTGTCCAGAGGAGCCACTAGATCGTCAGCTGATTGTCCGCGGGTTACTAAGCCGCTAGGGCCCACTCACGAGTAACATCCTCGTCCTCGTCCAGGACCGAGTCCTTGTCGCCGAGGTCGAGGGGTGCGTAGGACCGACGTTCAGTGGGAGTCGGGCTGGGGGCCGGAGTCGGTGGGCTCAGCGTCTGGGATGGGATGGTGACGGGGGCAACCTGGCTGGAAGATGGTGAGTCGCGCCGGGTGCGCGGTTGGGCATGTCTCGCAGATTGCTGGTGTCGTGCACTGGCGTTCCTTGATGACGCCGGGCCGGTCGCTGAGCCGACAGCAGAGCCTGAGGCCGAGCCTGGAGGAGACTGGGCCATGGCTGGCGGGGACGGAGGGCAGCGCATGCCCGGCCACTGGCTCCTACCCTGCGCCTGCATGCTGGCGGCTGACGGCCGGGACGGGGGGTGAGATTAGATACGGAGGGGGAGGTGCTCCGTAGGGGCGGATGCCGAGTGCAGATGCGAGTGCGGTGTGGGGTGGGGGTGCGGTTGTGGGATGGTGAGAAAGAGTGAGGTCGAGGAAGTGATTCGGGTGCGCGGTATTAGGTGCTAGGCGGAAGGAATGGTGTGGTGGACGAGGAAGGTCGTGGTCTTGGACTGGGACCTGGAGGGGGATCAGGAGGCGTTGTACTGCCGTAGGGGTGAGGGTGCTTGGCTGGGCGTCAAGTCTGCTTCATCGAGGGACCGAGGGCATTAGAGAGGCGTTCAACAGCCCACCACTGGCCACTGTACGGTCTGCACATCACGCACTCCTGCACACGGCGAAGGGTCGGGTCTGGTCACTCAAGGGCACGGGCACGGTCACCGGCGGGAGCAAATCTGCACTCTTTGAGTCTGCACAATATGCTCGGCTGGCCCCTCCGCCCACTGTTCCGTTGCACTCTGAGACGCGAGTAATTGTCGTCGTTCCCCCTCAGCATCCCTCGGCCCCCTGCCAATTCAGCCGAGACCTCGACCACCGTCATCGATGCGGCACCCCACCACCTTGCATTGTTCCGAACATGGTCAAAGTTTTGTACTTTGCCTTGCAGCACATGCACACACGTTTCCTCGAGAGATTTGAGGAGCTCCAAGCCATTGTCCGGCTGAACATGCTCTGCTCACTGCGGCCTTGACCGAAACACTGCTGAAGACGATGGCAGAGGCGGCGCACATTTACAGCCACCTTGCGCTTTGAGTTCAATTCAGGAACTCGATAAGACCGACTCAGACGCAGCGCACGCAGCACGTAGTCAGCCAGCACGGCGAATCGACTCAGTCCTTGCCCCACGCCGAGCACGACAATGGCCATACAGCCTAGTTTGATGTCCTCGCCATCGTTTTCCAATAGTGATCATACCTCTGCTTCGACCGCGTGCCAGCGGACAGAAGGGTGCCTGATGCCAGTTCGTGGCCCTCATCCTTCCACTGTCAGTGCGCCATACCGCCTGCTGGGGGTGTAGGGCGGACCTCTCGGAGCCCTCGGCCCAGACTTCACCCTACGCTGCGCTCCACAGTATGGGCGTGTCGCTTGAGTTGATCGATCGGTATCGGCTACTCAAAACCGTGTCTCCGAGCTGACATCGTCATGGCAGTCGGACTATGCGGACGTCTCTCGGACATTAGCGTTCGTCACATTCGCTTTCGCGTGTTCGTGTGCGAAGAAGCTACAGCTGACCTGCTGGCGCTCCCAGCAACCGCGCTGACGATCACACAACCACCCATGCTTCTCATGTTCTGATCCAAGCCTCCTGCGCCTCCGCCGTTGAACAATAAATAACAACCTCGACTGTGACGCGATCGCGACTGAAGTGTCGCAGACATTGGTGCGCAGGCTGTGGCGCTCTCCGAAACGCTGCTCCGCACGACAGCTGTGACCTTGATCGACGCTGTTCCCCTCTGCACTTTCGGCCACGTTGCAAGCAAAGCCTAGATCTCTACTTCATGCATTTGCGAGCCTACTTCTTCTCGACAGTCGAGCTGATGTACTGAGTCTCACCAGCCTGTCCGTTCTCCCAGACCTGGTACTTGCTGCTCTCGTCAGCACTTCCGTCTTTCGCGAAAGCCCGTGTGTCGCCTGTGTAGCTGCTGGTGCGACGCAAGAGTGCTCGTACCGCGTGGCTCGCGAGCGCGATCGCAGCCGCGTCACAGCGCGGACACCCCCAAAGAACTCCGTTCAGACACAGGCCGGAGTTCAGACACAGGCAACTCATTTACTCACACGTTGACGGCGGCACGCTTCTCGGCGGCAACGCGCTCAGACCCCTGAAGAGCCTGGCGGACGGCGCGCGAGGCGATCTGGGTGTACTTGTTCCAACTGCAGTCGAAATTAGGAGCATGCAGGTTCGGCGGTATCGCGTCAGACGTGATCGGTCGAGTGTTTCCAAGTCCGTGTCACAACACCGCATTTCCATCGCACAGCCAAGAAAACGGCGATCAAGAATAGGTAGATTGAGGAGACATTGTCGACGGTTTGCAAAAGCGACAGAAACGAAGCAGAAGCGCCGAGCCGAATCATATTCGATTATCCGTCCAGAAACGAGTAATGTCGTTCCAAGTCCAGCAGAATGGTCAAGATGAGGCGACCGAGCAACAGGAGGTATTCGCAAACCATGCACGCAGAGTTCATTGTTGCAGCATTCGCGGGGCATCCGGTGGAAGCGCAAGTCGTCGGTCACAGGTGTTTTCGGGCATGTCGGAAACGTGTAGTCGAAAATACGCGAGGAAGGGTCGAAATCGAGACGGGAAAAGCACAGTCAGCATCAAATTCCGATCGTCACCTCGTTGACGTCTGTACGCACGACATGAACTCGCGCCAGGCGGACATTTTGAGTAGAGTTGGTGGTTGGTGGTGGTGGTGAGGAGGGCTGTTGCACCGCTCAACTCGTCCCAGCGCGAGCCCTACCGAGCCAGCCAGCCAGCAACCAGCGGCACGGAAGGTCGGACTTTGAATACCTCCGACAGTGTGGCACCACACCTATTTGTATCAATCTCACTCTTCTCTTATCTGATAATAACAATACTGCTATGCATAGAAACGAAAAGAGACTGTAAAGCTACACTACTGGTGATGCATCACGGGCACCGGTGCCGCCGGAGATCGTGCGTCGCCTGTTGGGTCGGTGGAAATACGTTGAGGGGGAAGCGGGTGGTTGCTCATCTTCGCCTAGAGGAGTGTGGTCGTCATCGTCATTATCATCCTCCATGTCGTCCCAAATGTGTTCGTCCGGGAGCGCAATGATACCTGTTCCGGTGTCGAACGACAGCCGTCTGGGGATCTCCGGCTCCTGGCGGGGCTCTGGAGTAGGGTCGCGCCAGGGGTTGGAGGGTGTAGAAGAGTAGTCGGATGCGTACGCAGGATGCGAGTTGACGGTCAAACTGCTCTCCTCGCGACGTGTCCGGGAAGCCTGGTCACCTGACGAGCTCTCAACAGGCCCGCCTGTGAGCCAGTCCGTAGGAACTGATGTCGAAGAGCTGGCGCGCGTCGCATCGTCCGGCAATGTTTCAGGTCCACCACCGTGACGGCGCAGACGCTGAGCCACCTTGCGGCGGAATGACAGCACAACACCACGGCGCTGAGCTGCTGTGTCGCCAAACGCAGCGGGACGAGCCTTGCTAGGAAGCCAGGGCTTCGGGAGCTTGCCAGACAGCGCCGGATGAGCGTATCTCCTCTTGCCCGTGTTCAAAACCCCGTAATAGAAGTTACCCATCGGAGGTTGACTGTAATCGGTGCGCTTGTCGGCTGGTGCGACCCACATAGTGTCATCGTTGACCGCGTAACGTCGGTGGTTGAGGCCAGTAAGGGTGCCGTGGTGTGCTGCAGCGCCCTCACCCTCGGGGTGGAAGCCAGTGACCTCGTCGATGCTCTCCCCGCGCTCGACCTCGCAGATGCTGCTCAGGGCCGTGTACTTGCTAAGAGGCTCAAAGTCGCGCGACATCACGTAACCCCAAAATAGAGTGTAGGCAATGAGGGGCACCATGCACGCCACATACCAGAAGTGCTTGGACAAAGACAATAGTCCGGTCATGAACAGCTGGAAGATGATGAGCGCCACGAGGATGCGGTCGAAAGTGATACGCCATGCCTCGCCGTTCGACTCGTACGGCTTGAAGTAAATGAACAAGAGCTTGTACTTGTACACGAGATCTGAAGTGAGCACAGCCCCACGTCTGGAGAGATTCGCTGAACTCACAGGCCATTCCAAAGAAGATTGCGCCGAAAACGAGGATCAGCGGGGAGACAATGCTGTAAACGAGGGTGACAGTGAAGATGAGCAGCATCTGCGGGTACACCCAGCCATAGTTGATGCTTGGAGGGGCGTTGATCTCGGCGTAATCGCGGGGTGTCTTGGAACCGAAGTGGCCCGATGGAGACCGAATGTAGCCCCAAGCGAGGTTGAAGAGCGGCCCGATGTTCAAAATCGACAAAGGCATCAGGCCAAGGCCGTACAGCATGACGTAGGAGATCATGAAGTAGCGGGCCTTCGATGTCCGAAGAGCTATCGCAAGCTTCTCTGCGATCTTGGATGGGTTGTCTGCCAAATCCCGCACAAACTGCCAGTAGGTGGTGGTGATCAGGAAGATGAAGAGAACAGTCATGAGAAGGTAGAGATAGTATCTTAGAGTTAGTGAGAGCCGCGTGACAGATGACTTACTTTCTGGTCAGAGAGTACTCGACAGCGCTCCTCGACTTGAAGCCTTGCTGATAACACAGCCACTCCAGAAAGAAAGGGAGCAGGCTGTTGAACGAAATCAGGATCAGAGTCGGACCAGTGTTCTGGATGAACGCTCCAGCACGCGGGTTGTTCTTCATGAAGCGCCAGAGCCAGGGCGCAACCTTCTTGATTTCCTTATCGGAAAGGAAGGCTCCAAAGAAGGACACAGGAATCGCCCAGAACAACAGAAGCAGAACCATGATCACCATGACGGCAGCGCTGCGAATGTGGCGCTCGCGGCTGGGCATGGCCACCGTGCTCCAGAGAACGTCGCGTGGCTCTGGGGCGAGTGTCGTGACCATCTGCGAGTGTTCGTTGAAATGAACGACCTGTGCAGCCTCCTGGGCGGATTTCGCGTGCTCGAAAGTGACGAAAGCGACGTCTGTTGCGGGGAAGAGCCCAGTCTTGCGCAAAAGACGCACGCCCTCGTCCGCCGCCCAGAACCTGTCCTCCCAGTACTGGATGGCATCGACGGCCCGGCTGATGACGCTGGGACGCACCGTGGGGCGAGGCTTAGTGGACTTCACGCCGGCATACCGTAACCTGAGACTCTCAGGGTCATCGGGCAGGTCAGAGGTGTCAACATTCTCCTCTCCAGCATTGTTCCCAGCGCTGTTGTTGTTGTTGCTGTCATCTGTCTCGACCAGAGTGCCCTCGTTGAGTTGAGAGAGTGACCGAGGACCGTCCTCGATGCCGCCCTTCTGCTTACGGTAGACTTCCGAGTCGTAACCAGGGGCGTCAGCAGGGTTGCCTACCCACTGGACCCATGCTCGTTCAAGTTCGAGCAGAGCATCTGTGCGTCTCCGTAGTGCCTCTTTGAGGGCGCTCAGGTGACGACATATGCTGACGCTCTCAACCTCCCAGCCACATCCCTCGAAGTACTCAGCCAGCGCTCGATCGCCCCGATAATGTGGGGGAATATCGGTAACGAGCACAGTCCGAGACGGAACCGAATGGATCAGCTGCAACGCAAACGATTGCCGGGCCGCAACAAAACGATGGAAGTAGCGGTGAAGGAACCCAAGAAGGATCAGCGTGATGGTCCACGTCGCGATAAGTTGAAGGCCCGCGGGCATAACCGGATCGACCAGAGCATCGAATAGTGTCTGGGGAAGCGTCGAGTTGATCCCCGCCCAGGGAATCTCAAGGGTGGCAACATGAGTGCTGTTCGTGATGACATCCTTCGGGCCTGGTCCGACCTTACCCAGCTGTCGTTAGTCGATGCATTTCATCGCGAAGCACCCACCCAGGACTCGAATGGAAGCAATATCAGTGTCACAATCGCCGCTAGTCCCGCCAGAAGTGAGAAAAACACGAAGGACATTCGGAAGAAGCTCAAGAGCTGCTGTCAGACACACCAATTCTGTTGCACTTACGACGGAGGCGTCTAGGCCCACTGTCTGAAGTACGACGAAATCACTCGTCTTCAGAGTTGGCATAATCCATCCGAAGAAGCGATTTCCGTTGGCCTTGAGGACATCAGATGTGTGTGCCAGTGCCGGGGAGAAGTCTGCAGCATCAGCAATGACTCAAAGCTCCGCCGCGCTCACCCTTCAGCCTCGTACGAGGCATGTAAGCCACCGGCCATCGTGTCCTGAGGAAGCAGAAGAGAAGGAACGAGGAGATGCCGATAGCCAGCGAGAGAGCCAGCTGAGTGGAGAACCATGGACCTGGATGTTAGTCGACACTCTTGTTTGCCACCGAGTGCTAACCTTCAAAGTTGCCTGCATGTCAGCGCTGACCTCTGTCGACAGTGTCTGTGCGGCCGTAGGAGGCCGGCACCAGGACGCATACAACTCACGCCTAGGTGGGGTCCCAGGGGGAAGATCTGGGTCTGTGTCGTTACCGTTGCCCACGAGCACCGCTGTCCAGGTCGACATGGTGTCGTGGAGAATGCTGTTATGATCTATCAACGACGTGACAACAAACGTACGGTTGTCTAATCGGCTTCGTTGGGTGGCAATCGACGAGCCGATGACGTCGTGCCTGAACCGGTCACGTACGCGATCGTTCCGCGTGGCAAATGAGGTGGACCCAAACTGATAAGCGTCGCCTCGATCAGCTCGCCCCCTCAGCGCAGTCTAAATTTCGAAACGATGTCTGCGATGTCTCTTCGTACTATTGTCTCATCATCGCCTCCGACCAGCATCATGTCCTCATCGTAAGTGTCCTATCCGGTTCCCTGCGCACCTGATGGTGCGCGCTATAAATGAAGAGCGGAAGCGTTTTCCCCATTGGCACCTCTTGACTCAGATCGAGTGACCTCTACCACACCTTGAGTGGGGATATGTCACCTGGTCGATGCTCTCACTGGACAATCTGATGCAACCCACGAAACCTTTTCTTTTTCGTATCACGAAGCTGACAAGCAGTGTATCATAGAGTCCTTCGCCCCAAGTCGGGAAATCTCGCTTCTCTATCTATAGTTGTAGACAGCTTGTTGTAGCATTCGTCTGGGGACATGATGTGACAAGAGTTCCGCGACAATACCGTACAGGTTCTGTTTGTCTTGCTGCAAGGTACCGATTGTTGTCCGCTACATCTACTCATGACCCCATCACGGTCATTTGTAGAGCGCTGACCTGAAATATGACGTGCTGCATGTCTCGGTGAACGCTGATGCGACCAACTTCAGGTTCAAACAGACACCTGTGTAAATTGTGTTGCTGTTCACTGTTCATGGAGGAAAGGATAATACATGCTAGGTGTGTATAGACCGCAGTTACAACAGATATCAGCACGTCGTCAGTACTCAGTCAGTTCGTAAATCACGGTTGCAGAAGTGCAGCAGAGCTGCAGCTGTTGTGCCCGAAGGCTGCGCGAAGCGCGGGTAGGAACGGTGTCCCGGGACCAGAAACTGGTGTAGACTCCTGTCGGGCAACCAAAGGCTGCACACAATCAGAGAGCCTCCGCGGTACACATTCATTTGTGCAACTGCCAGTGGGAGGTCCCCCGCGGGTTATAGGCCAATGAAGTGATATACATCCCATATCCCACACGCCCCTCTACTCTACGAGAGCAGCTTAGCGGGAGACGATACCGTCGAAGCGCTGCTTGAACCAGGCAACGGTCTGCTCGGGCTTAACCCTGTGGGGAGCACCGACGCGGCCGACCTTCTGCTTGCGGCGGGCAATGCGCATGCCGGGGCGGCCCATGATGACGTAGAAGTCCATACCGAAGATACCGATTCCGGGGTCGTACTTGATACCGAGGTCGATGTGCTCGTCGATACCGAAACCGAAGTTGCCGGTCTCGGAGAAGTTGCGGCGGCGGAGCTCGTACTCCTTGACCTTGAGGGCGCGCTCAAGGACCTCCTCGGCCTTGGGGCCGCGGATGGTGACGTGGCAAGCAATCTTCTCGTTACGACGGATCTGGAACGAACGGACGGTGTAGCGAGCCTTAGAGGTGACGGGGGTCTGACCAGTAAGCTGCTCGAGCACCTTGGAGGCACGAGTGAGACGGTCACCGGACTCTCCGACGGAGATGTCTGCAAATGTCAGAAACGATTCAAGCGCCTTCGTCTCCATTCGCAGAATACGCACTGATGACGAGCTTCTCGATGCGGAGCTCCTTCATCGGGTTGACGGGGGCGGACTTCTCGGCCTGACATTATTAGTAATCTTCCTTGAAAATGTTGACAGCTTGTCTCCCAATCCCGCGCGATATCGATTCCAGCTTGACTCCTTCCCGTCCTCTTCTCTGCGCGCGAGCTCCAGCGACGAGCATTTCTCCATCTCCGTCGTTGCGCCTTGTCCGCCGCACTTCGAGTGTCCTTTTCCTTCCTCGTCCGACACCACTTGGCACTTCCTTCCTCCGCAGATCCGAGTCCGCTCCTCCGTCTCGGTCTCCTCTTCGATCGATCGCGCGGGTTCGGGGGTCGGCAAGCATTTCTCGGACGTACCATTTTGATGGACTGCGACGTTAGCAGGGTTTCTGGGCACCTCTGGCGGCTACTCACTGTGTTGATGGATAAGGATACCTGTAGCACCACTACCGACAATCAACGAGACTGGCTGGCGAAACCTGAAAGAGGGCAGCCGTGGGAAACCACTTTTCGTTAACGCCGACAGAAACTTTTCCCCGACTTTGACGGCGGTCTTCGCCCCCACGTGGCAATACCGATGCGTCCGACCTTCCCGCTTAGCCCACTACCTTTGCTGGAACTGTGATGCATGCTGAGCTTGGTGGGCCGATACATGATACTAATCGTGTCTACGCATGACGACCAGGAATGCTGAACCTGTCGCGTTGCAGCTGCAACTCTGGTTAAAAAGCGTCCAGCTTTCACAGCTACAGGAGGACAGCATTCAAGAAGCACGCACATCGCAACTTCAGGTGTTACTGCCGTGCAGGCAGACGACACACGGTTTGAGAAGACAGGTGAAGGGGGGCGGACCATCTATCCGCTCGTGAGCTCCGACCGCGTGCATTGCGACATTGAAGGCAGTCCTGAGACCCCGCGTCACAGAGTCAGCTCGGCCGTGCTCTCTTGACGCTGACTGGCCAGCGATTGATCTCTGCGATCGATGACAGGGTACCGAGTTCGACGACGTCGAGTTGCCGAGGTCTGTCAGGCACGGCAACCACACATCCGAACCGGCTACCCCCTTCTGCCCCAGCCGGCGGTTACCGCGCTCACGAGCCCACGCTCAGTCACCTCGCCGCAATTGTCTCGTGACTCGGGTCAACGTTGCATCCTCCTTACTCATCAACTGCATCACAATCGACTCTGTGGACAGCAACCACATGCCTGCAGCGACGCCCGCTTTCCGTTTCCAAGACCTCGCCGTCGAACTCCAGTTCGCGATACTTGACGAGGTTATCAGCCTATCGCCGTCTGATCTCTGCGCCGCCGCCGTCGTCTGCCAGACGTGGAACCAATATGTGACTCCCCATCTCTACCGGCACATCACATTGACCAAGTCGAACCGCGAGGCCGTCTTCGCTGGCCTCGGTCTCGACTATCTCTCCGCCTTTGCGCTCGAATCACGAGCTGATGATGTGCCAGCGGTCGACACGACCCCGAACCGCAAGGTCCAAGCGCTGTCACATGTCAAGACGCTCGCTATTTCAGATTCGAGCGGAGCCCTTGCGCTGGCTGAGGCCCTGGTCACCCACGATGGGGTCTTGAGCAACGTCGAGGACATCTCCATTGGCTCCGCCTTGTTCCGCCACCTCGTCAACAGCGGTCTCGCCGCATTCGGACGGCCCCGATCGGGCTCTGCCTTCATGGGCGAGACGCTGGTGGCGCGGCTGAAGCCGAAACGCGTCCACATCGATTACCCGGCCTCGCGAGTGCTTGGTTCGTCCGCGTTCGATCCCGTCCTGCTGGCACGCGTACTGGCTGTCCTCATGATTGACTGGAACCCTGAAACTGTCGACTATCACGGAGTTGGCTCTGACTTTCCGCCCGTCCTGGGTGCCATGTCACGTATTCACTGCGCGCCTTGCATGCCGGCAGACGGAGAGTGGGATGACTGTGACGGCCTTGCCTGCGGCAGTCATGGAGCTCTCGTGAGGATGCACCTCCGAAGGCTTTTCGGTCAGCACGCCCGTGACGAGCTGCTCGAGGCTATCGCGGAGGGAGCCGACCCTACCGACGACGAGGACCTCGACCCCGATGATGTCCCGGATGCGCTCCAGGCCAAGGTTGAGTACCACGGGGTGCCGTGCATCGTGGGCGCCGACATGGACGCTTTCCTCCGCAAGACTTTCGCTCATTGGCCGGTGGAGATTGATATTGGTGAACGCGTCGCCTTCTACCCTTGATATCATTCTCTTCGAACCGTACTAAGTGTCGTGATCTGAAGGTTCGCCTCGGTTGTAATTTAATGTTGTAGAGTAAAGGAACGCGGGTATTGAGCCATCAGAAGTCGCTATCACAGGGAGGTGCGAGAGTGCAGCAGAGCAGAGTCATGTACATGCATGGGTAGTAAGGCAAAGTTGGGCATGACGAGCAGCCGTTTGTGAAGTGAAGTGGGGCCATGCACGGGCAATGTTGGCGAGGTACGAAGGGTATGAATGTGTGGTACTGTGGGGTGGGACTGGACGGATGGGAGATAAGATGGAAAGAAGCCGAGGGTATGACGCTGGTACGGCGATTACGCTGGGACCCAGATTCGGAGCCGTCTTCCTCGTTCGACGGCCGCACACGCAATTCCTGCACAGCATGCCCTTCCCTCCTTCTTCATCGCTCTGTTTATCATCCGTCTCCTCTATCGACCTTCATTGCACTCGGTGACCGCTTTCTGAGTCACCGGTACCTGCGACGAACAGCAGCCCCGCTCCCGCCATGAGGTCCGACAAGGTCCAACAACGCAAGGAGGACCGGACGTTGAGCGAGAACAGCCATGCCAACGCCCAACCACCTCCTCCTTACACGCCTGCGCAGTCTGGGGTTACAGCAGGGTCGTCCACCCAACCACACTTTGCAGCGGCGGCCTCTGCGTCTGACGATGTACCCTCAGAGCGTGAGTGGCGAGAGTGACGCTGGGCTGACAGGTGATAGTGAAGGTTCCGTGGGGCACCCAGGTCAAGGACGGGAAGGTCCAGGTCGATTGTGATGATATCAGTCCTCCCCAGCCTGCTGGACAGGGTACTGTGATGCCGGTAGGAGCTGGTGCTATGGGCCTCGACAACTGCCCTCCCCTGAATGTGGTGATGTTCGTCATTGGAACCAGGGGTGAGCTCTCATATCTCTTGCCAAGCTCACAAGCAGGCGACGTGCAGCCGTACATCGCCCTTGCTCTGCAGCTCATCGCCAGCAAAGGTCACAGAGTCCGTATTGCCACGCACGCAGCATTCGCCGAGCTCGTGACGGAGGCGAGTGTACGTCTGGCTGGGTTGACCGACTCGAAAGGTGTACCGCTCACTGGACACCTGGAGCACTACGACATTGGCGGTGAACCAGCACAGATTCTACAGTACATGATCGGAGGTAAACGTGTGGATATGGGACATGGTCACTGACATCCAGATAAGAACCCGTCCATCGGAACCGCACCACGGGGCGAGCAGAGCAATCTCGTTGCCAAGCGAAAGATGACGAGGCAGACGCTCATGGGATGCTACCGGGCGTGCTTTATGCCCTGCGAAAGCACAGGTGTACCGTTTGCTGCAGATGCCATCATCAGCAACCCCGCCGCCTTAGGCAACATCCATATCGCTGAGGCCCTTGGCATTCCATTGTCAATGTCATATAGTGAGTGACAGAGCCAACTCTGACGCTGACTTGCAGCAATGCCGTGGACGCCAACATCAGCGTCCCCCCATCCGCTAGTGACACTGGCCAACACGCACGGCTCGCAGACCCGGGACAACTACTCCAGCTACATCATGGCCGATATACTGTGAGAAATTAGAGTGCGCAGTCGGCTCACGACGAGATTGTATCAAGGCTTGGGTGACGTGATCAACGACTTCCGCATCGTTACCCTCGGTCTTCAAGCTCTCAGTCTGTCTCGTATACCAGAGGCCATCAGGGCGCTGGGAGTACCCTGGACATATGCTTGGAGCGAAAGTCTTCTACCCAGACCTCATGATTGGGGGCGACACATTGGTGCGTATGCACATAGAAGCTTTCTGATGTCCAGATGTTGTCGGTTTTTTCCAGGTGCCGCCCTCATCCCGGGCCCCTAAGATCTCCCAAGAACTATTCGAATTTTTAAGCGATGGGCCGTCCCCAATCTACTTCGGGTGAGCGAACGATCCCCCTCCGGCTGACGCTAGCTTCGGGTCCACCCCTATACAAAACGCCACCGAGTTGACTGGTCAGAAGATAGTAAGGTAGAGCTGCCACTGACAGTGCAGACACTATACTTGCCGCAGTCAAAGAGACGGGCGTCCGCGCTATCCTTCACTCAACCTGGACCGAGTCAGAGGCACCGTGCGGTGCCGTTTCCAAGGGGGTGTTTATAGCAACAGGTATGTGGGTTGCGTTCTCGGTGATTCTGACAACACAGAGCCTCTTCCGCATAGCTGGCTGTTCGCCGAGGGCCGGGTATCGGCCGTCTGCCACCACGGAGGTGAGCTACCAGTGGAGGCCCGCTGACGATGAAGGAGCCGGCACCACCGCCGCAGGGTTGAAGGAGGGGCTTCCGACCGTCGTAATCCCATTTTTTGGCGATCAAACGTGAGTTGAGAGTTCGACAGGTAGCACACTGACGATATCGCAGGATGTGGGGCAACGCAGTGCATGCCGCCGGCGCGGGTCCTCGCCCAATTCCCGCTGAGAGACTAACGGCATCGCGTCTTGTAGAAGCGATCAGAGCTGTTCAGTCAACAGAGATCCGGGCTGGGGCAGTCAGACTCGGTAAGAGGCTCAGCCGTGTGAATGGTGCCGCCGCAGGCGCGGAGAGCTTCTACCGTCATCTGCCACTCGGAAACATGATGTGAGTCTGACTATTCCTTCCGCCGTCTGACCAAACAGGTGTCAAGTTGATCCCACACAGCCCGCACGATGGTGGTGCCAGGAGTTCTGCGTTCGGGTATCGAATGTGGCGGCAGCCGTGATCGTGGAGTCAAAGTTCATGAGCTGGCGTTCGTTCACTCCTTACCGTGAGAATTTAGTTTGGGGATCATACTGATCAATTCCGCAGGACCGATCGAGTACAACACTGCTGGATACTATCGCGATCCACGCGAATCGCTCGATGGCACGGGATCGAGCATTGGCACGCAAGAAGTGTCTGCTAAAAGCCAGCTCTACGCCCCGGTGTGTATGAAACCGCAAATTGTGGTGTGGCTGATAGCGCAGGCGAAAGACTTTAGCAACTCGCTCATCGGCATCCCCAAGGGTGAACAGCTGAGCCACTCACGGTCTGAAGCTAACGAGCACAGCTTCGTTTGACCTCGTAGGTCAAATTCAAGAGGGGTTCGACAACGTGCCAGGATACTTCGGGTCTGAGGTCCGGCGCCGAGGGAAGGTCGACAGTCTACGAAGTGGCGTCAAAGAAGGCGCAAAGGGCTTTGCGTACGGCCTGGCAGATGGGCTTTCTGGGCTCGTTATGGAACCCGTGAAGGGGGCAAAGGAGGGGGTAAGCGTTATTGGCCTCGCAAAGCTAACGTAGCAGGGACTCGGCGGCGCCATCAGTGGCACCATCACCGGCAGTAAGCTGAAGACCATCGTGCCAACTGACACCAGGCATCAACCTCGCCGCACGTGTGTCGGGCGGAGCGCTGGGAATCGTGACGCAGCCGACAGCAGGGCTCTTCCGGTCCGCGCGCAAGACCCTGGCAAGGCATGGTGCAGTGGAGGCGCGGAGCGTCTTCTGCGATGCGCGCGAGCATGCTGCGCACGCAGAGGCTGCAAAACTGGGCACCCAGGACCGCAAGGAGCTTCTTGCGGCCTGGGAGCGCGTCACGGGAAGCTACAGCATCAAACAGCGCATGAAGGAGGAGAAACAGCGCCTCGCCTCGCTCGACCAGCACTTCCGCGCCGGAGGGTCTAGTAGCCGTTCTAGCAACGACGGGCCTGAGCGCCGCAGCAGCTGGAGCTCAGACGTCGGGCGCAGGGGGAGTCTCAGCTCGGTCATGTCACGGATGAAGGGGAAGGGGAAGGAGAAGCAGCAGTCGGACACGTCGTCGAACGAGACTGCCACTCCGGCACGCTCGGTTCATTCCCGCACCACGAGCTCGAACAACCCGTACCAGCACGAACGCGAGCAGCGCATTCCGGGCAGCTACGACTCGTACGTCACCGACGAGAAGTACCCGTCGGGCGCAAGCTCGTCGCATACCTCGCCCCGCGGCGAGAGCAGCGGTCTGCCCCAGCCACGCCGCGACAGCCGCATCAGCCTCAACAGCGGCATGGACGTCGCTCTCGCCGGCACCACAGACAGGTGGTTCGGGAGCACGAGCAGCCTCGGCGGTCTGTCGACGCTGACGGCTTCGGTGACAGGGCGCTCGGGGCGCGAGATTCGCGAGGACCCGCCTATCACGCCGGAGGTCCGCGGCCGCGCCCTGCGCAAAGGGAAGGAGAAGGAGAAGCCATGATCGCAGGCACGCGAATTAGCCGGTGAAGTAGGCGGTGATGGATACCCGGCTGTTATGGAGTTAGTGGACGTATATCCAGGTGCACAGTCTGGTCACTGGTCAAGGACGTTAAGCATTTCACAGACGTGCGCCGTGCTCGGGCCAACGACTAAGTGGCGGCCGGCGCGACGGCGGATGCGAAAAACTCTATATGGACAGCGTCTAGTCTCGGGAGCCGAGTCACAGAAGTAATCAGAGCAAGCACCTTCGGGCATGACCCGAATGGAAGCAGCAAGGCTCTGTGAAGGGAGGAGGCAATAAGTAGGCATCGAGAGGTATAGTCGTGGCAGTCTGCGTGGGAGGCGACGAGCACCGCGTCATGGTGCGGTTGGTGCGCAGCAGGGATGTAAACAGCACACAACAGAGAGAATGCCCGAAGTTGAGTGGGCGATTCCCCGACGCTGCGTGCTGTACGTGCTTTACTAGCGTGCGTTGTTCGCTGCTGCGCAGGTGCTGAGATGCGCGATGCGCGGTGGGCGGTGCGTGCTGCGTATTGCGTCACACTACCGAGCAAACGGACAGATGTGCACGGAAGGACGCGCGAGATGACGTGGGATTGGCATGCGTGCATGCGGGATTGAGAACGAATTTCGAGGCGGGGCCGCGCGGCGGCCACGCCGCCTCGCGTATGAGATGGTAGAGACAAGAGAGCAAAAGGGGAAAAGTAACAAGAGCAGAAATAAAGCAATAGTTAAGGTCGAGATAGCGGGATATATGGATGGTGATGTGTTGCGTCGATAATGGATGAGATGGAGGGATGATGGAGAGGAAACTAGAACCTTGTATGATCACCTGATGCGCACTGTGGGTGTGTCAGCTCTGAACATGTTTGTAGAGAGAAAAGGGATCCCGAGACTGCCATTCTGTGACTTTCGGGAAGAGACGATGCAGAGAAGTTGTGGGGAGAACGGGTTGGTGGGGCAGCGCGCTGGCCTGGACGGGCATGCAACTGGCATTGCGTGGTCGGACGTTGAGCCTCGAGCGCACAGCGTTCGCAGCTCACGTCTGAACGTGCTGCGAGACACGACGCGCATGTGCGTCATAGCCATGGCGTGAGTGCAAGGATGTGCGAGCATTCTTCTCCGTGGGCCGTGGGGCTGGTGGGCTGTGTGGCTGCGGAAGATGATCAGCGGCGCCAAGGGAGATGCCGGCCGATGCCAGGCAGAGCCCCACTGATCAGCACTCCGCAGCCCCGCTCCAGTCTACGACGTCCGAACCCTCCTGGCTCCGATCACATCGGCGTCTCCGACTTCGGACCGAGGTTGGTCCGGCGCTTGTTTACAGGTCGATGCCAACGAGCATGGCGCGTTCGGCGACGACCGATGCGATGGGAGCCACAGTTGTCCTATGATACCTCCAATTCGTCAGAAAGCGTTAAGACTCACCAGAGTACATATTGGTAAGACAGTCATAACTTTACATTTACACCCGGGAGCCGAACAGCCGCATCTGTGTTCCTCGTTGTGTAACGGCGGGTGATCGTTTCGGCCGGGCGCTATCCTGTGGCCGCCTAGAATCCGTGGCGGGACATCACCAGTGAATACGCCGAATCCGGCGGTTCCTCCTGCTCCTCCGCCCTTGAACACGCCAGAGTGGGACGCTGGGTCCATATTGGTGTAGGTCGTAAGGAGGTTGTCGATGGAATGATGAGAGAGGGAGAGACGAGGCAGCGAGTCGGAATGACTTGCTGATACGGTCGCCCGGTTATCGGTCGAGGGGAAGACAGAGGGGTCAGTTGAGGAGTGGCGAGTGGTGATAGTCTAGCTCGAAGGGGTCGAGCGAGGTCCAGACTCTGATGTGTCAGATGTTCAGAGGGTGGGGAAGGTTGGCGCGGGCTTCGCGGTGAGAGCGAAGTGGGCGATGGAAAGGCGTCAAGGAGCGTTGGGAAGGAGGTAAAGGGCGGCGGCCAGCGTCCAGCGACGAATGACGGTAGCAGGTCGACAATCTAAGCGGAGGGCGGACGATGGACGACGGGTTAGGGAATGACACCGCCAGCGGTTCGATCAATAATCAATTGTGACTAGAAAGCTGAGCGTTTAAGTCAGCGTTGAGTTGTTGTTTGTGTTGTAGGTGGGAGGAAGTGGAGCCGTCAAGGCTTGAAGAGGTTGAATGCGTGAAGTGAATAAAGGGACGGAACAAGAAGGTCGAAAGAAATGGAGAATGCGGATAGAGGAGCAGAGTTGAGAAGACGGACGACTTTACGTCCCATCATCATTAAAAGGGGCTGACTGGATGACCCAGGGGGGGGAGGCCGAGCACACTCAACGAGCTGTGCAGCAAGCCGTGAGGGTGGCGGACGAGGCTGTTTCCGAACAGACGGGTCGGCTGGGAGGACCATGAGGGCTGAAGGAGCGGCAGGGGACCTCATGCACCGCGTGTTCTACCCATTGATCTCCTCGGCCCCTACGTTTGGTACACAGCTTGGCGACGGCACTGTTCAGGTCGCATGGACCTTCAGGTTCGCTGGCTGATGGGCTTGCGATGGCTTGCCAGGGCGCACCTCGTTGGGCGTTTGAGAGTTTGGAGAGAATATGCAAAGGTACTCACCTGTGAGGTCTGTGTATCTCCGTCTTCCGTCCTACTGTCGCGTGCGGGATGTGGGTGAGGCTGTGTGAACGCCGAGCCTTCACCACTGGCGAACCAGTTGCTGCAGTCGCTGAAGTTGTGGGGCGTCCTGTCAGACAACGCCCGATACGTGATGCGAGAGCGATGATCGACGTGCGGTGACTTGATGCTGTGGCACGGGGCCGCCAGGAAGAGGGACGGTGCTAGCCGATCCGAAGCCCCGACAGTGATGAACTTTGCAGCAGGCTGGGCGTCCCTTTAGACAAAAGTCTGGGAAGCGTTGAATGGCGGAGGCTTGGGGTGCGATGTGAGCCACGATGTCCAAGTCGCCCAAGTGTCAGGTGTCTGAAACTGCCTCGGGTCTCGAACCGTTTGAGAACTGCGCTAGTTTGATGAACCCGTAAGCTCCGTTCGGATCCTTGAATGTGTCCTCTGCAATATTGCTGCGGACGCCGGATCGCCCGAAGCTGCCCTCTGACTAGTCGGACAGTCGGGCTCTGATGACTCTTGTGACTTTGACGGAGCTGCGCTTGACCTCAATCACCCAACCGAGGGAGTCGGGTCAGGGGTGCACAGGGGCAGCGATAAGAGGATTGAGGGTGTACTTGCCCGGGATGGTGACCTCTGTGACTCTTTAAGTGAGCAAGCGGAGGATTGTGCGTCGTGTCGAGACCTGACAGCGTGAACCGAAGGTGCAGTGAGAGCCGGAATGAGCCTCGGGTCGGACAGTGGATATCCAAGCTTGAGCGTTGATCGTTGATTGAAATGAGAGAATCGGTAGGTGCGTGGCCGCGTGCGGGGAACGGTCGTCGCGTACTTGGCGGATGTTCGTCCAGGTTCGATTACTTGAAATGGGCGCTGGTGCTGCGGCGAGTGCGCTGCGAGCGATATCGCGATACTGACTGGCTGGCGAAGAGCTGGCTTGCGCTGGCTTGTTGGGCTGAGTGGTTTTGCCTAATCAAATTGCCGCAAGAGACGAGTGGCCAGTGTGCTGCAGCTGAGGAGCCGAGGCCGAAGACTACTTCTAGTCCTTGGTCCGGATCCCGAGGGTCTCGACTCTCGTCGAGTGGAACTCTCGGACTCTGGGTTGGGCCAAGGGGTACGCGAGGGCGTTGGAAGGCGTCGATGGCGTCAAGGGCGTCCGGGGGTGGCTTCTCTCAGGTGGTTGTCCGTATCTGCAGTTGTCGTTGCCGCAGATGCCGGTCGGACCTGAGACTGCGGCACGTCTATGGGGAAGACGTCTGCGAGGACCGTGAGGGCTGGAGGGACGACCAGAGTGCTTCCTAAGCCTTCGGGGAAACCACTGGGGTTGAACAAGCTCAGACGAGGGCCTAGCGAGTGCTTAGACTATGGTGAGTTGTTGCGGTGAGTTCTGGGAAGCGTCTGCGCAGGTGTCTGAGTCGCACTGGAAACGATGTTCCAGCGTTGTGGTTCGTCAGCTGCAAGCTTGCGACTGTTTTCGAGTTTGTGCAAGCTTCAGCCCTGCAGGTTCAACCAAGGATACGACGTTTCGACGTTTCGGCCTGGCGTCGTTGGCGTCGCTGGCGTAACTGGCGTAACTGGTGAGCTGGGGTCCTCTGGGGCCGGAACCTGAAGCCGGTTTGGTGCTCGGAGGCTGGGCGGGGGGTTTAGGTATTGGGCCTTGCACCCGTGCGCTGTCTGTGAGATGTCGAAACGCACGAGCGCAAGCTGCGAGCAAGGTCGTGAGAGAAGGTTGTGAGAGGGGAGACTTGAGTAATGGTCGATGACTAAAGCGCTCGAGCGTCGAGAGATGTGACGGAAGGAAGGCGGAAGGGAAGCAAGGTGATAAGAGATGGGGGAAAAGGAGGTGGAGGGAAGCCGCCGGAGGACTGACTGGCGGGGTAGGCGGTGAAAGCTTGGTTAAGGATGAGGGGTCTACTCGGTGTCGTTTGTCGAGGAGGAGGGACGACGATGACGACGACGACAAGAGGAGAGGTGTGTGAGACGAAGACGAAGAAGCGAAGCGGAGAGGAATGATGAACAACAGACACGACACGAAACCGAAGCGGATGAGAGTGGACAGAGCATGCATGCAGCGTATCTGGCAAACTAGTCGGTACCTACGTACGTACAGCGGGCTGGCTCGGCTGGAAGGAAGCCATCAGGCTGCAGGCTGCAGGCAGTGTGGTAACTGGGTAACTGTAACTGGCGGGTTGCAGGCGCCAGGCGGATGATGAGAGAGAGATAGCCAGCTTCCAGGCAGAGTACCCAGAGTCCAGCCAGGCCGGCGGGGCCGGAGCTCTGCTAGCTATGGCGGCCAAGGGCGGAGGGAAGATCGTCAATAGGAATTTGGCTCAGGTGCGCTGACTCGACTAGCGTTCATACGCTCATCTGTCAGATCCTCTCGACCCCTTCTAGCTCCCCTGTCCCTCTGCCGGCATCCTCGCGACCAGTAACCAGTGTACCCAGACATGAAGTGACCACAGATGGTGGCGTAGGGCAAATGAGGCATGTGCTGGGTGGGTCTATGGGTCTTGCTGGCGTAAGGTGTCTGCTGCAATTGACTGCCCGCTGACAAGCTTGCAGCCGCTGAGCTAACCTGGCCAAGCTCAGCGAAGCCAAAGCCAAAGCAAGCGAAAACCTCAGCGCGAACCGAGTTGACTCCGTAGCGCGAAGGGGTTCGCGACGCTGCGGTGCTTTGTTGCCTAGGAGGACTGGAGAAGGGCAGGGTCCGGCCAGGGTGGCCAGGGAACACAGGGACGGACTGTCATGTCAATCGGTACCGCGCAGTCCAGAGAGTCCAGCCAGTCCAGCCATGTCAGCCAGGCAGACGATCCAGGCCATGGAGGCTCGACACGCTAAACAGGCCATACGGGGCCACGGGGCACTCTTAGTGCTTGGCCAACTGGGCCAGGCTGTCCAGGCGGGCTCCAGGCTCTGTGCCTACGCCGCCGTCCGTTAGGCCCCGTCCCTGTGCTTCCTCTGCGGCCTCTTAAACTCTCTGAACGTCGCCTTCCCCGCCTACCGCCAGCGGAGCCTGCAGAGCCAAGTTTTCGTGTGCACTGGCTTGCTGCATTCAGCATCCCCAGCCGGGCCAGCCAGGCACGCACGATTCAGCCCTCGCTGCTCCAGTCGCTCCGGCCGCAGATTCCAGTGCTCCGTATCGCCCGAAACCTGCAGTCAGTAGCACCCAGCACCAGAGCCCCAGCAGCCGCAGTGCAACGCTCGCAACCACGCCGCGTTTTGCGTTTCGTCCTGTGCCTTCCGTCCCAGTTCCCTTCGTACCTCGAGCACCACTGCACGCCGACGTCGTCGCGGTCCGACGACCCGAACGTCGCAGCCCGCCTCGGTCAGCACAGCCTCTTTGCTGCTGACGACAAGGAGAAGCGCTCGCCAGTCGCAACTCGTATCAAACCAATTACCGGTCTGCGAGCGATGAGTGCATGAGTGCTTGCGCACATGCGTACGACGTAACGTGCAGGGCTAGTAGGGCCGCGAGCAGTGGGCTGCCGGAGGCCCGCGGAGTCACTCCGCATTAGTGACGCTTGGGGCGGCAGCACGGCTATTCATGCCGCTCCTAGGTCAAACATGAGCAGACAGTGGAGTATCTCACGACAAGAAGACACAACAGGCTAGTATCATAGATCCTAGTCTGCGGTACAGCAGCTACAACAGCCTTTACACTCCTGATTCCCGCTGCTATGCATCCTTAGGGTCGCCTGTCAAGGACTTCTAGAGCGAACCGAAAACGCGCACAACAGCAGCCTGCCGCCCGCAGCAGTTAGAATGGATTGTTGTTCCCTTCGTTCCCGCGCGCCAGTTGCTCCGAAGCGGCGCAAGTCCACTGCCTGAGAGACCGTACAGGTCCCGGGTCCTGGGTCCAGTTCCTCAAGCGAAAAGAGCGAGCAAGCGAAGGGGAGGGACGAAGGGGCGTGTTAAGGTTTGCGCCGGGGGCACACCGAACAGCCCAACACCAAACGAAGTAATCTGGAGGAACTAGGCCAGCTGGGGCCAGGCTCAGCCGCCAGTGTCGGCCGTGCCTTTGCCGCCGGACCTTGCTCGCCTAGTCCGCATGGCTGTCCGCATGACCTAGTGTCGAGAGCACGAGCCGAGCTAAGCTGTACGCTACGTTTAGACCGGGGGATCGGACGGCTGTGGGTATGTTGAGTCAGCCGTGTGATTCTCGAGATTAGCAGAGAAGCTATACTTGACCTTCGGCATTCTCCCTCTCTACTCATGTGACCGACTTCAAGGCTACGGACACTCTGGCCACTGAGGCAGTACGCTACTCCCACACTGGTACACTGGGCCAGGTCCGTGGCTGTGGCGCAGGCCCTCGTGTCAGCGGGCAACGGACACTGCACTAGATCCTCTGAAGCGACCGCCTGAGGATCGTATGCAGACCCGAGCAGGCGTCCACGGGCGCAGAACAAGTGCCCGCTGGGCCGCTGGCCAGGTCTGGGCGGCCCGGGCGTGGCCAGATCTATGATCCAAGATCTGCAAAGTGGTCATGCGCCATTTGTCGGTGCCGGCCGTCGCCGGCCGGCGACCGGTCCGCATCCGGTGTCCAGAAGTAGCCAGTCATCATGGTCTGCATGGTCTGGACCGGGTCCTCGCCAGTCTCCACTCTTGAGTCACCATTCATCTCATGTCTAGTCAGCAGTAAAACGTCAGCGGATGGACGGCTGGCGGCGGCTTTGTCCGCTTATCGGGGGTCCGAGATAGTGGGCATATGGGCAATCGGAAGTGGTGCGCGTGGTGCTGTGGAACGCTGGAACACGAAACGCCACCACACGCGCAAGCGCGAGGGTAGGTGGCGGTGTTGCGGCATGTCCTACTCGTCATCGAGCTGGACCGCGCGACGTCATGTGTATTGATTCATGTCGATTCAAGACAAGAGGCGACGAGGCACGCGAGGGCTGAACGAGTAGCACGGGTGCGGTCGCGTCCGACGACCTCCCACACTGTCGAGCTGATGACTGCCTAACATGATCAATTGCCAGTACCCAGGCATCGGTAACAATTGAGCAGGCTACGCACGCCGTACCAGTAAACACGATCGGTCCTGCAGGCCCAGTAGTCGCAACTGCGGGCCCAGTAGCCGCAGGAGCTCACTGGGTGTCGCCTTTATACGCAGCTCGGCGAGCTCGGCGTGACGAATCGTGCTCGGGGCCGGAGAGCGCATTTGGCTCTAGAGTTCGATCACGGCTGTGTCTTGCTTCCCATACAATTCTGAATGTTGTTCTACGTACTCCCGGCCAAGCTTTCGCAAGCTCTTCCCCAAGCTCCCAGCGCAGATCAGTGAGCGCAGTGACTGTGCCGGCTGCGCTGCGTGCGACGTTAAGGCGCGAATGCGAATGAGAAACTCAGGTCTCCAACGATCACATCCCATTCAGTTTCATTATGACCAGGACCACGGCCACGGAGGCTCAGATTGCTCATATTACTCATGCCAGTTTACCCATATGTGCCGAGTTTGCATTGCAGCTTGCGTCACGTCCTTGTCCGAGAGAGTGGAGTGCAGACATAAAGACAAGGATGAATGAAAGGGACGTCGACGACGCCGGAGCCGCACAACGGGTGACTGCTAGTCGACGAGGTGACTTCCGGTGACAAAACGACCAAGCCGGCGGTACGGTCGGTCCGCGGCGTCGGCTACCTCCCGCTCACCCCTGCCCCTAAATCTGACGCTGCCCCGAACTGACCTGATGTTAGCAGGATCAGATCTCGTGGCGACGAGTAGCGGCGATGTTACCGCTCAGTCAGGCGTGTCTGCCACTTATAACAACCTACCCATCAGGTCGGACGGAAGCTGAGCAAGCAATTCCTTGGGCCCGTGTATGCTGCTGTCGTGCTGGCACACCTCGCAGAAGCTGGAACGGAAGCTCCCAAAGTGTAACGCAGACCAAGCCCGATCATGAACGTAAAGTTCGCGACGCACGTAGAGCTGGCACCTGGCGAGTCCTGGGCCATGAACTCTATACCCAGACGTCAAAGTGCTGCAACCTTCCATCCATCCTTTACACTTCTTTACGCGCCGATCGAACCTGCATACCGGAGCGACAACCTTGCTGCTTCTGTCAACAGCTTATGGCCGGCTGGTCCGTCCCGGGCTTCCCACAGCCGGCAGCGATTTTTACCATGTACTGCGCAGGGTGTTGAGCAAGAAGAGGACGGGAGGCAACTTGCCCGCCCGCTTGACGTGCGACGCCTCGGGGCTCGGTCTGGCCTCGCTGTTCGATACATAGGCTCACGCTCGCCATACCGTCGTGCCACTCCCGAGAAACATGGCCTGGCATCTGACGTTCCCGGATCCTACATCGGCGGACAAGTAGCCGCGCTTGCCTCGGGTTCCCTAACACGCTCTACTTGTAGCCACCGCTCTACTGACGTTCGCTCACTGACTGCTCGCCTTACTCCCGCCCCAGCAGGTTGGCCGCGATGGCATACATGAGCGCATCCTACAGTCTAGGGTGGCAGAGTGTCCGTCTGCCTGTCCGCGATAATGTACTGTTTTGGCAGTGGTGAAGGGCCGTGTCGGACCGTGTTGTGCCGAAGTGAAATGAAACGAGCAAATGTGATGAGCGAAAGGAAGACAATGAGGCAAAGGATGAATAGCGTATGAAGAATCCAGATGTAACGAAAGAGAAAGAAAGAGTAAGACACGGGACCCGGGAGCGGTGGCAGGACGAGACGAGACGAGACAATTAAGATGCGACGGAAGGAGACGAAGAGAGGCTGGCTATGAGCTGTGGGCTGGGCGTGCGCTGTGCAGGTGGAAGGTCGGCGACAACGCGAACGCTGGTGATGTTTTAGAGCCACAGGGGGCTTGTTGCATGATAGTGTGTGGGTGGTGATAAGGTGCGGTGAGGTGTGAGAGATAAGATGATAAGAGAGAAAAGATAATAGAAGAGGAAACGCGAGGGGGAAATGATAATATGAGAGCTGGAGAGCTGGGCTGGGGAATAATGTGGCGTGGGTGGTAAGAGGTAGGAGGAGAAGAGGTGGGTGTATCGATGAAAGTATGGCTACAATGTCATTTTATCGCCAACAACTTGTGTGTATCGACATTTTTGGTTTGAGGTCGAGCAGGCTGTTTAAGCCTTAATGGCCTCGGGGATGACAGTGCCGGCAACCGAGGCGAACGAGACGGCGGCGGCGGCGGAGGTAGGCGAGACCTTGGGCTTGCTCGCTTCCGGGTTGGGGGTGGTCGAGACAGAGACAATGACAGCTCCGTCCTCAGAGTCCGAGTCCATGGTTACTTGGGGCTAATGTTAGTTTAGCTGGCGCGGAAGCACGATGTACTTACCTCAGCAGCCTCCTTCTGCTCGACCGGCTCAACAGCAGCGACGGGCTTCTCCTCAACCTTCTCCTCAGCCTTGGGCTCCTCGGAAGCAGGAGTAGCGGGAGCCTCCTCCTTGGGGGTGACGGGCTTGGCGGGGGCAGGGGCCTGGAGCACCTGAGAGCCGGTCTTGTTGCCCCACGAGGGCTCGCGGCGCTCAGTGGGAGTAGTAGCACCACCGAGACCGAGAGCAGGGAACTCGTCAGCGCGGGGGACACGCTGAGGGGGAATGGGCTTCTTGTCGCCCGAGGATGATGACCGCGAGCCGTTGGCGTGGCCGTTAGCGTATCCGCGAGGGCCGCGGCGGGCACCGGCACTGTTCGGGGAGTGAGCACGCGAGTTGACGCCGTTAGCGTGGACACGGGCAACACCCGGTCCGCTGGCCGAGCGCGAGACAGGGGTGACCGGGGCCGAGGGCTTCGGGGGAAGCGAGGCGGTCGATCCAGAGACATCCTTCTCAGAAGCAGGGGTGGCAGGCGAGGCGGCGTTGGCAGAAGCACCCTCCTCACCAGCGGGAGTGGCAGCAGAGGAGTCGCCTCCGTTGGCGTTGGCGGCAGCAGCGGCCGCGGCAGCCTTGTTCTGGAAGTGCATGCGCTGGGACGGGTCGTAGTGGCCGCCCATCATGCGCATACCGTGGCGCGGGGGAGGGCGAGTGGGCATCGGGGGGATGATGCCACGAACAACGTCAGGGTGGCGGCAGTCGTTGCCATCGGCGTCCATGTGAGGGAACTTGCAGTACTCGCCGTTGCGGCACTTGCCCTCACGGAAGAAGGCACAAGGAGGGGGGTTGCCATCCTTCCACTGTCCAAGGTGGGACGAGCCGCCCATGCGGCCTCCCGGTCCCCACGGCTTGGGGCCACCAGAGAATGACGGCTTCTTGCCGTGGAAGGGCTTGCCGCCACCGTTGGCGAACTGGCCAAAGCTCTGTCGCCTGCCGTGGGCGTTGTAGCCGTTAGGGTGGTAGCCCTGGAACTGGGGCTGGGAGTTGGCGTAGAAGGAGGGGTCAGAGGGCATGGGAGGAGGAGGAATGGGCATCATGGAAGGCGACATGGGACCGCCGTTGGCGTAAGGGTAGGGGGCACCGTTGGGAGCGTCGGAGGGCATGGCACCGGGGACGAAGGCGGGGGAGAGAGCAGAGCCGACGTGGTTGGAAGGCGCGGGTATAGAGTCATGCTGGGTATTCTCGGAAGCGGGGGCGGCAGCGGAGCCCTCAGCGGGGGCGGCGTTGGCCTCACCAGCAGGCGGCTGAGAGCCCTCAGCAGCAGGAGCACCGCCGGAAGGAACAAACTCCTGAGCACCGGGGAAGAACGGAGCCGCTCCTGGCGGGTAGGGAACGAAGTTGGGAGCGAAACCGGGGCCGCCGGGGTAGAAGCCAGGTCCAGGAGGGTGGAAGAACATGCAGCTGTTGCCATACTTGCAGTTGGGGAAGTTGCGGCAGGGAATGGTCTTGGCGACCTCGGCCGGCGGAAGGTTGGCGGCACCATTGGATCCACCGTTGGGCGAGCCGCGGGGGTGGCCGCCGTTGGGAGGGAACATGCCGGGCTGGAAGAACTGAGGAGGACCCATCTGGAACGGGGGAGGAACGCCGTACATGGGCTGCGAGTATCCGAGGACCTGAAGCATGGTGGGGTCCATGGTCACTGCCGGAGGGGGAACGATAGCTCCGGCAGACAGGAGCTCGCGAACGACATCGGCGTGACCGTTCTGAATCGCAAGAACGATAGGGGTGCAGCCGCTGGCAACATCTGGGGGAAAAGTCAGCGCACAGAGTTCACTTCCGGTGTATTCTTTGGGGTGGTTGAAAAGTCGGAAGATGAAAAGCATGAACGGTCCTCGGCACTTCGGGGAGGAGTGAAAAAAGTTGGGACCGAGATGGACCTGTGTGTTTTCAAGCAGTCCGCGCATCCTTTTACGACGCTTGTGGAGGCAAATATTCGGTTAATGAACTTACCCAGAGTCTCGAGGGCGTCAAGGCCACGGCCGAGGATGGAGCGGACATCCTCAAGCCTTCCCTCGGCACACGCGCGATGAAGCTCCGCCTGGGGTTGGGGGATGGACAGAGCAGCAACACCAGCCTCGACAGCTGCGACGTTGGCGTCCGACTTGACCTCCGACTTGAGGTCAGCGGCCTCGGTCTCGGGGGCGGCGGCGTTGGTGGGAGCCTGAGCCTGCTGCGCCTGCGCGGAGCCCTCCTGGGCAGCGTGCTGCTGCTGTTGCTGCTGCTCGACAGACATTGTGTTTGACTGGAACTTTTTGAACTGCGTCACCTCCAACTCGGAAAGGGCGGCTACGTTGGTCGGGTAGGCGCCTGAACGAGGACGAATGGAGAGAGGAAGCCGTCCAGACGAAGAGGTGGGGAGCGGGTGAGTCAGCGAGTAGAGGGAAGGAGGGAGGAGGGAGTGGGCGACTCGTCGATGATAGCCGAGGCGAAGCTGGGAAGCGTAGGCGTGGGCGTGAGCAAGGAGGAGGCGATGGGGGAGGGACTCGGAATCGCTTCCAAACCAGGCGGGTGTGCGCTTGCTGGGGGGCGGAGAGCTCGGGAGGCTGAGGGGTGGAGGGGGGAGAGGTGACTTTTGGTCGGGAGTAGATGTGGAGAAGTGAGGAAGAAGGAAAGTGAGTGAGTGAGATGTCCGATTCCGACTCGCACCGTCTGGTCGAGCCGTAGCAAGGGCAAAAGGAGAGGGTAGCGGGCAGACAGCGCAGGCAGCCAGGCAGCAGCATCCAGGACCAGACCAGGACCCGCAGGACCCGTCCGCTGCACTCGCGAGTGCTTGCGACGACTGTACTTTTTTTTTCTTTTCGGCAGCTTCAACTTGCGTGCATTTGGTATCCGGTCTGATTACAATAAAGACTAATCACCGATTAGAAACGAGGTCAAAGTTGGCTGAGAGAAGAGGCAGAAACCACGAAACTAGGGTAACCACGGTTAAGGGTCTTGACTTTTTTTTGGTTGAAAAGTCTCAGCGCGCGCAGAGTCTCAGACTAGCACTGCCGACTAGGCCGCAGCCTGCCGCGCCAGGCCCGCAACCTCCGGTAGCCTCCTGTCCTACAGCCAAGGTGGAGATAGCCTAAAGCCTTCAAGGCGTTGCGAGGGCCGTGGGCTGAGCAATGTAGGCTGCATAGGCTGATGGCGGGGGCTGGCGGATGAGTTGCATGCCCACCGTACATTGGGCTACCCAACCGTCAGCTAGCCTTAGTGCTGCAACTGTGCGTTTGTAATGTTCCCTCGACATGCATCCTCCATCGCTCCATTGGCCAAGTCGTTGGAGCTATGGAGCCTGCTTGCAACCGAGACGAACCAGGTACCACCGCCACTGGAGCTAGAGTGACTTGTTACCTCTCTCGGACGGACGGACATAGGACGTAGGACGCAGGACACGGGACCAATCTCCCCCTCAAGGTCCCTCACCCCTCTCGAGTCCCTCGAGGGACCTAGGAAAGATACCAAATCCTCGACCCCTAATCCCTAATTGCGCTGATGCTCTTGTATCGGCCGCCCGGCGCGCCCCGGGTAAACACCAGAGTCCGAGCCGACGTACCGACGACGCGGGAGCAGGCTGCGTCGCAGAGTCGCAGGGGAGTTGGGGAGGAGGAGCAGGGCGAGCGCGCGGGCAGAAGGCGTCTTCGATGCGGGGGAACTCTGGGGTAGACAGGATTTACAGATGTCGCAGGGAGGGAGGGAGACGAGCACACAACACATCACACGAGGGCGAAAGGCACTGTGGTGACAGTGAGTACGACTGCCCGCTGGAGCACGGAGAGTGAGCGCATGAACGGAATCTGCGGACTACGTGAGCCAAGGGCATACGAGCTCTCATCAAGCAAGGGCTCCACATGACCCAGCAGCGGGGAGTCACTTCGCTACGAAGGTACGTCGCCATAAAACTACCAGGTTAGGCTTTTCGTCGGACGTTCGGCACACCCCTTCCTCCTCCCAGGACATTGCTGCCATGCTGCTCGAGCTGCTCCCGCCAGCTCGTGCTTGCCGAGGCTGGCTTTACGTAACTGCAACATCTCTGCCGCCATTGCCATTCAATACAGCTGTGACCACGCATTCAAAGTCAAGGTACCTCGCATGCCTCGACGGAGCGCCATGCGCCAAGAGATCAGGATCGGTCAGCATTTGCGGCGTCTTGATTGTGGGCACTCGATATTTGGGCGCAAACTGGCTGACAAGAGCCGAATCTCAAAGTCACAACGCCCGCACCGGAAGACTCCCCATCTGAGGAGCCGTTTCGGGACAAGCGCGGCTGGAAATCCGGCAATCCAGGAACGGCGCTTCCATTCACATCACGTGACCATTCCTCAGCCTCCACCAGCGAGAACTGGGTGGAGGTGGTCACAATGTCGAGCGCGCGAGCGACGATTGGTGACGTCTGGACGCACAGCAGCACAGCAGAGTTGGAGGTTGGCAGACTCACCTCAGACTCACATTAGATACACACCATACTGATGCTGCGGACACTCCGGTCACACGCACTGAGGGCTTCAGTCCCAGTCTTTCAGAGTACGAGGATGAGCTCGACCGGTGCCTCGACCTCCGCAGAACCGCCGAGGAAGAAGAAACCCTCACCCTACCGGATTCCGAAACTCGACGCCTTCCAGGAATCCTTCAGTCCGCTCTCAGCAGCCGGATGGCGGCTAGCGGCCACTTCGTCTTCTGCAGCTCACCCCGCAGAGGGAACAGCCACGGTCTCCGACCCGCTGGAACTGGAAGCTAAGCGACTCGTGCAGAGCTACCATTTCTCTGACTACGCCAAGCTGCTCGAGATGATGAACGAGCTCGGACGGCTAGTGCAGGACCAGGACGTGAGTTGGCTTCTGACCACTGAACTGACAGCCAGCACCATCCCACCATTGTCGCGGGGCCGAGTTGCGATATCACAGACAATAAAGAGGGATACACCCTCCGCGTCTCCATGCTCACTCACACGCCCATGCCGCCGCTGGGCACGAAACTCGAGCGCAAGCTCGACCCAGGCGTGACGGGGAAGGACCTGAAGCTGGCGCAGGCGATCGAGGATTTGTGGGCTGGATACAAGGCACGATGGAGGAAAGAAGAAAAGGAAGATCCATTGTCCGTACTCTATCTATACGTTACAAAGCCCTAAGAGTAATGAATGTGTTGTTTCTATGGTGGTAATCTATGTTGATGGGTGTTTTAACCGGAGCCCTTGAACGAGGCCGCGTCACGGTCCAGCTGGTGAAGACGGTGAAGCTCCAGGAAGAGACGGTACAGCTGTCTGTCAGTTGTGCCAAGGGTAAGATAACTCACATAAGCCTGCATGTCTGCCCAGCGCCAGTGGTTCAGCGAAAAGTCACGCCCGGCCTCGCCGATCTTCTTGCCAAGGTAGTCGTGGCCCTTGGAGTGGTCGATCGTGCCGTCCTTGCTGACGGGGCCGATGAAGAAGGCCAGAATGTCGTACAAGTCAGAGTAGTCGGGCTTGATCGGGATGTAGTGGTACCACGGGATGAGGCGGTCCTGTCCGTCAGCTAAGCGGTGGCGAAGAGCTTACCATGTGCCAGTCTGCGAAGATGGTCATCTTCATGACGGGGCTTGCACTCGAGAGCAGACGGTGGAAGCGCTCCGACCATCCGTTCCCGTCCACATCGAGGAAGTAGCGGAACATCCACACGTCCTTCGGTTTCAGGACTGAGCCAAACTCGACCTCGTCGCGGATCTCCTCGCACATCTTGTCCGTCGAGCACTGGATCGGCTTGCCGCTGAGCTGCACGTCGCCGTACGCTTTGGCGAGCACCGGCATGTTGCGCGTGACGCGCTCGTACCCGCCCTGTCCGTCCGGCTGGATCAGCTCCCGGAACGTCTCGCCCCAGTAGCTCTCGTTGCCCTTCTTGTCGTTGAACATGAAGTGCAGCCGCATACGGTGCGACTGGCGCCAGTCCTGCTGGATCGAGAAACCGCCCGTCGTCGATCCGCGCCAGTGCACGCGATGGTCCAGCTTGTCGTCCCAGGTACCGAGTTTCGGAATGTCCTTCTCTGTCAGGTTTGTGAAACCCTCGATCGGCGGCAGGAGGAAGGACGCGTCACCCGGCAGCTTCGAGTGCACCAGCCACGGCTTGAGCAGCGACGGCGATCGGTCCTCGCGATCGTACTGCAGCGCACCGTGCAGGACTTTCAGCCGAGGGAACTCGCAAAAGTCCATCGTCGACAGATGGTCGTGGATGAACGACTGGCCCTCGCTGATGGGCGCCTCGCTGGGGTCGTTTAGTCTGTTGGCGGGAGAGTCGATGGGGCAGGCTTTCTGAGTACGGTTAGAGCTGTAGGAAGCAGTGAACCGGGCGTTTACTCACGAACCAACCCCAAACGGGGGAGCGCCCTGGATTCTGGTAGTGCTTGAGCTCCTCGTCGGTAAAGTCTGCTGTCAGTCACAGTTAAGCATGCCTCGTACGCACACTTGTTTTTGCGCACCAGCTCCATCGCGCGCTTCCTCTGGTCCTTTCCGAGCACGACGCCACTAACGTCGTGGTCACTACCGGTAATGTTAAGAGAGAAGCCCTTTGGCAGAGCAGCCTTGAAGCTGTCGACCATGCTGAGTAACTTCTTTGGTCGGGCGTTGCCGGCACGCTCACCGGTGATCGTGACTTCCTCGGGGGTGACGTGAAGGGTGTAAGCGAAGGACTGGTTCCGGCTGAGCTCCTCGGAACGGCCGATGAACGTCTCCGGTTTGAGGGCGTGGTGAGCGAGAACGTCGCGCATCATAAGGTCGTACTCGTCCACGAGCTCGACGTTGTGCTCCTGCGCCCACTTGAACCACTCGTCGAAGCCGGCCGGAGGGTCGATACCGTAGCGACGGCGGTACTCCTTGACCGCGTCCTTGAGCGTCTTGGACTGGCGGTCGCGCACCTTGCGCCAGAGCTCCTCGCCGCGCTCCATCAGCTCATAGACAGGATGCTCGGGCTGGGGTGCTCCCCGACGCAGCGGCAGCAACGACGCTATTCCGTTCCTCAGAAACACCATCGTTCGCGGTCTGTGTCGCTCGCCAGTCTTGAGCGCGAACCCGAGCGGCGTGGGCGGACCGCGCTCCTCCTTTTCTCGTCCCAAACCATGACGGATGCCGAACCAATACAGGAGGAAAAAGATGACGAAGAGGTAGAGGATCTTCTTCGGTCGTCGAATGCGGCCGGGTACGCCTACGCTAGGAATGGGTAGTCCGCCCTTTCGCGAAAGGGGAAAGGCATCGACAGGGCCAAGCTTCGGACTGACGTTCGGCGTGTCTTGCGCTATGTAGAACGCTCTCTTCGGCGGCATCGTGCTGGAGTCATAGAATGAGTGTGTGATGTTGGAATTTCATGCGAAATCTTAATGTCTTCGAGACATGGCTGCAGCCGGCAAGGACGCGAGGACGCGAGCGGCCACCTGGAAGACGATCGCCTTCAGGCACGGCACGGTTGGTACAGACAGCAGAAACACGGGCTGGGGGGGGAAGGGGTGATTATTTCAGGTCCCAGCGTTGGGTTACATGAATCCGACGCGGCAGCGATTAGCAGGTGATTAGGCCCATGTTAGGGACACTTCAAACACTGCAGTCTCGCTACCAAGTTAGGCTCGCTAGAAGTTCTCACCTCCTACGCGTGACTAACTGACGCGCCTACTTCACGCTGCCTCTCGCACGTATTCGTGATGGAGGGGATGCCGGCGGACAACGGCCCGCGGGCCGGTGGTCGCCGGTGGCGCGACGATAAGGGACCGCAGTTCTCGCCCAGACGGGGAAGGCCATTCCCGCTCATGTGTGGCTGAGGGCTGATGGCGCCCATACGCTCAAACGGGCACGAGGAGTAGGCGATGTCCGCCGGTGCGCGTAACGATGACTGGGGAGCGCTAGACTGATTTTTAAACGCTTTGCAGCTACTTTTTTCTTTCGACGCTAACTGTTGTTGATCTCGGACCACCCCAGTACGAGCACCCTCAATCTCTTACGACAAAGCCGTCGCCGAAAGCGCTGATCAGGTGACCTTGGGATTTTCGTCCGGTTAGCCGAATCCCCCCTTCCCTCTCGCACTTCCCGCAAGCTACTGCGTCACACGCCTTACTTTTTGGGCGTTGTGGGACACGTGTGGGCTTAGAGCGAACCCGTTCCTTGCACTATCCTGCCTGATCCAGGACTCTTTCACCTCAAACGGACCTCTCATTTGTTGTCGTGAGACGGTACTACCTGTTGCTCGCAAGGCCCGACTCTTTACCCCGCAAATCGCGCGCAGCCGCAGTCGCATCTCCTTGCCCTCTTACGTTCCTGCCTGCCTGCACGGCATATCGGCCCAACAAGCTTTCGCGCCTGTCACTGTGCACTGCATCACTAGTGCTGCGGACGAGACTCCTTCAAAGTAAGCCTGCCTCTTAGTCACGGCCCCCCGCCTTCCGGCTCACGGCTCACGACCCAGTATCAAGTAGCCGTACCCCTTAGCGTCTGCTTCTTCTTTCGTTTTGCAACATTCACATCTCGACCACACCGCACACCATGGCCGACCACTACGACTCGGCGATCCAGGACTCTCCCACCACCTCGCCGCACCCCTCGAGGCGGCCGAGCATGGTGGCACCCCGTCCCTCCTACCCCGCCAGCACGGGCGGCGCCTCATTGTCCCGCCGCTCGTCCCAGCACCGTTCCGGACCTATCCCTATCTCCCGTGCCGACTACTCGGGGCCTACCACGCCCTCGCTCCTGTCTCGTGCCGGTTCCCCTACGCTTCCCCTCACGAACGACAAGGTTCTCAGCCGTAAGAGCAGTTTCGCCGGCGATGCGCACGGAGCGCGCGCTGCGCTCGGAGGTGGTCTCGGTGGTCTGGGCGGACTGAGTGGCTTCTCTGCGCTTTCGCAGCTCGACGGTCAGAGGCAGCTGCGCAAGGGCGAGTTCATCGGAAGTTTGGACTGTGGTACTACGTGAGTGATCCTCCCATTTGTGACAATTTGTTTTCCTCAGCTCCGGCTGTCTCACTCCTCGGTATCGGTGACTAACGCCATCAGCTCTACCCGTTTCATCGTGTTTGACGAGAATGCGAAGATCATTACCGAGCACCAGACCGAGTTCGAGCAGGTCCTGCCGTACGCGGGATGGCACGAGCAGCGACCAGAGGACTTGGTTGACGCCATGCGGGAGTGCATCAACCGTGCGTGCTACAAGCTCGAGTGGGCTGGGTGGTCGGCGGACTCGATTCGCGGTATCGGAATCACGAACCAGCGTGAGACGACTGTGTGCTGGTCCAAGTCGACGGGCAAGCCTCTGTGCGACGCGATTGTGTGGGACGACACGCGCACAGTCGCTGTCGTGCGTGAGTTTGAGGAGAAGCTGGAGAAGGAGGGTATCGAGCTTGAGGAGGCGAACGGAGACGGCAAGCCGAAGCGCGTGACAGGACGGCAAGGTCTCGTCGACATTACGGGTATCCCGCTGTCGACGTACTTCTCGGCGATCAAGCTGCGCTGGATGCTCGACCACTACAAGGAGGTCGCCGAGGCGAACCTGGCCGGTGACCTCGCTTTCGGCACTGTCGACTCGTGGCTCGTGTACAACCTGACCGGTGCGCTCGACGGGGGTCTGCACATCATCGACGTCACGAACGCGTCGCGTACGCTGCTCATGTCGCTGAAGACGCTCAAGTGGTCCAAGCCGCTGCTCAAGTTCTTCGGCATTGACGAATCTGTACTCCCCGAGATTGTCCCCTCGGCCGCGGTCTACGGCAAGATCCATGAGAGCATGGAGACGCCGCTGACCGGCGTGCCGATCGCCGGTATTGTCGGTGACCAGCAGGCGGCGCTCGTGGGTAACAAGTGCCTGCAGCGCGGCGAGGCGAAGAACACGTACGGCACCGGTGCGTTCGTGCTGTTCAACACGGGCGACGAGATTGTCCACTCCAAGAACGGTCTCATTACGACCGTCGCGTACCAGACGGGCAAGGACGCGCAGCCCGTCTACGCCCTCGAGGGCTCCATCGCCGTCGCCGGAAGCGCGATCAAGTGGCTCCGTGACCAGATGACCCTGATCGAGGAGTCGGCCGAGATGGACATGCTCGCCGGCTCGGTCAAGGACACGGGCGGCGTGTACTTTGTCACTGCGTTTGCCGGTCTCCTCGCCCCGTACTGGGACCGCTCGGCTACGGGAACCATCATCGGCATGACGAGCTACACGACGTCGGCGCACATTGCGCGCGCGACGCTCGAGGCCGTGTGCTTCCAGTCCCGCGCCGTCCTCGACGTCATCGAGAAGGAGGCCAACATCAAGCTCGAGGGTCTCAAGGTCGACGGAGGAGTCACGAACTCGGACCTGGCGATGCAGATTCAGGCCAACGTAAGCTCACTTCCTCGCAGGCATAGCTAACCTCAGATTGGTGGCTTCAACGTGATCCGCCCCGCGATGCGCGAGTCGACCGCGCTCGGCTCGGCGCTGCTTGCGGGCCACGCGCTCGGCCTGTTCGGGTGGGACCTGAACAAGCCCGAGACGCTGTCCGAGGTGAACACGGCGGACACATTCGTGTTCAAGCCCGAGATCAGCGACAAGCAGCGCGCCAAGATGATCCGCGGGTGGGACCGCGCCGTCGCCCGCGCGCGCAACTGGCACGAGGGCGAGGACGAGCTCGAGCTCGAGGAGCGCGAGCTCCAGATCGAGAAGAAGGAGGGCATCGTCGACCTCACCATGGACCTGGGCAAGGCTACGCTGCAGTCGTCCCCGCCGAGCCCCAAGATCCTCTCCGACCCTGGACCCGTGCCCAAGCCTACTGCCGCGCAGGCTTAGGCTGCAGGCTCAGGCTGCATGCCTAGAATGCTCCCCATAGATATCTACGTTATGACAGATTTGTGCTTTAGACGACTTCTCGGGCGGCGCCTGTGGCGTAGCTCGCTTTGGGTTTGATGTTTTTATACACATTTGCCTCTTGATGCACTGGGTTTTCCTCTTGATGCAAAGCACGAGAATCGCAATAATGGAACAAAAGTATACATGGAAATGGTCTGTCTGTCTATATCTATGCAAGCGGCTGCGCGTTGGCCCCAGTCGGCTGCCACTTGGGCCGCTGCGGCCTCCTCTCTCTGTCGCCTCCGGGACCTCCAGACGGCTTGACCTTGACTCGCCGTCCACCGCGCATCTTGTAGCCTTCGCCAACAGGTGCTCCCCAACCCGCGTCCCCGCCGCCACCACCGGCTCCAATCTTGGCTCCCTGATTGCTCATCTCGCCCACGATCGGGGGCTGTTCAGCAGCCTGACCCGCCTGGTCGCCCTTGGCCGCCTTGGCCTTGGCCTCCTTCTCCTTGGCCTCCTTCTCGCGCTTCTCGCGCTGCGTAGAGACACGCTCGTTGCGCTGCTTCAGCTTCTCGCGCCTTCCCTCGGATTTCCCGCCCCCGCCAGCCGTCAGCTCCACATTGATCCGCTTCCCGTTCAGAATGCTGTGGTGCTGCTTCAGCGCGGACTGGAGCTCGTTGCCGTTCGCGAGCTCGAGGAAGGCGATGCCGCGCGACTTGCCCGTCGCTTTGTCGGTGAGGAGGCGGACGGCGGGGATGCGGCCTGGACATTAGCTCATCCAACCGTCACGTGTAGCTGGAAGAATGCGGTGTGGTAGATCGGGGGGGAAGGAGGGGGAGGAGGGGGAGGAAAGAGGAGAAGGGAATGGGGGGGTAGCGCTGCCGCGCTCCATTGGCAGACTCACCAACAGACTCCTTAAAGTGTGCCGCGACCTCGTCCTTTGTCGTCTTGAACCCAATATTGCCCAGGAAGAGGATGAAGCGCTGCGCCACCTCCTTCTTCGGCTTGGGTTCCGTCACCCTCCGGTGTTTCTGCACCTTGCCGTATCCCTCAATTTCGGCGTCCTCGGTGCCGTCGCCGTCGGTGCGTTTCCGCTTCTTCTTGCCTCCTGCCTTCTCTCCATCGGCCGAGTCGTCCTTCTTCTTCTCGGGAAGGGGGGCGTACGCCTCGTCCTCGTCGACGGGGGGTTCGGCCTTGGCCTTGCTAGGCTTGGCTTTGGCAGAGGTGGAGGTCGAAGCTAGGTCGGCCGACTCGGAAACCTCGACATCGTCATCTTGTTCCGGCAGGTCGGGGACGGCGGCGCGCTTCGCCTTTTGCTTCGCGCGGAAGGACTGCGCCTTCTGCTGTTTCTTCGAGAGCGGCGCGGACATGGTCGTTGTGTGTAGGACTATCTCTCGATCACCGGACTCTTGGACTCTGACGCAACTGACTTTCTGGCTGCTACAAATATTTTGCCACCGTTTATCTCGGGACCAAATCCACAGTGGTCGTTCCTCCCACCAGCCAGCAGCCAGGGCGGGGCAACTACGTAGTTGGATGCCTGATGCAATGCCAGCGCCGATCGACCTGCTGCGAATGCACAACATAGTGTTACAACGTGCTTCAGCTTGTGCATGAACTGTATCTGCTCTATCTACTTGGCGTACTGTTGTTAGCTTCAGCGCACCGCACTTAGCTCACCTTCTGCACATACTCCTGCGCCTTCTTGTCGAACGCGGGGCGGTCGGTCCGGTACTGCTCGGCCTGATGTCAGCTCTGGTCAGAAACTGGCAGCTTACGATAGACGTAACGAGCGGGTCGTCCGGGTTCGGGTTCTGGAGGAGGTCGCGGACCGAGAGGAGAACTGGCGTTAGCTCTTCTACGGGGGCGAAGTAGCTCACCGTTGGCCATCTTGGTCGACGGCTTCCAGCCGTCCGCCTTGATGACGCCCATGCAGATACTGCCTGTCAGCTATCCCCTCGATTGCTGAGCTCACTTTCCGTCACTGTCAATGTTCGGGTGGTACATCTTGGTCGCGAACGTGATCTGCTGTCAGCTCCAAGTAGCTTTACAGCTCACCGTAGGCGCCTTGAAGGGGAAGTCGGTGCCGAAGACAACGTCAACGGTGAACTTGCCGCCGACGTAGGGGGATCCCTCGGGTCCGTCGAGTTTGACCTTCCAGTGGAGGAGGTTGTCGCCGTCGACCTGGACATCGACACCCTCGAGCGGCTGGTCGGTGAGTTCCTTGAGTTCCTGACTTGTCAGCTGTGTTTCAATCGTCATCTGCAGCACCTTCTGGACTCGCCGTGTGCTTCCTGCGGCGGACATGGTGGATGCAGGGGAAGTGGGGAGGGGGGGGGAAGGAGGGGTCTGTGTGTTGCTGTATAAGAAGGAAGAGGCAAGAAGCGGCACTGCGAGGTGGGGTGAGTTGAGGCGATCGATGTGTACTAGCAGTGCAAAGAGTTGGATTCGTGTGATGCAAGTAGTGTGGTTGTGCAGTGTGCGTCACAAGTCAGGCGAGTGGTTGCAGCGAGGTCCAACTCTGAGGGATGTTGGAAATGCCGGGCAGCGGGCAGGGACGCAGGGTGCGGTGCGGGGGTGTGTGTGCAGGGTTCGGCGAACCGCGAAGTTGCTAGCTGCATAGCTGGCTTAGTGACCGGTCTCACACCGTTGGTGGTGGTGCGGTGCGGCCTGGCGGTGCACTGGGCGGGCTGGCGGGGCTGACAGACAACGGCGCACCGCCAGAGACTCTCCTCTCATGCCTCTCACCGCAGTGTCCACAGTCTCGCTCCGTTGCCATTTCCACTTCGCATAGACACCACGTGGCCTCTCGGGCGTTAAGGCACGAGGCTTCTAACCCTTAGGGCGCAAAGGGTCAGGCAGCCTCCACCTGTCTGTTTCGATTGCGATTGAGACGACTGCACGCAAGGCGCAGAAGACTGCGGCGAGGGCTGAATACTTGCGGTGGAGGTCTAGGAAGGGAAGGCAGGAATCTGGCTGCTGGCTCGGAATCTCGAGACGCGTCCTCGATCGGCGGCACACCTCAACCACACCTCACACTCTTATCGACCTTCCTCCACCACAGTGCCAGCAGCATGCTGGCCGCGTTCCCCTTCCTCTTTGCGCTGCTGTCGCCGGCGCTGGCGGCCACTGCGTGCCTCGAGTCCGGGGACGAGACGGCCATCAATGCGCTGTTCGAGCGAGGTGAGCTTTCGAGAGAGCGCGCTAGCTGATACCAGGCGGGCGCGGAACGAAAGTCGAGCTGTGTCCTGGCAGCGTGCACCGTCTTCAGGCGCCCGTGGTGTTCACGGCGCCGGGCCAGACGCTGACGACGGCGGGGCAGCCGGAGGGCCACGACCGGGCCCTCCTGCTCGTGACGGGCGAGACGCAGAGTGTAGCTGTTCGGTAAGCTACGAGGTGCTTGTCCAGCTGACATCAGCGCGGACTGCAAGCAGTGCGGCGGGGCGCGGATCTCGCACCTGATCGTAGACGGGAACCGGCCACAAATGCTCCGTGTTATGGGCGGCGAGGCGCTGCTCGAGCTCGGCAACGCGGACGACCAGGCCGTGACGCACTGCAGACTGCTGGAGCCGCGGGGCTGGAGCGCCCTGCACGTTAGAGAGGGCGACGAGCTGTCCTGCCGCCGCGCGACGGTGGCGCACAACGTGATCGGTCCCGCCGGCGAGGAGTGGGACGACGATTACGACGGTATCGACGAGAAGCAGCCCGCGTGGGGCAACCCGCGCGCAGACGGGATCTCGCTCGCGTGCCGCGATTCGCTCGTCGAGCACAACTACGTGTTTGACGCGACCGACGGCGCTATTGTGCTCTTTGGCTCGTCTGGATCGACAGTGCGGCACAACAGGGTCGACAGCAAGACGCGTGTCGTGTTAGGCGGCGTGAATCTCGTCGACTACGACCCGTGGAAGGGCGACTATGCCGGCGTGCTCGTGACGGACAACGACTTTTACGCACACGCGCGATACTTCAAGGTCGGCATTGTGATCGGCCTCAGTTCCTGGAGCGACGACACGGACAAGATCGTGCGCGGGGGAACGGTGCGGGGAAACAGGTTCCACGGCAAGCACTTCGGGTACGCGCTCGTCGTCTCGTCCGCCGAGGACTTTACGGTCCTCGACAATGTCGTCGACAAGGACGCCGTGTTCTCCGGCGTGCCCGGGGCGAGGTGCCCGACCGCGCCAGAGAATGGACCCCCGACAGCCTTCCTCATCAACAAGGGAAGCTCGCGGGGGACGTTCCAGCCCGAGTTCCGCAACGGAGAGGTGCAGCACAGTGAGTCCTTGCGTGGGTCTAGTGGACGGCCCAGCTATATGCTCATCGGCCACGAAGCTGACAACAGTCATCTGCGTCGAGCCCGAGGACTACGTCCCGTGGCGTATGCGCGACAGTCCAGAGGCGATCGCGGCCGCCGAGGCCGAGGAGACCGACTCGGACGCCGACGCGCCATCGTCGGGCACGCTGATCGACGACTCGAAGCTGGCCGACGCCCTGGTGGCATATCAGGACAAGCTCCTCTCAGCGATCGAGGACGTGGAGCGCCGCTCCCGTCTCCAGCTGCCGGGCAAGGATCCCGTCGAGCACGGGGTGCATGTGCGCCCCGCCGTCGCAGCCGACTCGGACAGTGAAGACGAGGCCACAGAGCGCGCGCTCCGACACAAGATTGAGCGGCTCGAGCGCGCGCAGCGCAAAATCGAACGCGAACTCGGCGCATTCAAGTATGCCTTTGGGCAGTTTGCCGAGTTTCGCGATGTCCAGATTGCGAGCAATAATCGCAACTTGCTCGAGAATGTTTACAAGCAGTTCCGCGAGCGGAGACTGCGAACCGTCAGTACCGCTGCTAGCTCGCGCGCTACTGCCATCAAAGCGCGCGTTGCGCGGGCCCGGGGCGTCAGCATCGCGGCCTGGGTCATTGGGCTGCTCGCCTTCCTTGCCCTGTTTACGCTGATTCTCCGCCGCTTCTACGCCGGACAGCGGTACAAGGGCCTTAAGACGCAGGGGCTCAAGACGCACTAGATCATAGACTTTCCCGGTTAGTTGGTAACGAGTTAGAATGTATTCCTTCTGATGATGAGAGACTTTGGGTCAAACCTGGCCAACGATGCATTTTCTAATAACCTGTTTTTTCAATGATGGTACAAGTATCGCACAGCGAGGAGGGCACGAGTAACGAGCAGTGAGAACCCTGGGGATGTATCGATGACGTCGGGAGATGGTGAACGAAGTAGGACACGAGGAAAGACAAAAGCGAAGGGGGGAACGAGGGCGGGGATGACACCCCCGAGAAAGACGTCTTTTGAAAACCAGATATCGACTGTCTCGACGACACGGACAGGGAACAAGGTATGGTAGTTGGGGCTTTACTTATACACTTTTGGTTGTTGGTGGGCGGGGAGTTTGATCAAGCAGACAAAAATTGTTCTTAAAGAGGCGAGGCAGGACGGATGGAGAGGGATTTTGGTTTTGTTTATTATGTTGTTGTTTACCTTCAGACGACGACGGCATGGTCATAGATCGGCTCTGATCGATCACATGCCAGCGCTGGCAAGCTGCTACACATAGCTCACGCTCACTGCCTCTGCATCGCAGGGTAGATGAGGCCAGTGGGCAGGATGCACTGTCCGTCCTCGCGGACCAGGAACACAGGCTGAGGGTGTGCTGACGGCGCGGGTTCCGCCGCTGCCATGACCTCGTGACTGGAAATGTCAGCGCTTAAACCCTAAACGCGTGCGGTGTTAATGGGTGTTAACTTACCACCTGACCTCGTTGTGGACCGCCGGCTGGTCTCCGTAATACACGATGTGGCACGCATGGCCGTCAGGCCTCTTGGTGAAGCCTTTTCCGTAACTAGGCCCGGTCAGCCAATCACGCGCCCGATGCTCGTCTCCTTGGGGTTTTGGTCCCTCAACTCACAATGTCACCAAAGGCATGGTCGCCATGGACGTGTACTGGTGGTTGTACTTGGCCATGGTGACCTCGGCACTCATGTTTGGCGGAAGTAGTCGGTGCGCCATCGGGAAAGGAGCCAGAGGCTCCGAGAGCTCCGAGGCGTAGGGAGGCACGTAGAAGGTGTACGTAACCTGTTCGGTGCTGACGATCGACCAGATGCACACGTCACCAACGTCCAGAGTCCAGTAGGTACGATCTTGGACAACGGGGACATTCGTGAGCATGCCGTTAGCCGAGAAGTCGAACGACCCGCCGGACGTCGGAATATCAGCAGAGGCACGCTTCTTGTGCATGGGTCGCTGAAGGGGTCCGCCTCGGCTGTTCGTAGTTGATCCCGTGCGTTGACGACGAACAGGCCCTCCGTCGGTCGAAGGCGGCGGAAGAGGGAGCTCGCCAGACAGAGGGGAGAACAGCATCGAAGATGATGACTTGCGGCTGTGGGCGCCGAAGTAGTCGCTGGAGGACGAGGAGGAAATCGGACTCGGGGGTCCCGAGGGCAGCGCGACTGATGCAGTGTGAGGCGTCATAGGCAGCACACCGAAACGAGTCTGTGGCGTGTTGGGTAAGCTGGCCGGTCGGGCGGCAGCGCTGCCACGAGCCGAGGCAGGGACAGGAGTCCAGCGGCGTTCAGCGTTAACGAACTGCTCACGTACGGCCTCCTGGTCACAAGACAGCCACAGTCCTCCGTACGTCGGATCGCGCTGGTAGTTGCGCATAGACTCGGGCTGGTACACCTCGAATGCAACCTTCTGGAGCTGCGAAACAGCGTTGCCAGGGAGTTCGCCTTCAGGGCAAGCGATGGGGTTGTCCGTGGCGGTGCCGTCCATGCCGACAACCTCCGAGCCCTCGTCGTTGCGGCGAATAACAAGAACCGGCGAGATCAGACCAGTTTGCAGAGACTGCAAGACGACAGTGGAGTTGTAGCGGATAGGCGGAGCCATGTGAGCGGGAATGGCGTTACTCGGAAGGTTGGGCCACCCAGGGTTCGGCGACTTGACGTTGCTAACGCCAACCGGCTGGGTCGGGTCGACGAGGTAAATGATGAAAGACTCCCAAACGCTAGGGTTGACGGTGAAGCCACGGAAGATGCTCTCCGAAGGAGTGACATCCGGGGGAAGAGCGCCAGTGACGGGCTTGCCGTCCGATCCCTTGAAGCGAGTGAGGTCGATCGGGACCGAAAGATATCTCGTCGACGACGTCTGTGACTTGACTCGGTTGAAAAGCGCGATCGTTGAGCCGTGTTGGATAATAAGCTCAGCTGACTTGGAGCTCGACTTCTTTTTGCTCGGTTTCGAGATGACCTTGATCTCCTTGGACTCGAACACACCAATAACACGATCAGGTGCGGCCTCGGTCATCGTTCCCTTGGCTGGTCCCCATCCGTGCGGTCCGGCGTGTTGCGGGCTCGGAACACGAACGGTGACTAAAGCCTTGACTTCCCTGCGCTTTCCATCGCTGTCAGAAATGTGGAGGTTCTTGCCAGCCACATTACCGAGGAAAGGCTTGTCATCCTCGGTGATGGCTTGCGTGTGGATCTTGTCATCCAATGACTTGTTGTCCAGGGTCGTCCATTGGACGTGCACGTCCTTGACCGCGGCCTCACCGGACAGACTGATATTAACACGGGGCGGAATGAGCGGAGAAACGGGGCAGTCGTCCTTGTTAGACGTGAACCACGACTTGCCGACGAGGGTCGCTTGCGGATGCGGGCAGAGGAAACGCTTCTCAGTACCGTAACTCTTCTGTCCGACCTTTGGCGACATGATGATGATCTTGCGCTCTCCAAACGCTAGGCGATTCGGGGCGGCATTGTACATGCGGAGAGCCTGGTTCAGTAACTCGGGGCGCTGCTGCGCATTTCCGTTCAGCTGCGACATGTCGAGTGAGGCAGCGCGTTGATGCGAATTAGCCAGGTGGGCGTGTCCGCCGAGCGCAGGCGACTGCTGCTCCATGACGAGAGCCCGGGCCAGGGGCATCGACAGGTCTTCGACACCGCTGTTCCACTCATGCTCCGTGGAACTAGCCGACAGAGACGACTGGCGGCTCTCGATGAGCAGATCGGAGAAACTCTTCGTTGGCTTCAACATCTGGTGGGGCAATTGGGAGGGGGATATGGTGCCGGGATCGTAGAAAGTAGGCGGAGGGATGGCTCCGCCCATTCCCATGTCATGCTGGAACGGGGCGTAGAAGTTGGGAGTCAGAATGCGGTCAACACCTGCCATGTCAACGCCTGAAAGGTCCAGGCCAGTGAGAGGAGGGGACATGGCGGAGCCGGGCTGAGTCTGCGGGATGTGGAAGTTGGAGCCCGTGGTGTCTAGGGCCAGAGCAGGGCGCTGCATGTTTGGGGGCAGAGGCGGCACTGCAAAGCCGAACGGCGAGGGAGGGGGCATGCCGTTGGCCATCAGGTTGAAGCCGTAGGCGGACGAGACGGCGTCATGACCCGCACCGGTTCCGGGGTCAAGTCCGAGGCCGTTGGTCTCGTCTTTGTTGTTCTGGCCCATGGGGAAGGGGATGTGGGGAGCGAACGAGACGGGCTGTAGATTGGTCAGCAGGTGTCCGGAAACAGAAGCGACAAAGCGGAAATGCCGAGGTGGACGGCGATCAAGTTCGGCGACGAAGAGGGACATGGTTTGATTAATCACTCACCCCGCCGTCGGTCTGAGGATTGTGGAACATGAGTCCTGCGGGTTGGCTCGGGGTTGCAGGCCACGAGTGGAAGTGGGAGGAAGAACCAGCAGTGGACTGCGGTTGTGAGGGGTCGAGCGAGATGGATGTGTTGCGGCTTCTGAGAGTGGTCGAGGTCGAGGGGGGGTGAGAGGAGGAAGAAGTGTGATGAGCGAGGTCAAAGTAATCAGAGGAGCCGGGTTCTGTCATGGTGGTCAGCTGTGGCTCTGGTGCTGCAGCACGCGTATGCGTAGTGCGGTCTGGGATCGCGGG